TGATATTAGATCTCAAGATGATCTCTGATTACTAATAGAAGGAAGAATGAGAAAGATCTGGGTGGAGGACATAACTGGCAGGTGACTGTTCACAGGCTTCAAGGACAAACATGGAGCTGCTCCCCCACCACAGCCTTGTTTTCTCAGCTTCCTCCCCTTCCTCTCACCTACTGCTGCACAGACTCGTCTTGACAGCTTATGGTCCCTCAATCTCAATTCCCTGACCATCTGCGCCTTGTTCTTCTACAAACATCCCACTTGTGTGATCAGCTGGGCCTTGGATCTCTGAAGTCCCTTCCCCTCCGTGGTCCTGAGTCTTCCTCCTCCAGGAACCCCTTCATGCCCCTCACTGCTCCTGCACAGGAACACTACCATGCTGGGGGGTGTGGCCACCTAGAACAGCAAGGACCACATAGCCCTGGGGCTCTCCGAGGCCTTATGGTGATCCTGCCTTGTTGTGGCTTTGAAATCAAAACAGATCTGGATTGCAAATTGTGCATGTGAGCAAAGTTACAAGAAGAGTGCAATTAACCTCATGAAGAAAGCTCGAAAGTAGTGGTCCTTACATAAAGGCCCCATCTAAATAGGCGATAGCATGGCTTTTATTCCTGGCACAGGCCTAGTTTCATGACTGTATTGCCTTCAGAGTTGGTCACTTAAACAGCAGAATCTGTCTGTCTAATTGTGGGGACTTGAAGTCCAAGATCAAGGTGTAGGTAGGGTTGCTTGCTTCTGAGAACCTGAGTGAGAATCTGTTCCTGACCTCTCCCCTAGCATCTGGTGCTTGCTGGCAGTCTTTTTTTTTTTTTTTTAAGATTTATTTATTTTGTAGGAAAGGCAGAGTGACAGAATGAGAGTGACAGGGAGAGAGATCTTCTATCCACCTGTTCATTCCCCAAATGCCTGCAACAGCAAAGGCTAAGGCAGCCCAAAGCCAACAGCCAGAATCTCCATCTGAGTCTCTGATGTAGATGGCAGGAACCCAGACTTGGGTCATCATCCGCTGCCTCCCAGGAGCCTTAGCAGGAAACTGGATCAGAGGCACTGAGCAGTCAGGACTGGAACTGGCGCTGCAATGTGAGATGCAGGCGTTCCAGGCAGCAGCCTGACCTGCAGCACCGCAGCAGCCTGCTGGCGCTCCTTGCACTCCTTGGCTTGGAGCAGCATCGCCCCAGTCTCGCCTTGTCTTCCCACGGCGTTATTTGCATATGTGTCTCCCGAGGTTCCCTTCTTTTGAAGGTGCTGGTGGTAGCATGTCCGGGGGTCCTCCCTCCTGTATAACCTCGTTCCAGAGCAGCTGGTTACACCTGCAATGACCCTGGTTCCAAATAGGACAAATGTGGGGAGACAACTTAACATGTAGCAGTAACCAACATCATTCCAAGCCTGAAAATTACACCACTTCCTGCCCTAAAATGGGAGTTTCTTGCCGGTGGGAGCTTGTTTTCTCAATAGTATAAATGTAAATAGGAATAGTAAATTTCAGATGGGGAAATGGCTTCAGATGCCTTTTATAAGCCAGTGTTTTCAACTTATGGACGACAAGGATGACTCAAGGCTGCTTGGGAAAGGGTCCCTTTCCCAAATGAGTAGGCTTCAGGCCTTTGAGCAGAACAGCTTGGATTGTATGTGTTGTATATTGGAGTTTTTATTAGTCATGTCAAAGCAGGGTGGCCTGACCCCACCCTGGTTGTTTCAAGCATTTGGGGAATGAACCAGGGGGTGGGAGCTCGCTCGCTCTCTCTCTCTCTCTCTCTCTCTCCCCATCTCTCTATCTTTCAAATAAATAAATAATTTTTTAATAAAACAAAACAAATTATCATTTGGTACAGCAGTTAAGCTGTCACTTGACATACCTGCATCCCATATTGGACTGCCTGGGTTCAAGTCCCAGCTACTCCACTGCTGATGTAGCTTCCTGTTTCTGAACATTCTGGAAGGCAGCAGGTGGTGGCAAAAGTACCTGGGTGACTGCCACCCACCTGTGGAACTCACAGTGCATTCAGGGTTCCTAGCTCCAGCAGAGCCCAGCCCTGGCTACTATGGATAGTTGGGGGTGAACCAGCAAATCAATGCTTTCTCTCCCTCTGCCCCTCAGTGTATGTATGTGTCTTTCTGATTTTCAAATAAAATGAAAATAAATTTTAGAACAATTTTTAATTAAAACAATACATTCTCACAGAAACAACCAGATGTTTGGCCAAATATCTGGACACTGGCCTAGCCAAGTTGACATATGAAATTATTTGTTGAAAAAATAGATCTGCTGGAAACTGAAATATAAAGAAAGTTTGAGAACTTGTATTTAGACAATCTGTAATTACAACTCCAAGTTAAAGTCCTCTGCGTTTTCTTTCAGGAAACCTGAACTGTTTAAGAACTATAGATTCAATTGTGTAAGACTTCCCTGGAAAATGAGCTTAGCTCTTCCTCCTTAGCATCTCTGTAGGACACCATGCACTTCGAGACAAGGAATATATCCCCTGGCTCAGGATGAGTCTGCCCACTGAAGAGCTTTACATCTGCTTTATACAATTTGAATATCCCGTATCTGAAATGTCTGGGAACAGAAGTGTTTCAAATTTTGGATAATTGTGCATTTTGGAATATTTGCATATATATGAAATGAGATGTCTTGGGGGTTGGGACCCAAAACTAAATAAAAAACTGATTTTCATATGTACCTTATAATACGCCTAGCCTGAAAGTAACTTTATACAATATTTTTAGTGCACCTGCATTTTGACTGCAACTCATTACATAAGATCAAGAGTGGAATTTTCCACTCATGGTGTCATGACCAACTCAAATGTAGATTCTGGAGCACTTCCAATGTTGAATTCTCAGATGAGGGCTACCCAAACTGTGTTGTTAGATTTGGACCAATTAGGGTTACTTTATGCTTTAGAGGATAAGAAACAACTCTTCTCATTTTGTCAAATTTTTTAAATACTTCATTCAATAGTGTGTAAGTTGTGCAGTTTACACGAGAATTTAATTCAAAATAAGGATTTTGGATTAAGGAACCCTAGCTCTCTCCCCCAATTCCTTAGCCATTTTGTGCGGGATACTATCTGCCCTGTTGTGGTGGTTCCAAATGGCTCTGGCACGGAACACCTCCGGGCCACTGAGTCCTAGAAACTCTACCTTCTCAATGGCTCTGATCTTCATCTCTGCCTTCCTTTGTCTTTTCTGGGGTTCAGGCCCTCGCCACTTACTTCCTGGGTCTTGGCAGTGACCTGATAGCTGGTCCCTACCCTCAGCCTTGTTCCTTCTCCAAAGTGTCATCCCTGTTCCTGCCTGACTCTTTTTTGCAATTGAGTTCAATCCCATTTCTTCCTCCGTACTATTCCATATAAAGCTCATTTTCTTTCGATAATAATAGCTAACATCTACTGAGTGCTTACCACACACTCAGTGTGTTGCTAAGAAATGTATGTGGGTCATCTCTAAACCTCAGCAGGGTTATCAGATACAGTCACAGCAGGTAGCCCCCTTTGACAAATGAGGGAGCTGAAGCTTAGAAAGACTGATTAGTGCAAGGTCACATGACCAAGTAGCTAATGACTGAGGCAACACACTGACCCAGTATTCCGATTCTAGATCACACACCATTAACCCCTCTACCAGGTCCCTGGGTAGCCTGTAGACCCTCCCATAAACTGTCCCTCTTCCCCTTCCAGCACTCTCACAACTTGCTCTTGCACATGGCACACCCCAGACATCAGTGCTGTATCCTGGGGTAGGGTCTGCCTGAATCTCGGGAGGCTTTCAAAAATATTTGTTTATTAAATCAATCAATCAAAGCATTTTGTTCGCTACAATGCTTGAGACCCATGTTAGGATTTAATAGTTTTACAGTGCTGGGAGTCTCTCAGCCTTGGCACCATCAGCATTTTAGACCAGATAAGTCTTTGTCATAGGAGGCTGTCCTGTGCACTGCAGTGTGTTTAACAGCCTCCTTGTCCTCTGTGCAATAGAGAGATGCCAGTAGCATACCGCACACTGTACAACCAAAAATGTCACCAAACATTGTCAGATATCCCCCAAGGAACAAACCTGATTGAGGACCACCAGCCTACCTCTGGTTGTTCATTCTTGTTGAATTTCTGGATAAAATTCCTGTGCCTTCTCTGGTAGTCAAGTTTGTCATGCTTACAAATAGAAGTTAGTAATTACTTGTTCTGTGGTGCATTACTAAAAACTATTCATATGTTACTAAATGCAATGTGCTATCATGGATTGAATTCTGAAACAGAAACAGAAATTAATGGAAAACTGGTGAAATCTGAATAAATTATATAGTTTGGTGACTAGAATGGCACCAGTGTTAATTTCTTAGTGTTGATGCCTGTGCTGTCATATAAGATGTTAACATTAGCAGGCTGAGGCTGGGTGAATGCTATAGAAACTATATTATCTTTGCAACTCTTCAGTAAATCTAAACAATTTCTTAAAGTCTTCATTTAAGTCATTTACTAATCAAAAATTAAGAGAGATTCATTTTTAAAAGATGAATTTATTTATTTGCAAGAATTAGATCTTAAATGCTGGTTTATTCCCAAAATGCAGCAATGGCCAGGCTGAAGCCAGGTGCCTGGAACTCCAGCTGGGTTCCCACATGGTTGGTTGACAGGAGTAGGAGCATCTGGGCCTTGTCCTCTGCCTTCCTAGGCACATTAGCAGGGAATTGGGAAAAACCCATTTTTGAGACACAAGTAGAAGCTAAGACCTATATGTTTGTATTTCAAAAAGTTCATGGAAAAAGTGAAATTCATGGTGCTCCTAAAGTTGTATTTATGAGATGTGTGACGTTTATATACCTTAAATAAATGGTTTCTGGGGGGAAAAAGATGTTTATTTTGGTGCAAGGAAAAATATGAAATCCTTGTGTAGTTTTTTCAAAAGTTATTTGAAGCCCTCTCCTATCTTCCTTCTTAGATACGGGAGAAAAAAATGAATGAAGTAAATGGCTTTATTGTCTTTTGTTTATTTTACAGGCTCTCCATTCATATGGATGACGAACTGCGACATATTGCGCAGAATTCTCTTCAGGGTTTACTGGTCGACTTCTCAGACTGGAGAGAAGATGTACTGTTTGGCTTTACCAACTTCCTGCTCCGAGAGGTCAGCGACATGCATCACACCCTCCTAGACTCGTCCCTGAAGTTACTGCTGCAGCTCCTCACCCAATGGAAACTGGTCATACAAACTCAAGGGAAGGTCTACGAACAAGCCAACAAAATCCGAAATGCAGAGGTAATTTTCACACTCTCCCTACCTGTTGGTATTCCTTTATGTTCTACCTTTGGGAATGAGCAGCCCTTGGAGTTTATTGGGGAACTTCCTCTGGTCACGGCCGTTGTTGGTTCTTCTGCCATCATAAATGGTGGTGACGGAATAACTCAGTGATACACCAACAAGCTTAGGCTTGGTAATACTGATAAGGCCACTTAAAGACAAGGAATTGTTTTTTGCATAATTACAAATTTATTTTTAAGATAAAATGGCTATAGACCAGGAAGTCAGAGCCAGATGCAGAGACCGATACAGAATATGGATATATAAAAGCTAGCTGTTCTCCAGCTACTGTTTTCCTGGTCAGCAGCATATTGGCTGCTTTGTCCAATATCCACAAGAAGAAAATGCAGTCTTGCAGTTTCTTGTTCCTTTCATGCCTTAGGCCTGAATACTAAAAATAATGGCAAAATCTTGGAGAGCAGGTTGAGAGAGGAGTGCTATGAGGGGAGAGCCGGGGTCCTGGACGCCGAGTGGTGACTTGGCAGTGGTGATGAACAGATGGGGACGAGCGGTCTGGCCGGAAGGGAGCATGACAGAGGGCCCGAGGACTGTGACGCCTCAGGGCAGCACAGGGATCGGTGAGGACCCCAGATGGGCCGGCTTCAGAGAGAGGCTGTCAAGTTCCCTCTCCTTCTTCGTGTTCTACAAATGCCAAGAGATGCTAGGCAGAAAAACAAGGATTGCACATGCTCATAAAAGGGGAACGGAAAGAAAGGGGAGATCTGCCCCCTCGGTGTCTGCTTCCTCTTGCTTTAGATCTACTTGGCTATAGTTAGGGAATCTTCAGGACCCGTCTGGTAAATGTGCAAAACCTAGATTAGAACCTACCAGGCAGACAAGGAAGCCAGCCTGACCAGAAAGTGAATGTTTGAGAGTTAAAGTAGAGTATCCAGGAGTCTACAGGAACTTTAAGTGAAAACAAATCAGTCCGTTTTGTATGTGCAGTATAATCCCAAATTACATGGACAGAAGCAGTTGTGATTTTTTTACTGTTAACAGCCTTTGAAAAGTTCTTTCTCAGCAGAGGTAACAGATGGTCGATGGTATTCCAAAGCCACAGTTGATCTGAAAAAAAAAAAGGGGGGGGGGCTAGGATATTTCATGAATAATAATGAATTCACCATCACGTCTGCTTCTAAGCCATTGAAACTTAAGTTTTACGTGATGAAGTATAACAAAAGATCTGCCTATCAGAATGTTTTCTTCTTCCATTGTTATTTGCTGAACATGGGATGTTGTTCTTGTTGCCTGGCAGCTAATCTCCAATGGCTCCAGCCACAGAACTCAGTCGGAGCGAGGCCCTCACTGCAGCGTCCTCCACGCCGTGGAAGGGTTTGCCCTGGTTTTGCTCTGCAGCTTCCAGGTGGCCACGCGCAAACTGTCTGTCTTAATACTCAAGGAGATTCGAGCTTTGTTTGTTGCCCTGGGTCAGCCTGAGGTATGGGTTCTTCTGAATTTTCCAATTCTTTGTCTTTAAACTGTTTTGAAATGTAGCTCTAAAACTATAAATAATGCATTATTATTTCCTGTGCTTACATGTCATACATGATATTGAAACATAATGTTTGATTCATTCTTAGGTTTTCATTATTTTCTTTAAGATTTATGTGTTTATTTGAAAGGCAGAGTATCAGAGAGAGAGAGATCTTCCAATCACTTGTTCACTCCCTAAATGGCCACAACTGCCAGAGCTGGGCCAGGCCAAAGCCAGAAGCCTAGAACTGCATCTGGGTCTTCCACATGGGTGCAGGGGCCAAGCACTTGGGCCATCCTCCACTGCTTTCCCAGGCCATAGCAGAGAGCTGGATCAGAAGTGGAGCAGCCGAGACTCAGACCCACACTTCTATGGGATACTGTTGTTGCATCTGTAGGCTTGTTGCACCACAATGCTGGCCCCTGTTCTTGAGTTTTTAATTATGTAGTAGCATTCTTGATCTACTAAAGATAAATCCTATGCCAAGAGCAACAGAAAATACCATTCCTGGTTAGTTCAGGTTCTGGATCATTATCTTCATAGTTCTTAGCATATACCTAAGAAAGAACATATATCAGAGAAAACTTGGAAAAATAATGCATCCATGGAAAATAATCAGAGTAGCAGTCGGCTAACGAGAAGTTGTTTTATCTCAGTGACGGGAGAAAAATGGCTTTACAAGGACATGTCCTCTTAAGCTGGGAGAAGGAAGCCGGTTATTAAGCATGATCAAGCCTGGCTAAACTCCGCGCTCAGTCAAGTGGTGCACGCCTGGTTCAGATGTTCTGAGTCAGCCAGCTGGCATGGGTGGGCTAACTCTATACACGAGTTGATGAAAGACAGGCCAGTGTTTTACATCGTGTAGTTCTGCAGAAGAATGGCACTTTCTGTTTTTGTGTTTTAAATTACTAATCTTGGTTTTACCATCCTCAGGATTGTCCTCAGTATAAAAAATATTTCTAAGCCTCTCATAGTCGTTTCTATTCACGTTGCTGCAGATAGCTCTGTTGTATTTCAGGGCTGTGTCTCTGCCTCCTGGTAGATGTGTCTCTGACATGCTACATGTTGGAAACTTCCATTCCATTTCTAATTACGATAGTAATGATAGTAACAATTACCTGTGTGTGTCACTGTGCCAACTGCTGCATACCTATACCTCCTTTAACCTTCACCATAACATGAAAATCAGTTGTTATTATCCCAATGCACAGATGCTGAGACAGGTTTAGAAAAGCTAAATGCTTTACCCAAAATCAACAGTGAAGACATGATAGATGCCTCTAAAGACCCATGTTCTTTAAAAAAATATTTTTATTTTATTTGAAAGGCAGAGTTAGAGAGAGAGAGGGAGAGACAAAGAGAGAGAGAGCACTTCCACCCACTGGTTCACTCCCCAGATGGCTGTAATGGCCAAGGCTGGGCCAGGCCGAAACCAGTAGCCAGAAGCATCTTCCAGGTCTCCCACATGGGTCCAGGGACCCAACCACTTGGGCCATCTTCTGCTGCCCTCCCAGGCCATCAGTAGCAAGCTGGATTGGAAGTGAAGCCTTCAGGAATCAAACCAGCACCCATATGGGATGCTGGTATTGCAGTCAGTGTCTTAATCCGCTATGCCACAGCGCCAGCCCGAGACCCATGTTCTTAACTGCTGTTCACCAGACTATGTCAAGCATGTCGCTCATGCGTTCCTTTCTTTGCCCAACCAACTTTTATAAACAACCCTCATTCATACCTGAATACAGACATTCCAAGGTTTTCCTATAAGGCTTCTGAGTAAATAATTTTATATTGACAAGTTTATCTATAATAAAGGACAGCAAATGTAAACATAGCCGTATATCAAAAGTAATTTCAAAATGTTTGCAGAAAATGGAATTAAAAAATAAGTTTAAGGACGGGCGTTTGGTGCTCCAGTTAAGACACCACTTGAGATGCCTTCATCTCATATTGAAGTGCCTGGGTTCGAGTCCTGGCTCTGCTTCTGACTCTAGCTTCCTGCTAACACACACCTAGGGAGGCAGCAGTGATGGCTCAAGTACTTGGGATCCCTGTCACCCACATGGGAGGCCCAAGATGAGTGCCCGGCTCCTGGCTTCAGCCTGGCTCAGCCCTGGCTGCCGGGCATTTGGGGAGTAAACTAGCAGATGTGTGATCTCCCTCTGGCTCTCTGTCCCCGTCTTTCTCTCTGCCTTTCAAATAAATAGGTTTTAACTTCTCTTAAAAGACGTTTATTCTGATATAAATGAATTTGAAATTCCTGTAGCTTTTTGTAATATACATTTTTTCATGAACTTTTGGACAACGCTCATGCCTGGATTTCAAAAACAGTGTGTGCATCAAAGTAAACTTACCTTTTTATTCTATTTTCTACAAGCATTTTGAAGCCCCCTCTTTCGTGTGTAATCATTCCTATAGGAGAACTTGCAGGAAGATATTCTCTCTTGTGCCCTTTCCAATTTGTTTCTTTTATCAAACAGCTGCGCACTGTGTAGATACCACAAAGCATATGACTGCTGTCTCTGGGCCAGTCTCTTTGAGACTAAACTTTGATCCAAGTCAACAATCTCTCCGTTATTTTAACAGACCACCGACATTTATTGGTCCGACAAAGCATGTTTTCATTCCTTAAGATTAATGACAACATGAACACTTCAGTGGATAATGTTTGATAGTGGTGTTTAGATTTTCATGTGCATATGAGCCTTTGAACTTCTGGAATATGTCTTTTCAGTACAGTGTGAAATTGGAGCCATAATTATCTTCCCCTGAAAGTTGAAAGAGTAACCTCAGAAGCACAGGGAGTTTGATCCGCTGTTTTCACCTTCTTGGCACTCACTTTTCTGTGAGAAAGCCCTTATCACTGAGCTGCACGCTGTTCTGCTTCGTGGTCACCACGAAGGCAGTGGGGTGGGTGGGAAGGATTCGTTTTCCCATGGAGAGTAATCGCCTGCCCTTTGTACAGGATGACGACAGGCCTATGATTGATGTCATGGATCAACTAAGCTCTTCCATTCTCGAAAGCTTTATTCACGTAGCAGTTTCGGATTCAGTAAGTACACATTGGACCCTGATTGCTAACAGTGCTTATGTATAAGCTCTTGACCTGTCTGCAAAAGAGATTCAAAGAAACTTGAAATGGGAGGATGTGGGTTTTATGCCAGATGAGTAAACCAGCACAGATATATTCAAGAAAACAAGTGTTAGCTCCAGAGACCTTTAGATAAATTTCAGACACAATTTGAGCCTTCAGAATATAGACAACATTTTTTTTTCAAACTGCAATTTTGAGAATTGCTCAAGATGCTTAAAAATTGATTTGCCTTCTTTGGTGTATTTAACACTTCATATGTACTTAAAACTAAAGACACTTCGTATTGTACCTAATAGGTGACTTCTGTTTATGTGGTGCTTTGCAATTTACAAGGCGCTTTTGAATTGATCTCATCTGACCCTTAAGTGAGCGGAGGGGTCCCCAAGGCAGTCCCCAGTTCACAGAAGTAAAGTGTTAGTGCCCAGACTTGACCTTCTTCGGGTTGTGAATCTCATTTCCTGAATAGGTGGAAGGGCATTGCAACTGATTTCACTTATCTGACTTTTTACAAATGAAAGTACAGTAACAGAGCCTGGCTTCATTTCAAGTGAAGAGAGGCAGGGCAGACCGGAGACTCCTTGCAGAATCCACGCTGCTAATACCTGATGCAGAGGCTTGTCAAACACAAGGGGCTTTCAAAAGTCCAGGAAAAGATGTACTATGAGAAGAACAATGCATGGATTTCAAACAGCATATGAACCAAAATGAATTTTGAATTCTATTTTTCCGTGAACGTCTTGAAGTGCCCTCCTAATTTAAATGAACATGAAACCTGACAACATGTGTGAGCTTTTCTTGACCTTTTCTACCTGAAATTGAACACAGATTCCTATTATAGTGGCCTTGTTCTTCCTTATAGCCGTCATCACAACAACAGTTGCCTACACTATTCACCAGGCACAACAGACCTTAAGAGAGTGAATAGCTTGGAAAACGGTCCACCTTTATTTGTTTTATATGCATATCATACTGTCCTTCAGACACTAGTAGATGCTGTTCCTGTGACTTCTTTCTGTGTTTAGCAGGATCAAAATCTTAAGCCAGAGGTAACTAGGTCAGCAATATTGTCATTAGGAAGATGCACAAAAAGGGGAGCGGAGGAACGAGGGAAACAGGGCCTGCCTTGTGCCAGGTGTGTTTACATCTGTAATCTCCTATGATTTACTGAAAGATTAGGTGAGAGCACCATTATAATTCCCAAGCCATAAATTAAGTAGAGACCGCAGAGTGCAGCATTTTCCCAGGACACAGGCTTTGGACAGAGCTTGTGTTGGAATCTCACGACTGTGCTGATGCTCACTGCCCGCTGCCCACGGAAGCCACTATTGTAACACTCTTCCCCGTGGGAACTCATTGACCCAGCAGATAAAAGGGTCACATTAAATGCCCAACAAACTTTAAAGGCCATTTCCGCCCCTGATACAATAGCGGGACCATTTGAAAATTAGTATATCCTAAACTTTACTATCTAGACTTAAAAGAGAATGAAATATAAAAGCTTATCTTATCTATATCCTACCTATCTATACAACAAAAGCACATAGATACAGATATTTATCTGTCAAGAGGTTTTGAACAATATTTTTTGAAATATATATATTTTGGCCTGACTGCATAGAGCAAATATAAGTAGGCATCTTATTTAAGAAATCATCAGTTGCATTTCTAAAAGGCATTGTGTTCAGCCATCTCTAAATGAAGGGGAAGCTTTCTCAATCTGAGTAAAGATAGAGAAAATCACAAGTAAAAGTTTATGTTAATTACAAGGATTAAAATACACCCATGAATTTCAGAGATGAGTAACTTCCCAGAATTTTTTAATGATAAAGCCATGAATACCTTTAAATGAACTCATTTCAGGTATTTTTTTCAACAAACATGTGCTGAGCCACTTCTGTGCACTAAAGCACAGCACTGTGTGACATTAAAACTGTCACCATATGACCGCAGCCCTTAGACTTTGCACTCGCACTGCTTACCATCTAGCAGAAGAAACTGACGACTATGCAGCAGGGCTCATATGGCAGGTGCAGGAGAGGTGGTTCAGGTGCCGAGCCAGCCCTTCGCAGAGGTGGCCGGGAGAAACCCTGTAGAAGAAGGGGCCCCTCCCTGAGCCCTGATGAGGACAGGTGACTTCAGGTGAGTTTTCATTCACTGTCTCCCTCCTGCTCCTGCAGGCAACCTTGCCCTTGACCCACAACGTGGATCTGCAGTGGTTGGTGGAATGGAACGCGGTCCTGGTCAATAGCCACTACGATGTCAAGAGCCCGTCCCACGTCTGGATTTTTGCACAGTCTGTCAAAGACCCATGGGTGCTCTGCCTCTTCAGCTTCCTGCGGCAGGAGAACCTGCCCAAGCATTGCCCCACGGCCCTCAGCTACGCGTGGCCTTACGCCTTCACTCGGCTCCAGTCGGTGATGCCACTAGTGGACCCCAAGTAAGGGATCACTGTGCCCTCCTCTGTTTTGCTTGTTTTATGGTTTGCCCTCTTAAGTTTTCATTCTGTCTAAATGATTGGGATGCTATAATCATCCCCAGTTTCTGAACTTCCCACTATAGCATTCTTAACATTGAATAGAAGAACCACAAGTTTTTGTCCAGAGCTAGAGTTTTCTTTTTTTGTCTTAATAATCAATGTGATTATCTAAGTATGGACTCTCCTTGAACTCTTCATGGTTAAAGGAATCTTAAAGCTCACCAGTCCCCTACTCAGCCGCCCTTGCAGTGCAGATGGTCCCTAGACAATGCCTTTGATGGACAGTTGTCTCCACTTGAGCACCTCCTGTGATCTTCATTTAATAAGTGATATTTCAAATCTAGAACTTCATTTCACCCTTGTTTTTTGACTCCCTGCTTTCTAGTAGCCCCATTAACGCCAAGAAAACCAGCACTGCCAGCAGCGGAGACAACTACGTTACCCTGTGGAGAAATTACCTGATTCTGTGTTTTGGAGTTGCAAAACCTAGCATCATGAGCCCAGGACACTTAAGGGCTTCCACTCCGGAAATAATGGCAACCACCCCTGATGGTACAGTGAGCTACGATAACAAGGTGACATGACATGCTTCCGAAGAATTCTTCTGTAAGGTTTTTTTTTAGCTTGTTTGTCTAGAGTTCCCAGTGCAACGTTGCACTGTGCCTGCCATCTGGAGTATTGTGGGATCAGATTTTCATCCTACACATTCCTAAATTCCATCGGGTGTTTATGTGAATAATTTATGACTCGTCCCCAACAAGTGGGAACCGAAGAGAAAATGAAGTTGAGAAACTTGCTTAAGACCGAGTGACTTGTGTTTACCAGTTCACTGAGTTGCATTCGTGTCTGACATGTCATTTCTCTCACTCCTCACCAAGAATTCCACCTGTAAACCATGCGCTGGTTATTTTGTTAAAGGTGATTTTGTAAACTGAGCTGGTTTTTCTACAAAAGGGAGAGGACTACTATAAAACATTTTTTCTTTAGAATTTGTGTCCCAGATGAGAAATACATTTGTTGTATTGCATTTATGAGGTTTTTTTTTTCTTCTTTTGTTTTTCCTGAAATGATGGCAGTGCCTTGGGATGTGGTTCAGTACTTTGGAACTGTCGTATAGAATCCTTGTGTGACTAAGAGAACCGCCAGTTACCCTGTTACCTCTTTTTCACTTTTCATCTACTCATTTCAGGCCATAGGCACCCCATCGGTGGGAGTTCTCCTAAAGCAGCTGGTGCCTTTGATGAGACTAGAGAGCATTGAGATCACAGAGTCCTTAGTCTTAGGATTTGGAAGAACAAATTGCCTTGTTTTCAGGTACAGTAGTCTTCATGAGTGTTCTAAATTCATGCATGTGCCGCTGTCGTGGTTCGTTTTTGTGACTCCGGTTGAGTTTGCGTGTTGGTGTTTGCCGGGACGGTTGATATGCACTGTGTGGTTCCCTTTGTCTTCTTTGGTTGACGTACGTGTATCAGCCATTCCTTGCAACCACCTCACATTTTGCTTTCAGTCATTGCAACTTGAATTCTGCCTCCTAGATTTTATTTAACCTGTGGGCTTTGTTTAGGATTGCTATAAGTGAAGATAATTTTGTGTCAGTCCCCAGTTAGGCTACTCAGAAGCTATGATATCTAAATAATAACCACATCTAAAAAAATAATAGTAACCTTCTCTGCTCCTCAGGCATTTACACAACACTCTCAAGGTGTAAGCACCCTTTGCAGTATATTCTGCAAATTATGTTGTTTTCGGTATAGTCAATTATTCCTGTAAGGCACTTTCTCTTCTTTAATAGGAGGAGACTTCCAAAGGTTTGTGAAATATGGGATAAGTTAGGGGCTGGAGCTGTGGAGTAGCAGGTAAAGCTGCTGCCTGCAGTGCCAGCCTCCCATATGGGCACCCATTCGAGACCCGTCTGCTCCACTTCCAATCCAGTTCACTGCTATGGCTTGGGAAAGCAGTAGAAGATGGCCCAAGTGCTTGGGCCCCTGCACCCACATGGGAGACCCAGAAGAAGCTCCTGGCTCATGGCTTTGGAATGGTGCAGCTCCAGCCTTTGCGGCCAATTAGGGGGTGAACCATCTGATGGAAGACCAGTCTCTCTCTCTCTCCTCTCTCTCTCTCTCTTTCTCCTTCTCTCTCTCCTTCTCTCTGTGTGCAACTCTGACTTTCAAATAGATAAATGAATCTTTAAAAATAAAAAGCTAAGTTTGTTTTCATGCAAACATTTTTTAAATCCATGCATAGTTTTATTCATGATATCCACTTTCATGAACTTTTGGAAGACCTCTTCTATGTGAATTTCAACCATTTTTGCACCAAAATAAAATTCTTTTAATTCCATTTTCTAGCAAACCTTCTGAAGTCCCCTCATACAGCCAGCATACCTGGATTTCTGGGTCTTACATCTGCACAATAAATCCATCTATAGCAATATCAAAGCTTTTTTAAAAAAAGATTTATTTATTTTTTGAAAGACAGAGTTACAAAGATGCATAGGTGGATAGAGATAGAAAGAGAGAGAGAGAGAGAAAGAGAGAGGTCTTCCATCTGCTGGTTCCACTCCATAAATAGTCGCAACAGCCAGTGCTGTGCCAATCCGGAGCCAGGAGCCAGGAGCTTCTTCCGGGTCTCCCACACAGGTGCAGCGGCCCAAGCACCTGGACCACCTTCCACTGCTTTCCCAGGCCAGAGCAGAGAGCTGGATCAGAAGTGAAGCTTATATCTGTACTGGAGAAATCAGGGAAAAAAGCTAGGATTTGTATCTCTAAAATACACGGAGTTTATCTTCCTGTTCTTGGATTTTCTTGGAGTATGTAATATCATAAAACAAGGTGTCCTGCGAGAAACGTCACAGATTGTAGACAAATGCAGAGATACTAGCGTGGCATCAGCCCAGATCTCCTACTTTGCTCTGTTTTGACATAGCAATTTAGAAGTTATTTCCTAAAGAAAAGAACTAATTAGATTAGCAAATATCACTTGAGGTGGAGATCATGGGGACCGGTGAAGTGCGTGTATTCAACATAAGCTGCCTGTCAATGTGGTCTAAACTTAGATGTGTACCACCTAAGAGAAAAAGGTTTTGATGAGAACCTCAGGATTTTAATACTTGCCATAATTTATATTTATTATATAGCTCAAATAGAGAAACTGAACTCTGAAATCCAAAAAGACTCTATTTTAAAAATCAGCTGTAAATCAGTCTCCTGAGCTCAAATCTCAAAGGCAGTGCCAGAGTAATTGCACCTGTCTCTTTTCTTCCACTGGGACTAAAAAATTCTTGGGTGCAGGGACTCAGTTATATTTATTTTTAGTTTAATAGTTTATAGCAAAGTACTTCGAAATTTAGAAGCACTTGGAAAATATTATTTGCTTGCTCAGGTAGGGGTTTTTGCCATGAGATTTCCAGATCATTTAAATAAGATCAAGTTATCCGATAGGAATTGAACTAAAATTATAGCTCAAGAACTGGGACTAAGACCAGCAATTTGGAATATGGGCCAATACATGTTTGTAGTTTACCACCTGGTAGGGAAATGGAGAAGTTAGGGGAGATTTTGTTGTCAGAAGCAAACTGAAAAAAATCAAGTGATGTGGGACTGAATATATTTGTTGACAAGTTAATTTTCAGTAACAATGAATACCAAATGTTGGGCTTTTTCCTTCATAGAGAATTGGTGGAAGAACTTCATCCATTAATGAAAGAAGCTCTGGAACGAAGACCAGAGGTGAGATTTTGAATTTAAATAATTAAGACTTGGTTTATTTGGACAATGATGTGAATTTACATCAAACTGAATGGCTCCCCTAAAGAATATAAGCACCCCAAGATGCATTTAACAATGAATTTTGATACTTCAATGTCATTTTCATTATTTAAGTATTTAATATAATTTGATTCCTATTTTAAAGGATTTTAAATAAATATTTATTTATTTATTTATTTGAAAGGCATAGTTACAAAGAGAGAGACTCCAGTTCTCTGGTTCACTTTCCAAATGGTCACGACAAATAGTGCTGGGCCAAGCCAAATCCACAAGCCTGGAACTCTATCTGAGTCTCCCATGTCATTGGCAGCCTTCCACTGCTTTTCCCAGACCATTAGCAGGGAGCTGGATCCTGAGTGGAGCAGCCAGAACTTGAACCAGGGCCCATATGGGATGTCAGTGTCCCAGGCAGCATCTTAACCTGCACCACAATGCTGGCCCCTTAAAGGATTTTTGTGTCCTAAACATATAAATTTAAAACAACTTAAGCTGTCATGTATATGTTATAGACTTTTGCAAAAAGTTTGCATTAAAATTAATTTTAGTTTTTAGTTTTTTGTTAATAAGCAATCAGATGCCCAAGAATATTATTTGTCTCCTCTGGCATATAACATTATTTTCTCTGATATGAATCCACTTCTAACGTACCAGCATTAAAAAACAAAAAAGGATAATGTACCAGAATAAGAAATAAATAAAAATGATACTAAGAAGCTTTCCCTATAGTAGATTTGATAAAGAAATAACAGAAATGGAGCCAATGGAATAAAAACAGAGTTACCTTGAAAGCACAGCTGGTGGAATTATTGGTGTCCCCTTCCACGAGTTTCAGATGCCCTGGACTCTCCACAGTTGCTGGGGGCACCTGGGAAGGGAGGCTCCTTAGTGCTCCACATTCCAACCTCATGGCATCTGTCCCACCGTGCTAAGGACCTGTTGCTACTATAGTCCATAATAGCAAGCACTTTCTCAAAGGATTAGGAAGAAAGAACGTGCATTTTGCCTTTTTTTTTTAAATGATGTTCCTTTTTAAAAAACGTTATCTGAGAGGTAGAGTTACAGAGAGAGAGAGAGAGAAACACAGGGAGAGAAGTCCTCCATCCACTGGTTCACTCCCCAAATGGCCGCAACAGCCGGAGCTGGGCCGATCCGAAGCCAGGAGCCTCTTCCGGGTCTCCCACATGGCTGCAGGGTCCCAAGCACCTGGGCCATCCTCTGCTGCTTTTCCCGGCCATTAGCAGGGAAGTGGATCTGAAAAGGAGCTGCCAGGACATGAGCCAGTGCCCATAGGAGATGTCAGCACTGCGGGAGGAAGCTTAACCTACTACGCCATAGCACCAGCTTTTTGTGCTTAGAAAATTTGCCTTTTGTGCTTAGCAAATTGAAATTGACTTGATTATGCCTCGCTTTAATACACATTCCTAAAGCAAGGTTAATACTGTTTTTTCCATATTCTTTTACCTCTCTCTCTGCAGAACAAGAAACGCCGAGAACGACGAGACTTACTGAGGCTCCAACTACTTCGAATTTTTGAACTTCTGGCTGACGCTGGTGTAATAAGTGACAGGTGGGCCATAACTCTACCAAACTGGTCTCTCTCTTCTTTTTAAAATATATTACCCTTAACTCGGGAAAGTAAACAAAAAATGCCCTCTTTTCCCTTTTGTTATGCTGTTACTCTGCAGTTTAGTTTAGGAACAGATTTTAGTATGTGCGTTCAGACCACGCATCTCATGGTCTGACAATCTTAAACTTTCCATTTCCTTTATTTCAGCACAAATGGAGCCTTAGAACGGGATACGCTAGCCCTGGGAGCTTTGTTCTTAGAATATGTGGACTTGACCCGCATGCTGTTAGAAGCTGAAAATGACAAAGAAGTTGAAATTCTTAAAGATATCCGGGCACATTTCAGTGCTATGGTCGCCAACTTGATCCAGTGTGTCCCAGGTAGGGTGCTAGATCGTTGCAAATCACTTTTCACCTTCGAAAAACATTCATGTTCTCTAGACTGTACCTTGCTCCATGATTCAACTGGCCTACGTGCAAATCTAGGACAAGATCTTAGATTTATTTAGAGATATTTGGAAATACACGTGAGAACAGATTGTTATAACTCAGCACAGAGTTGGAAAGGGAGCAGTGGGAATTTAGTTTGACTTTGTGCATGTCATTCCTACTCTATTTAATTTCCATTGAAAATGAACTTGTGTGATTTCCATAGGAAAGGAGTAATTTAGAAGGCACATTCACAGAGACTTCATTTTTTCCTATCTTTGTGCTAACCTGTACACATGTAATATCAGCAATATCCCTGCTGTCTGACTCACTAAATAGAATTTTTTTATTTAGTAAATATAAATTTCCAAAGTACAGTTTATGGATTACAATGGCTTTCCCCCACATAATTTCCCTCCCACTCGCACCCCTCCCATCTCCCGCTCCCTCTCCCATTCCATTCACATCAAGATTCATTTTCAATTATCTTTATATACAGAAGATTGATTCAGTATATATCAAGTAAAGATTTCATCAATTTGCACCCACACAGAAACACAAAGTGTAAAATACTGTTTCAGTACTAGTTATACCATTACTTCACATTGGACAACACATTAAGGACAGATCCCACATGAGAAGTAAGTACACAGTGACTCCTGTTGTTGACTTAACAATTTGACACTCTTGTTTATGGCGTCAGAAATCTCCCTAGGCTCTAGTCATGAGTTGCCAAGGCTATGGAAGCCTTTTGAGTTCGCCGACTTCGATCTTATTCAGACAGGGTCATAGTCAAAGTGGAAGTTCACTCCTCCCTTCAGAGAAAGGTACCTCCTTCTTTGATGACCTGTTCTTTCCACTGGGATCTCACTTGCAGAGATCTTTCATTTACTTTTATTTATTTTTTTTTTTTTTTTTGCCAGAGTGTCTTGGCTTTCCATGCCTAAAATACTCTCATGGGCTCTTCAGCCAGATCTGAATGCTTTAAGGGCTGATTCTCAGGCCAGAGTGCTGTTTAGGAAATCTGGCATTCTATGAGTCTGCTGTGTATCCAGCTTCCCATGATGGGTCGTTCTCTCCCTTTTTGATTCTATCAGTTAGTATCAGCAGACACTAGTCTTTTTTGTGTGATCCCTTTGACTCTTAGACCTATCAGTGTGATCAATTGTGAACAGAAATCGATCACTTGGACTAGTGAGATGGCATTGGTACATGCCACCTTGATGGGATTGTATTGGAATCCCCTGGCACGTTTCTAACTCCACCATTTGGGGCAAGTCCAATTGACCATGTCCCAAATTGTACATCTCCTCCCTCTCTTATTCCCACTCTTATATTTAACAGGGATCACTTTTCAGTTAAAATTTAAACACCTAAGAATAATTGTGTGTTAATTACAGAGTTCAACCAATTGTACTAGAACAAAAAAATACTAAAATGGATAAAGTATTACATTGTACAGCAACAGTCAGGACAAGAGCTGATCAAGTCACTGTTTCTCATAGTGTCCATTTCACTTCAACAGGTTTCCCCTTTGGTGCTCAGTTAGTTATCACCGATCAGGGAGAACATATGATATTTGTCCCTTTGGGACTAGCTTAATTCATTCAGCATAATGTTTTCCAGATTCCTCCATCTTGTTGCAAATGACCAGGTTTCATTGTTTTTGACTGCTATATAGTATTCTATAGAGTACATGTCCCATAATTTCTTTTTCCAGTCTACTGTTGATGGGCATTTGAGTTGGTTCCAGGTCTTAGCTATTGTGAATGGAGCTGCAATAAACATTAATGTGCAGACAGCTTTTTTGTTTACCAATTTCATTTCCTTTGGGTAAATTCCAAGGAGTGGTATGGCTGGGTTGTATGGTAGGGTTATATTCAGGTTTCTGAGGAATCTCCAGACTGACTTCCATAGTGGCTTAACCAGTTTGCATTCCCACCAACAGTGGGTTAGTGTCCCTTTTTCCCCACATCCTTGCCAGCATCTGTTGTTGGTAGATTTCTGTATGTGAGCCATTCTAACCAGGGTGAGGTGAAACCTCATTGTGGTTTTGATTTGCATTTCCCTAATTGCTAGTGATCTTGAACATTTTTTCATGTGCCTGTTGGCCATTTGGATTTCCTCTTTTGAAAAATGTCTATTGAGGTCCTTGGCCCATCTCTTAAGTGGGTTGTTTGTTTTGATGTTGTGGAGATTCTTGATTTCTTTGTAGATTCTGGTTATCAACCACTAAATAGAATTTTAAAGTAATTTTAATTTTAAGTAAAATTTTTGTAAGTAAAAATGAAACAAAATAATTAAAGTAAAATTTTAAGTAAATTTTACATTTGATTATTACATTATTGAGAGAATTATCGTTCACAGAGCAAGTGGATGTGAAACATTTTCATTCTGATAGAATCAGAAAATAATATAGCTGGTCAATTGGTGTAAAAATTAATTGAAGGATTTTTAGTATAATTCCAAAAAGCCTTCAACTCAGTTAATGTTTCTACTTTTCATGATGTGGATGTTAAAGATCTTAATGATCCTCTTCATCTTTGAGGACCCCAAATAGAGATTTAAATTAACTTTTCCAGTTGAAGTGCATTTGTTTGAAATTCATACTCTATACTAAACATCACAACTCTTCCTAAAAACAGGCAGTAGCAGTCAAGAAAACGTTTTATACATAAGCTAACAGGAAGTGTTGCAGTTTCTGAGATACTAATTAGAGAAAAGTGTCTTTGGTCCCATTTTTGATTGCTGCTTCCTTCTGAGTCTAGGTGCTACTGCCTGCTATGGGAGGAGAAGGAGAGCACACACTTAGAAAATTCAGCTTAACGTTTGAAATATGTTTCATTACCTAAAGAAAAATAGAATTAGGAAATCAAATTGACCCTTTCCCCAAAACTTAAGAATCTGGTACAAAAGTGCTTCAAAAAGTTCATGGAGAGGTGGGTGTTTAGCCTAGCAGTGAAGACACTGGGTCCGACACCTGTGTACCACATGGAGTACTGATTTTGATCCCAAGCTCTGCCTCTTGACTCCAGCTTCATGCTGATACAGACCCTGGGAAGCAGTGTTGATGGCTCAAGTGGTTGGGTTCCTGCCATTTCTGTGGGAGACCTGGACTGAGCTCCTGGCTCCCAGCTTTGGCCTAAGGCTCAGCCCTGGCCAATGTGTACATTTGGGGGTTAAACCAGAGGATGGGAGCCTTTCTCTCTCTTTCTGTGTGTGTGTGTGTGTGTGTGTATTTGTGTGTATGTCTGCCTCTCAAATTAAAAAGAAGTTCAAGGAAAACTGAAATTAAAACATAACTATTTTGATTGTAGAAAATTTTGAAATCCATGAATACTTTTTTTCATAATATGTATTTTCCATGAACTTTTAAAGACTCCCTCATATGGAAAGATTTCAATTTTTTTGCACCAAAATTTTATTTTCTAATTCCATTTTTCCCACACTTTCGGAAGCCCCATTGTGGAGCAGTGATACAGACCTCAGTGTGGGAGACTCTAACTCCGCGTTTTTCTCCCTAGTTCACCACCGAAGGTTTCTCTTCCCCCAGCAAAGCCTGCGGCACCACCTCTTCATCTTGTTCAGCCAGTGGGCGGGACCCTTCAGCATTATGTTCACTCCTCTGGATCGCTACAGTGACAGAAATCATCAGATTACAAGATACCAGTATTGTGCATTAAAAGTAGGTGACATTTTCCTCACTGAGTTTTGTCAGATCAATGGTGTGTTTCCTCAAATTAACAACCATACCTTAAATATAAGGCTAAAATAAATAGCATAATATTATTGATGTGATAAAATTGAAGTGCAAATGCAAAAGTATCAAATAGGCATACTTAAAAAAATAAACGCATTCACTGAGTTCAGAATTTACATATAAACATAGATATTTGTAAACATGTAAACATGTAAATATGAGTATTCCAGTTCTGGTCACAATTTCAAAATGGAAAACTTTGGCAAATTCCCACTTTTATCCATTGTTTCTACTATTTGGGAACCTTGAGATTTTTCTAATTTACCCCTTAATAGCTGTCTTACAAATAAACTTGCAACCCAAAACAGAAAGGTGGCACTCAAGTTCAAAATCTACCAAGAGCTGAGTGCCCTGTCCAGTCTCCTCCTCTCCCCCAGTCCTGCGATCACCAGTAAAAAAATTTCCATGCAACGAGGACTGATCAAAGGCTTCACAGCATGACTCCTTACAGTCCCATTTATTTTAGAAAATTAACTTTATATCACTTCTGTTATTTGCTCTACAAGTTAGTGACTCTCAGTTGACCTTGGCCCCAGTGGAGCTAATTTATGCGATGGTCCTCACAGTCTATTAGACCTGGTGAGTGTACATCAATCAAGATCCCCTTTTGACCTGTCTTCCCTTCATTCTTCTCCCCTCTGTAGAAACTGAAGTTCACATTTTTCATTTTCTTTACCATTGGTAAAGGATCATAATTATTTTTATATTTTTCATAGTTTGTCAACCCAGTATATTACTCAAATAGTGTTAAAAAAGCAAAATTTGAAAAAGCAGTATTTCTCTTATAAGCAGAATGCACTCAAAATCACTGAAGAAAAATGTGTTTTAGATGTTGTGAAATGGTCATTTTCCTTTGATTGTTCATGCTTTCATCTAAAGATTTGTGATAGTCATAAAATTATACATCCACAAAGTTAAATTTATGGTTTTTAACACATAAAAAGAGCTGAATTTGGAATCTTTTATTTTTTATTAAATCTACTAATGAAGTCTTTGAAATCTAGGAAAAATACTGCCTTTAGAAGTCTTTTATTTGTAAATCTAATAGTTCTGTTTTATAAAAACAAATTTGTCTAGGTTTCATTTTCACGTTTTGTTGTGTTTTTATTCTCAGGCGATGTCGGCAGTGTTGTGTTGCGGCCCTGTTTTTGACAATGTGGGCCTCTCTCCAGATGGCTACCTCTATAAGTGGCTTGACAACATTCTCGCTTGTCAAGATTTACGAGTAAGTAATAAGCAAAAGTACATTGTTTTTGAAAGTATTGTTCACAACACAATCTCTTCATGTATTAGCTACTCAAATTATTCACATTACAACTATGATACAGGATCAAAAACATGGTAACATTTACTAAAATTTATCATAAGTCGGGTTATCAAGCAAGTCTTCACAAAAGTCAAATGAGTTCTATATTCACAGTAACATTGAAGTAGTAGTGAAAAATGAAAAGATAATTTCAGTGCTGTGGCACAACAGGTTAAGCTACCACTTGTGACACCAGCAGCGCATATTGTATGTGGGAAGTCCCTGGATGATGACCCAACTGCTTGGCCCCTGCCACCCATGTGGGAGACAAAGATCGAGTTCTTTGCTCTTGTCTTTGGCCTGGCTCAGCCCTGGCTGTTTTGACCATTTGGTGAGTGAACTTGTTGATGGAAGATATTCATTCTCTCTCTCTCTATCCCCCCCCCCCACCTTTCGCCCCGTTCCCTTTCACTCTCTTTCAAATAAATAAATCTTTAAAAAAAAAATCCAGTTAACCACTGAGTCAAATAACTAATATAATAGCGATGGAAACTGGAAAATATTTTAACTGAAGAATAATGAAAATACTAAACTGGACTATAATAAACTCTTGCTTAGAATGAAATGTGTAGACTTAAAAAATGCATGTATTAGAAAGAAAAAAGGCTCATAATCCATCCTAATAATATCATATCAGTAATAGGATATCAGACTCCTTAAAAAGTATAATGAATGAAATAATAGCAATAAGAACAGAAATTAATGAAAAATAGTTTTACTGTTTAATAATCACTAAAGTCAAAAGTTTAATTTGTTAGAAGACTAATGTACAGGAAGAAGAGGAAAATCTGAGTATTCATAGAAGTATTAGAGAAGAATCAGGAAAGAAAATAAGAAATAAAGAAAACTAATACCAGATGGCTTTGCAGATAAATCCTGCCAAACATTTAAGGAACAGTTACATTGATTAAATAAAAATTATTAAAAAGAGAAAACAGATCAAGAGTAAATACATCCCAATACATTTAATGAGACCAGCATAACCTTAACAGTAAAATTGGACACATATGTAACAAGAAAAAAAATTAAAAGACAATTGCATTCATAAATTGAATTCAGTGATAGATATGTGTGTGTGTGTGTGTGTGTGTGTATATATATATATATGTATATATAAATGGTGATTCATATAACCAAACTTTATTTAAGAACTGCAGGTTGGCTTAATGTTCAAATACAAACAGCTTTCAGTTCATTGCAAAAGTACAGTCAGCATTCTGTGTCCACATCCACAAATTCAACCAATCATGGATCAGAAGTAGAAAAAAGATTGTGTCTAAGTATAGACATGTACAGACTTCTTTCTTGTCATTATCTCCTTAAAATGTAGTCTAACAACTATTTATGTTGCATTTACATTTTAATAAGCTGCATAATGTAGAGATTATGTAATCTAGAGATTACATTGGAGGATATACATAGGTTAGATGCAAGCATTATGTCATTTTTTTTTATTATTTGACAGGTAGAGTTTTAGACAGTGAGAGAGAGAGACATAGAGAAAGGTCTTCCCTCTGTTGGCTCACTCCCCAAATGGCCACAATGGCCAGCGCTGTGCCGATCCAAAGCCAGGAGCCAGAAGCCTTGGGCCATCCTCCACTGCCCTCCCAGGCCACAGCAGAGAGCTGGTCTGGAAGAGGAGCAACTGGGACTAGAACTGGCGCTCATATGGGGTGCCGGCGCTGCAGGCAGAGGATTAACCAAGTGAGCCTCATTACCGGCTCCACTATGTCATTTTTTATAAGAGACTTGTGCATACATGGATTTTGATATCATGAAGGGTTGCGGGGTCATGGAACCAATCAAGGGATGACTGTATATTGAAGTATCCTTTCTGAGATTTGAATGACCAAGGAAGCCCACTTTCAACACCACTATCAGCATTATACTGTAGATCCTAGGCAGTGCATTAGGAAAGAAAAGATAAAAGGAGTGAAAAAAATACTTATTCACAGATACACGTTTGTATACGTGGGAAATCAAAAATAATCTGTTAAATGTTGGAATTAATAAGTGAATTTCGTAAGGTTGCTAGTTGAAAGTAAAAAAAATGTGTTTCAGTATGGCAGCAGTAAACAATTGGAAAAATAATTTTGTAATTATACAATGTATAGTAGCATCTTTTAACTAGGAATGAATATTAACTATTTAGGAATAAATCTCAAAAATGTGCAGGACCTCTTACATAGAAATATATAAAGCACTAATGGGAAAAACTGAGAGAATAAATGGAAGAATATACCATACTCATGCACTAGCCATAAAGATGTCAATTCCCCATTAACATGATTTTTAGATATAATGTAATCAATCTCAAAGTCCTAGAAAGATTTTTGTAGCAACTGTCACATTTCTTTTAATTTTTAATTTATTTGCATATCCATTCAATTTTATTTGAATGGCAGAGACACAGAGACAGATGGACAGAGATCCTTCATCCTGATTCACTCCCCAAATTCTTGCAACAAGCAGGGGAGGACTGGGCTGAAGCCAGGAGCCAGGAGCTCAATCCAGGTCTCTTATGTGGGTGGCAGACAACCACTTACTTGCGTGATTACTGCTGCCTTTGAGAATGAGCATCAGTAGAAAGCTAGAATCATAAATGGAGCTGGGCCTTGAACTTGGACACTTTGATGTGGGATGCAGGCACGCCAAGCAGCATCTTAACTGCTGCACCAAATGCCTGTCCTAACAAGTTTCTTTTAAAATAAATATGTGGAATTAGAATGGCAGATTTCTTAAACAGCACTCTGGCCTCATAATCAGCCCTTAAGGCGTTCAGATCTGGCTGAAGAGCCCATGAGAGTATTTTAGGCATGGAAAGCCAAGACACTCTGGCAAAAAATAAATAAATAAAAGACGTAAATGAAAGATCTCTGCGAGTGAGATCCCAGTGGAAAGAACAGGTCATCAAAGAAGGAGGTACCTTTCTCTGAAGGGAGGAGAAAACTTCCACTTTGACTATGACCTTGTCTGAATAAGATCAAAGTCGGCGAACTCAAAAGGCTTCCATAGCCTTGGCAACTCATGACTAGAGCCTAGGGAGATTTCTGACGCCATAAACAAGAGTGTCAAATTGTTAAGTCAACAACAGGAGTCACTGTGTACTTACTCCTCACGTGGGATCTCTGTCCTTAGTGTGTTGTCCAATGTGAATTAATGCTATAACTAGTACTCAAACAGTATTTTACACGTTATTTTCTGTGTGGGTGCAAACTAATGAAATCTTTACTTAATATATACTGAATCAATCTTCTGTATATAATTATAAATGAAAATGAATCTTGATGTGAATGGAATGGGAGAGGGAGCAGGAGATAGGAGGGGTGCGAGTGGGAGGGAAGTTATGGGGTGGGGAGCCATTGTAATCCATAAACTGTACTTTGGAAATACTTGTTAAATATTCATCAAATAAATTTTCATACAAGAAAAAAAAAGATTGTAAAAAAAATAAATAAATAAATATGTGGAATTAAAAAGGATCAAGAATAGCTAAAATAATTTTGAACATCATAAAGTGAAAACACTTACTTTAATAGACTTATAAACTCACAGTGATTAAAACACTGTACCATTGGCCAAAGAATAAATAAATACAGTGGAGTAAAATGCAGAAGGCAACTGGAAAATGGCCCACAAATATATAAGGACACTTCTTTTATATCACAGGTGACATTAGAGCTGTGGGGAAAAGAAGGTTTTTTCAATGAATGATTTTGGTCAATTAAATAACGATATTAAAATATATATGCCTAAATTTGATTCCTTTCTTACTCTGTCTACTGAGATGCATTGTAGATGGATTGTGCATCTAATGTAAAAGCTCAGATACTAAAATTTCTGGAAAATGACACAAAATAACATCTTCTTCCTGGAGGTTACAGTAAAACTTCCTAAACAGGATGCAAAAATTATTGGCCATGTGGAAGGAATGAGTAATGACTTTTGTTCTCTAAAATACATTTTTATTAGTGAAAACAGCCATAGATTGAGATTTTGGTATCACATAACCAGGAAAAAGTTCTTACCTAGAATATATCTTTATATACAAATTAATAAGGGCAAACTGAGTAAAAAGTAAGCCAGAAACGTAAGTGATTCGCAGAAGACAATACTGAAATGGTCAATAAATAGAAGAAAAGGTTCTCAAGCTCATTTGTAAGTAGTTCATTCAGGCTGCTACTATGAAATACCATAGAGTGCGTTAGCAACAGAAATGTATTTCTTACATTCCTTGTTCATGGACAGCTATCTCTTGGCTATGTCCTCACATGGCCAAAGGGTAAAGGTAACTACGGCCAGTCATGAGGACCACTCTCTCAAGATCCAATTACCTCACCTCTAAATACTGTCAGAGTAAATGCTGGCAAAGATGTAGAAAAAGGGGAATTCTTTTACACTGTTGATGGGAATGTAAATTAGTGCAGCCACTGTGGAAACCAGCACGGAGATTTCTTAAAAAAAAAAAAAGTAGAAATAGAATTGTCATGTGACCCTGATCCAGCAATCTCACCACTGACTATATACCCAAAAGACATGAACACATTGTATCAAAGAGGTACCTGTGCCACCATGTTTATAATAGGGCTGTTCACAACAGCCAATCTGTGGAATCAAAACCAATCTGATATCATTCATCAGATAAATAGATAAAGAAATGTATATACATATACTTAGACAAACGCCACATGTTCTCCCTTATATATAGGAGCTAAAAGTTTTTTTAAAAAAACAAAACCAATAAAAGAAAGAAAGGCCTGTGTGTATCAGTTTTGCTGCAGATACACTGTTTTGTCAAACTTCTGTTCTGAGTCTTTGTTGAGTAAATTGTTAGGAGTTATATACTACTGCACTTTAGATGATGTGTGACTGTCTTGACTGTATATGGGTAAAGTTGACATCTTTTCATTTCATTGTTGTTTATGGCCCTTGCCTGTGTCCCTGATGAACTATAGTCTCTTTGCTTTTCGTCTGTTGAACTCTTTATTTAGTAGAGCATAAGCCTATGACCATAATGTAAAATGAAAATATGTTAGCTCAAAAAAAAACACTTTTTCTAATAAAATAAAAGGTACTTTCACAGTGGGTATTTGGGTTTACCATATCACTTTGGGACAGGCACAAACTTTCAGTCTATAGCATCGGGGAAATGCAAAGTAAAGACATTCAGAATTATAAACTATACAACTCAGTTTGTGTAGAGTTCAAATATAGTCCAAAGTAACCGATGGAGGCAGAAGTCAATATAGTGGCTGCTTCTGGCAGGAGAGAGTACCAAAGTAGGCTGGCAATGTTCTGGACTTTGGACCTGGTGGTGACCACACTAGCATATTCGGTTAAGATAATTCATCATATACTCATAAATTGTATACTATATCAATTTTATTCTTCAATGCAAACTTTCTAAAGTGCAATAAAATCCAGCTGATTTTCTTCCAAGTCAAACTAACCTTTTAAGGAAATTAAAAAAAAATACTTATTTCATTTTATTTGAAAGAGTTACAGAGAGGTAGAGACAGAGAGAGTCTTCCACTTGTCGTTTCACCCCCCAAATGGCCTCAATGGCCAGAACTGAGCTTATCTGAAGCCAGGAGCTTTTCCAGATTTCCCACGTGGGTACTGGGGCCCAAGCACTTGGGCCATCCTCCACTGCTTTCCCAGGTGCATTAGCATTGAGCTGGATTGGAAGTGGAGCAGCCGAGACTCGAACTGGTACCCATATGAGATGCCAGCGCTGCAGACAGGGGCTTTACGCCACTACACCACAGCACCGGCCCCAGAAAGTGTTATTTTTAAGTTGATTTACTGCTGATTACCTAAGCCTGTTGAGGAAACTAGGTTGAAGATGCCTGGTTATCCAGTTAGCATGTCTCTCCCATCTGGGCCAAATCCCGTAAGGAAAAAAGCAAACAAGCCAGGATCGTTCCTTCTCTAACTGGGTGCAAGTAGCAGAAAGAGTAGGCACCTTGAAGAGAAGCAGGAACATGGTAGGGCACGCGGCCTCCAGGCCCCGGGCTCCTCCTGGACAAATGCACGTGGCCGCCGTGATCCTGATGCCACAGGCAATGAAGCAATCAACAGATAGGAATCCTCTGAATTCTACATGGGGTGTGTTTCCCTGGGGAAGCCTCCAGTGAAGAAAAGTCTGTTGAGACTGGATTTCTTTGTAAAAAATTGGCAGTCAAGCTTCACATGGTATATTTTACTGATCAAGCCTCTTTATCATATTGGAAATTTTCCTTAGAAGATTTTGTATACATAGAGGATATTCTATTGTATATTGGATTTTTTAAACCAAGCACTTGTGTTCTTCAGGAAAAAAAAATGTTAAATGCAAAAAAAGAAATATTGCCAAAAATTTACCACTTTTTCAGAGTTAAAATATAGACTGTAGATTTAGAGATGGTTAAATGGGGTGTATATATTTCAGTTTTCCATTGTAACATTACACCCTCTTGAAGAAGAATATGTACCTTAAAATTAATCAAAAGGGATGACCAGTCTTTGATTTTACTAAATGTATATTGACTACGCTTGATCTTGTATCTTTCTCTAGCACATTGTTTTCTTAATTGTGAATAATTGATTTGCCTCATATATTCAGGTTCACCAACTCGGCTGTGAAGTTGTTGTCTTGCTATTGGAACTCAATCCTGACCAAATAAATCTTTTCAATTGGGCAATTGACCGATGCTACACAGGCTCCTACCAACTTGCATCTGGCTGCTTCAAAGCCATAGCAACTGTGTGTGGAAGCAGGTAGGAATTTTTCTTAGTAGTCATAAGTAGCAGATAAGCACAATATGACTGTTTTGCAATTATCTGAGCAAGGTCTATGAAAATACAAAATGGCCTATGTGTCCCCAGCGGATAAACCGCTCCCTGTAAGTTTGCAGTTATGTTTTTTTCTCATTTTATCAGAGTGAATTGTTGCTACAGCATGCCACCAACCACCACCACCACCACCCCACTGCTTCCCAAGGGGCAGACAGGGTAAAAAAAAGAGAAAGCTCCCGTCCACTGGTTCTCTCCTTAAATGCCTGCAGTGGAGGGGGCTAGGCTTGGGCCAAAGCCAGGACCCAGGAACTCAATCTAGGTCTCCCACACTGATGACAGAGACCAATTTCTTGAGCTAGCACAGTCACCTGCCAGGGTCTACATTAGCAGAAAAACGGAATCAGGAGCAGAGCTGGAAATGGAACCAGGCACTCTGATCCGGTGTGCAGGCATCTCAGGCAGGATCTTCACCACCAGGTCAACCGCCCCCGCATCATAAATCTTCCAAGTGCCTCAAAATTCACAGTGAAACATTAGATCAAGTACTTGTAAACCATGTTTAAAAAGATACATTAAAGGAACTAAACAATATCTAGAAGTATTTGTGACAAGTGTGAATTATAAATCCTTTAGTCATCTTCAAACCAAACCCAGAAGGTGGCCTACAAATTTTAAAACTCCTTTTGTCAAAAACTTTGGGGGAAAAAAAAAAGAAATGGTGACACTGCAAATTCCATAGATTATACTTTCAAAACCACTACACTATAGGGCAGGCAACTGGCCTAGCAGTCAAGACCCCAGCATCCCGTATCAGGGTCACTAGGCTCCATGACCAGTGTAGGCCCTAGGAGGCAGCAATGAGGACTCAAGTAATTGAGTTCCTGACCCCCAGTTGTATTCCTGGTTCCCAGCTTTAGCTGGGCCCAGCCCAGGACATCCCCAGCATTTGAAGAGTGGATCAGTGGATGGGACATTTGTGCATGCTTTCTCTGTATCTGTCTGTCTCTTTCTCTCTCTCTCTCTCCCTCTCTTGCTCTCCTCCTCTCCCTCTCTCCCTCTCTTCCTCTCTCTCTCCCTCTCTCCCCACTCACCTTCTCCCTCCTTTTGTCACCTTTCTCAAATATTAAAAAAAAAATCACTATCCTGATTATGTATATTGGTCTTTCAATGCTAAGATTTATTGAGTGAAATTTTTTCATAGAAAAGATGAAAGGCTTAATGTAGATTCTCCAAGTTGCATAGTATTCACAAGAAATAAGTTAAGTAGCAGGAAAATTGAGAGAATGAAGCTTAAGTTTATTTTTAAAAAGACCCTTCATAGACTTTAGATTTTTCCTTTTTAATCAAATATATTTAAATAACTATCTTGAGCTATTGGATGCAGGGAACAAAAGTGAATTTGTCTTAAATTCTAACCTATTATGGGTCTAAATTAATAAGAACAGTGTTTTAAAAGACATCTACTTTCAATAAACCCAAAATAAGCATGCTATTTAAAAAGATAAGTTTTTCTTTAAAATGTTTCTCCTTCTTTTAAAAAGATAGAAGATATCATTACATGATAAAGCTTTCATTATTCTAAATCTCACTAGCAGAATTTTTACTTCTTTTTTTTTTGTATGCTTTAATCTCCATAAAAGCTGCAGCAGATGGATACAACCTAAACTGATTTTCCATTCTATTTTATTTCCTGATAAAAGTATTATTGAAAAATTATTTATACTTACAAAGCACTAGCAAAATAACACTGTTGCAAAAACCTCTTTCCCTGGAGTGTTTTTGTTCTTATTTTCAGATATTTCAACATTTTAAAAATGAAAGTTTTGTCCACATAACCCTTTGATTTCAAAATATGTATTTAGAATCTGTGACTTGGACGTCTATTCTTTGACAAATAAAAGTCATAAAAGTTTCCCCTCTCTGCTGTCCTTCACCCAGTGAACTTGGTTTGAACTGTTGTAGTCAAATTTATTTCACTGCATGGTCATCTCATAACATATCACACTGCATTCCTGTGACTAAATCTAGGTATTTTTTTTCCTTAGGGAAAAAAATGAATGCTCTGTGAATTTAGCAATATAGTCTCAATTTCAGTAATATCTCTAGTCACAAAAATATTAGGCCTAAAATGCTTTGTGTTCCAAGTGGATTATTTAAAGAATCCTACTGAGCTATTCAGATTTTTTGGACAAGCATTGCTTATCTATGTACATTTGTGATGCCCACCACTCCCAAAGGAAGGACAGTGGGCCAGGGGACCCCATGGCCAGGACCTCACAGTGGCCAACACTTCTGCCATTTCTCACCACAGGCAGGTTCCGAGTTTAAAGTTTCAACTGTGGCCTGAACTTGCTCTTTATCCCCATAAATTCTCAGCCCATGTAGTCTAGACAGGGTTCCAGAAAGCCTTGCACAATCTTTGCACTATGTCGGACATTTTGCACAAATGTCCAGACATTTGATTTTTTTTTTTGAAAATCAATTCTAATGTGTTCAGCATTTACTTGATTTGTTCTCTGTAAGTTTATACCTGAAAAGCAATTAACTACTTTATCTTATGAACTAAGTTCCCAAAGAGTCATATGCAAAATGAATCACATTTTAAATTTCTTAAGCAAGTTGTCTGTATAGTAACTCCCACAGGCCATTTTCCACAACAAAGAATCTTTCTTGTAAAATAAATAATTTCCTCCTCCTTTTCAAACAGAACTGATCACATGTGGATTCAGTTTTAGGGGACTATGACTGTTTATAAGCAGATTCCTTCATTAACAAACCACTTACAGTTGGGTCAGCTTAATAGACTGAAACTTGTAAGTGCTCTTGTCAACTTTAATTTTCTACCTTTAGTTTTAGAAGAATAAATTATTTTTATATAGTTAATATATCGATCCTTCTGCTCATTAGATGTGATAATTAAAAGAAAATTTATCCTCTACATTCTTTTTCCATTTCCTTTGCAGAAATAGGGCTGTGTGTTTATGTGGACATGTATGTTCATACATGGAGATTAGCTATGTGAGGCTATGCTATGACTCTAATGAAATTGGGAGACAAGAAACCAGAATGGAACTTCAGTAGGACCAGGGAAAGTGAGGATAAATTTGAAAATGTAATATTAATTTTGAAGAAGTTTTCATAAAATATATTTATGCTTTTCATTAAAAACTATCAAATACTTGTCGGTACTATAATACAGCATGAAAGAAAACAGCTTACCTGTCAAGCAGCTTTAGTTCAAATAAATATTTGGCTTCTGTGCATGTTCTTACTAACTTCTCAACTCCCTCCCAATGAGATCAGTGCAGAACAGATAAGGAAACTAAAAAAGAAACTAAATGGCTTTCCAAGGATATAAATCATGGTAAATCATATGCTGTATATTTAAAGTGTGGGCCATTTCCAATCACTACCTTAACTCACATTTAATTAAATAGTTAAAATACCATTGTTTTTATTTTTACCCTTCAACATGAGCTTAAAATATGTTATTAGATATTCTAGAACTATTTTTAAGATCAAAGTTTTAATTTTTAAAAGAATTTTATTTGGTTTATTTTTGAAGGTAGTTTGTGTTCTCATTGTTTGCATGTTTATTTTGCTCCAAGTTAACATCCTATAAATCTTTCTTAATTTAAACCAAGCCTAGCAAATTTAAATTCCTAAAAGTAAATGCCCCACATTTTCTTAAGGAAATAACACTCATCCATTAACAGGGAAGACAAGAGAAGCTAATGACTCATGAATGCATATCACACTCTACCGGATCATGCATAGCCTCATTCAGCCTTGTCCGCCCACTGGAGTATTTCAGGAGAGCACAGTGTGGCAATTTGGGGTCTGGAAATCGATTGTCGTGGGTTCAAACCCTCACACTGCATCTAATCAGGTGTGCCCTGTTGAGCAAGTTATAAATGCTTCCTTGTGGATAAGATGGGGTAAGCTTAAGGATTAGTAAAGCCCATTTCTTGGTCTAAGGCCGGGCACATAGTTAGCACCCCTGTGTAAACTATTCTCCAGTTGTTGGAGGGACAAGGTTATGACATAATCCTCTCCATCAACTAATAAAAGCTGTTTCTCTTCAGAATATTTCAAAGCCATCCCAAGCTTGGTCATTTTGTCCACAGCTAATAGACATCTCCCAAATTCTCCAAAATCCCCTCTCTTGTACATTGGAAGAAATGGTTTTATGTCTTGTTTCCTTTCTGCATTCTGCTTACCATCCATATGTAGTTTACTGTTTGGTTGCACTGTATGAAAACAACTGTTACTTCTCTTTAACCCTGTCTATGTTGAACAAGTACTGAAAGGTGTAGCATTTTGGTTCTAAGCCTATTTTAAACATCTAAGTGCAGCTTTCTAGGTGTGCTCTTTTGCTTATGTGGAATATTTCTGCTTTCCTTCTCTGGGTTTCTTTCATTTTCTGCTTCTGTGCTGTTCCTGTCAATGAATTTCATGGCTCAGTCTTAAGTGACTAATTCAGTGCCCTAATCACATGGGCAAGTGTATGGCTTGCATAAGAAGGAGGCTTCGTCTACCCCTTTCCTGCCTTTAAGTCCCTATTCAAATGGCAGTATTTTGGGGGGTTCTTTTCGGTGTAAATATATATTATGAAACCCAGAGACAGAGCAGCAGCTGGGCATCTCTGCTGCTGGGGAACCTGGGAAGAAGCTCTTTCTACTTTCTCTAGATACTGCAGTTTGTAAGAGTTCCAAGTAAGATGGGCTAACAGCGCACTCACTGTGCTATTTGGGTTGTCTACAAGGCTGAGAACACTGTGGTCTAGCACTTGAATTCTTTAGAATCAGACACATCTTGGGGTCTAGGTTCCACCCCTTCTGTATGATCTTGGGAGAGTCCTCAACTCTCTGAGCTTGTGGTAAGGCTTAAATAACAAATCTCAGTAAAGGCGTTGGTGCAGTGCGGGGCACGAAGTAAGCAGATGATAACCTCCTTCATCCATCATCATTCTGAGCCCTGTCATCATCCCCGCCATCATCTGGGGGCCTCCCCAATTTCCCAACAAAGACACCACCTGTACGCTGTGTTCATTTAAAAATAAAAGTTCCAGAAAAGTAATCATTGTAGAATGCAAATAAATAGAGCTATTTTGGAGGGACAACATAGCAATATCTACCAAAATTGAAATGTCTTTGCCTCTGAATGATATTTTCTAGGAATCTTTTCTAAAAAAATATATTTGGTGTTTGTTGCTCCATAATATTGAGAAATTGAAAGTACCCTAAACATTATCAGTGTATATCAGAGGTTCGATTCCCTAGCAAAGAGATTCTCAGATGGAGATCTGAGTGCATAAAAATGTATTAAGGAGTGTCCTTAAGGCTGACATCTATAGGGAAGTAAAACAAGCAAGACTGAGCAGAGAAAAGAAAACCATAATCCGCCCCACATGGCCCGGTCCTGGGAAGCAGACTGATTCTCACTCGGGCAAATCTCCTTGGCTAAAGGCATTTTCAGGGAAGGATTCAGCTCCGCGATATCAGCTGCAATGCTTTAGTTGCAGAGTTGAGAACCTCATTCCTAAAACAAGGCCCCCGGTAGCACATCACAGCATCCATCACCAGAATGGTTATTTATGATGCATCTGTACTGTGGAATACTATGCAGATGCTAAGAAGACTGAAGCAAGCCTTAGAGCTCAGTGAAAAATGAAATCAAGTAGCACACACATTTGTGTTTAAAATCCTCTGCTTTGGGGAAGGGGTATTTAAGTGGACATATTTGCATGTGTCCTGGAATACACATCAAAGTGTTGCCTCTGAGCTAGAACCAAAGCAGATGAGAGAGAGAACATAGTTGGGTCACTTCTGCATTTTATTCTATACAGCTATCCATAGCCAGCACCAGCTTGCCAGCCATTTGAATGAAGCATCTTTACTGGATTTTTCAGCCCTAACATGTTGCTTGAATCTTTTAGAAGAAAAATGTATTCATGCATTACTGGTATCATAAAAATGTGCTAGTTGAGTAATATTACGTGGAAATCCTTTTTCTTGACTTTAACCAATTCTTGCTCTCTCTCTCACTTAATCAAATGGGATGTCTTCATAGTAGGAATATGATTTTCTAGAAGGGTTACTGTCCTAAACTAGAACTTTTTAGGCAATGTTGTTTTATAGAATTATATAGGATCAAAAGATGGAAATCATAGAAAAAAAAGATAATGCATTTTTTCACCTCCAAGCTATCTTCTGCTCTTTGAGAGTGGCCTGAAATAAACATAAGGCACTCACCTTCTACATCTAGACCATTCCCTGCTTGTTCATCTCACTGGAAGTTCTTGATTTATCATTGCTTTTGTGCAGCAAAATAAAGAAATACAATGAGAAGATGTCACCCTTAAATAACAAGAAAACATTATTTAATCTCCATATTCTGATTGGTTCTACTGCCAAGGGCAGTACTCACTGCATTCCAGTCCCCTAGTTCCCATCCCACATATACAAATGATGACCAAAAGCTGCTGATTTTAACTCCGCAGTGGTCTGCAAATATATCCCCTCCTTTCTGTCTCTAATGTCCCTGCCCTAATTCAAACCCCTCATCAACTGCTTTTGAGATTCTCTTTTTTTAAAGATTTATTTATTTATTTGAAAGTCTGAGTTATGCAGCAGCAGGGGGCGAGGGAAGGGAAGAGAGAGAGAGAGAGAGAGAGAGAGAGAGAGAGAGATCTTCCATCCACTGGTTCACCACCAAGTTGGTCACAACAGCCAGCACTAGGCCAGGCTGAAGCCAGGAAGGAGCTTCATCTTTGTTTCCCATGAGTAACAGGGTCCCAAGTACTTGGACCATCTGCTGCTTTCCAAGGCACATTAGTAGGGAGTTGGCTCAGAAGTGGACAGCTGGGACTCAAACTGGCACCCATAAGGGATGCTGGCTTTGTAAACCATAGCTTTGCTCACTATACCGCAGTCCTGGCCCCTTCTTTTGGATTCTTGTAACAGCCTCTGCTCTTAGCCCCTGCAGTCCGTTCTCTACACAGCAGCCAGAACGATTGTTCAGATAGGAATCTACGAGCCCCCTGCCCCACGGTGGATCCTTCACTTGGTTCTCTGAAACTGAGGATGAAGGCCATTGGTCAGTCATCATCTAAACCCACCACCACCATAGCCCCATTTCCTGCCATGCCTCTGTTTCCTTCATTCCATCTACTACATAGAGAGTCATTTCTTTTACAGAGGCTATCTTGCCATTTCTTGCTTAAAATCTTTCAAAATGCTCTCCTCTCTGCCTGTGGCATTCGCCACTCTGCCCCTCCTGTGGCCTGATGCTTCAAGAATCGTTTTACTTATACCCTGCTCCGACATAGGTGTTCCTCCTAAGGGGTCTGGGGGCCTGCTGTGGGTTGTGCCCCCAGACCTGGACTGTATAGTCTGCCTCCATCACTAACCTGCAGTTCCTCCTACTAACAAGCGCTGTGTCAGTACCTCACACTTACTTCCTGATCATTGTTTTGCACTTAGTACGTTCAGATGCATCACATGAAAATAGGAATTGAATGAGCTATTGAGAAACTTCACACACATGTCCTCTCCTCTTCTCTTCACTCATATTTGGTTTTCATTAAAATCTGTTGGCATCAGATTTTTGCAGTCTTTCATCCTGGCATTACGATATTCTATTTTAAGTAAAAATAATCACTGTATTCCATCTACTCATAAAATGCAAACAATAGAAGTAAAATTGGGCCTGGGCAGATCATTGGTAAGTGCCTGAGCTTGTTGTGCTCCGATTGTCAAGATTATTAGCCAGGCTGTCTTGTAAACTATGCTGTTTATGTTTCTTTTAGGAACTATCCTTTCGACATAGTGACGCTATTAAACCTTGTTCTATTCAAGGCTTCTGACACCAACAGAGAGATTTATGAAATCTCCATGCAGCTCATGCAGGTAAGTATCATTTATTGTTGTGCGAAATTTCCTTCCTTGAACACACACACACACACACACAAACAGAAACGGTGTTTGATTGCTGAGTTGCTGTTTATTGAAACACATTTATTCATCTGTGCTTATCATTGGTAGTGTGAAGAGTGAAAACCAATCATATAATCTTCAGTAAACAGAGTAATTGACTCGTGCTTTTCCTCTTATACTCTATTCGCTCTGTAACTGCTGGCTTTTTTCAAACAGAAATGCTCCAGAGGTACCCAGCTAATTTTTCTCATACTTTTCTTCTTGTCCTACCTCTCTTTAGATCCTTGAGGCAAAGCTTTTTGTATACTCGAAGAAAGTCGCCGAGCAGAGGCCTGGCAGCATTCTGTATGGGACCCACGGCCCGTTACCACCCCTCTACAGTGTGTCCCTCGCCCTCCTGTCGTGTGAACTGGCCAGGATGTACCCTGAACTCACCCTTCCACTTTTCTCAGGTACCGCATGGTAGTCAGTAATGAGATAGGCAAGCATTTCTGGTGCTCTAAGCAATTTCCCTGCTAAAATCCAAGCATAATTTGAGAAACAGAATAGTTGATGCTAAATCCATAGATCAAAATAGTTTATTGGCTAAATCCAGTTACGCATGGAAGTAAAGACTAAAACAACTTTAAAATGTAAAAAAAAAAGTTAATCTAAAGCAGTATAGGCATAAACATACATATGACAAATGCAAAGATGCTTAGAGTACTAATAATACTTCTATATGTATTTTCTATGTAAATTTCCCAAGAAACTAAATACAGCTGAGTAACTTGGTATTCACAGTTGCTTATGTAATTTCTGAGAGTTGTTTGTTCTTGGTTGGGAGAGAGGCTGCAGTTGCCATGTTGCTGCATATATGAATTGCGGAGACTGATTCTTGGCATACTTTATAAGCAATCTTCATGAATGACTTTTGTGAAAGTCTGTTTTTAAAGAATCGCATTTCTCGGTTAACTTCTTATCTAAGCTCCTGGAGCACCGTGTCAAGGGGTATACTTTGGCCTCTGGAATTCATCCTCTTTTTCCATCTACCTCACCACTGCCCTCGTCCAGATCCTCTTCCACCCCCCTGCCTCTGACGACCCTGACCAAATCCATCCTCTGGGTTGTGATCCACATTCCTAGGCAAAGCCAGATCCATACAACACTTCTCAATTCTAACCTCCCGGCCTACCTGTCCTAAACATAAATGTCTGCAACAGCAGCTTCCATTTATGGAGTGTCCTTTTGTTTTAGGCTGTACATTAAGTACTTTAATGGGCATTGTCTTTATTATACAATCTTTACACCCCAGCAGGCGTGTAGTATAATGGTTATGACAGAGGCTCTGGAGTGAGGTAGCCTGGGTTCAAACCCCAGCCCAGTCAGTCACCGGCTGTTTGACCTTGGACAAATCACAGAATGTCCAAACTCTTGTTTCCTCATCTTCAATAAGAACTACCTCGCAGAGGAGGAGGACTAGCGTGAGCTCACAAAAACCATGCAACTGGCCCAGCACTAGCGTGCAATCATCACTAGCAGCACCACCGCCACCATTTGTATTTTACAGGCAAGAGACTAAGGCTTAAAGATGATATATAATTTGCTCAAGGGGCTAGCATTGTGGCATAGTAGGTAAAGCCACTGCCTGCAATGTCAGCATCCCATATAGGCACCAGTTCATGTCTCAGTTGCTCCACTTCTGATCCAGGTCCCTGCTAATGACCCAAGAAAAGCAGCAGCAGATGGCCTTGCCACCCACGTGGAAGACCAGGGTAAAGCTCTGGCTCCTGGCTTCAGCCTGGTCCAGCACTGGCCATTGAAGCCTTCTGGGGAGTTAAGCAGCAGATGGAAAATACTTCTCTCCCTCTCTCTCCCTCTCTATGTATCTATCAATCTATATCTTTATCTGTCTATCTCTTCCTCTCTCTCTCTCTCTCTCTCTCTCTCTAACTTTGCCTTTCAAACATAAGTAAATCTAAAAAAAAATTTATTCAAGACCATATAGCTAGGAAGCAGTCAAACCAGAATTAAATCTACAACTGTCTTCCTACAAATTCCTACAAAGTGATTGCTATAGAATTAGAGCTCTTTAATGTATTTAAAAAAAAAAAAACTCTTTCATCCTTTCAACCCTCTAAAGCAATATCACATAATCTCTGACCAGCGTGCTGGGCATTCCCATAAATCTTTGCACTGCACATGTTGTTCTCGATCCTGGGAATGGCTCCCTCCCTCTCCCTAACTCTCCAGACTCCTTAAATATAATTTTGCGTCTACCTCTACCATGCAAATCGCTCTCTCGGTCTCAAGCAGAGTTCATCACATCCCTGCATGATGCAGTATACCTGAAACAGTGGGGACACCCAAGAAAGGCTTTTTTAATAAATTCTTTTTGGAAAACTAAGATTTATTTTTATTCATGTCAACCGAGCTGTGGGTCTTGGGGAAAAAAAGAGGTGAATAAAATGGTCCCTCCCATCAAAGGGCCATAGTGTAGTCATAAAGATAGATGTGCATTTATACAGTTATGACACAGTAAGAGAACTGCTGTTCTAGAAAGAGTATGACATGCATGGGATGGAAGCTCAGGAACAATCAGTTGTTGGGGTTGGGGTAAGATTTCCCAGAGAAGTTGATGTCTGAGCTGCAGTTTGAAAGCAGAGCAGAGATTTGCGAGGTGGACAAGTAATTGATAGACATTACAGGCCAAGAGAAGAGCAGAGGCCTTGGCTTAGAGGTAGGAAATAGCACCACGATGCACTCCAGAGGTCACAGAGAGGTCAGTGTGGCTAACTGAGCATGCAGGGAAGGGGCAAAGCCAGAAATGGTCAGGGACAGATGGAGAGGAAGATGACAAGTCTCAGAAGGCCTTGTGTCCTGTGCCAGGGAATGTGTAGGTTGGCCAGCTTCTGAATGTGTCCCTTGAGCCTTCAGAGCCCTGTGAACATGGAGGGCAACCAAGCACACAGCTGGGGTTTTGAACATCACTCATGAGTTCCAAACCAGAAGGGGGTGGGGGCCAAGGTCAGCCTGTGTTCTACAGAAAGACTGGCTTCAGGATGGAGGGCGGATTAGAGAAAACCCAACCTAAAGAGAAGATACCAATTAGGAAACGATGACAGTGATCCAAGGAGGAAATGTGAAATGCTAAAGGCCCTGTGAGAGTGGAGGGGAGAGACAGGAGTCACGAGGTGCTGGGGTGGCACACCAGAGAGAGGGCCTGGTGCGTCCTCTGGTGGACTGGTGGAGAACAGAGCGAGCTGCGAGAGTGACAAGGGAGGGTTAGGGTGAGGCACAGATCGCACGCTCAGCGTGGGATGTTGAGTGGGGACCTCTGCCAGGAATCCTCAGGTGTGGACAGGCCTGGACTCAAGGGAAAGCCAACACTGATGCTCCTAGAAGAATAGGAGGGGTTAGGGCCAAGGGCACGGTGAGATTAGGAGCAGAGAGAGTACAAGAGTGAGGGCTTTAAAAAAAAAAAAAAAGATTTATTTGAAAGTCAGAATTACAGAGAGAAGGGGAGAGATAGAGCTTCCATCTGCTGGTTCACTCTCCCAATAGCTGCAATGGCCAGGACTAGGTCAGGCTGAAGCCAGGAGCATTTTTCCCAGTTTCCCACGTGGGTGCAGGGGCCCAAGCACTTGGGCCATCTTCCACTGCTTTCCCAGGCGCATTAGCAGGGAGCTGGTTTGGAAGTGGAGCAGCCAGAATGTAAAGCGGTGCACATATGGGATGCCAGTGCTGCAGGTGGTGGCTTGACCCGCTATGCCACAACACCAGCCCTAACACTCAGCTCTTACCAACTGTTCTAAGGATCAGCTAGGGGCCCGAGAAGGAAAGGACTCAAGCTTGGAGAGGACAGAGACCACCCAGGAGATGGGTTTCATAGAAACCTAGAGAAAAATGAGGATTTAGGACAGAGTGAGCAGTCCACATCCTCTGATGGAACAGAGAGATCCCAGAAGATAAGATTTAAAAGTGACCCTCTGGATCTCACAGTCCATTGATGAGTGTGGTCATTTATTGATGAGTGTGGTCATTCCCGTGAGAGGTGGCAACAGAAGCCAGATTGCAGTGTCCTGGCTGAGAAAGGAGGGAAGAGAGAGACTGCAGCTGCAGGGTTGGGGGCTGGGGGTGGGGGGGCTGGGTCAAAGTCAGGGCAGGGGCTTTGAAGGATGAGCAGGATAGGAGCAGGTTTCTTCGTGGCGAGGGAGAAGCCAATGAATTGGGAGAGGCTGATGGTTCGGGGGAGAGGAGATAAATAGTCCAGCAAGTTTAACAAGGGAAGAAGTTCATGGAATGAGCTGCAACACCTTCAGCCTACACTCTCTCCATGAATTTAGCTTTTGGCTATTTTGACTTATGAGTCAATAACTTTTCAAAATAACATGGAAAAAATAAGAGGTTACGATAGATTCCTACCTTGTGTTTTTACAGCCTTGACTCTCATAAACCCTGTGGTGAGGTTTTTATTGCCTGTCATTTCAGGTGACCTAATTACTCTAAGCAGCCAGACAAGCTGTTCAGGCCCCTCCCAGAGGAAGCGGAAAATGCATCTTGCATCCCACCAACAGCAACATGCATTGTATTTGTTTCTGGAGACGTGGAGGAGTGGGGGATTGTTCACACGTCTGTGGCATCTTCTTTTTCTCTCTTCCCTTCCAAAATGCCTCTATAACCCAAGTGCTAATGTAGGTACTTGGGGTCCCTCAAAGAGGCATCCCCATGCTCTCTGGCTTTGCATCTGAGAGACAAGGTGTAGGAATAAGTGAGCAATAGTTAACAAGCAAAGTATGTCATGCTTCAGGAGGTGACCACTGCTGCCAAAGAAAACCCACAGATTTTGATACCATTGTTTTAAAATTGGTGGTGCTGCTGTCCTTCTGTTCTGAATTCTTTCCCTCTCCAAAGTCCAGTTCCTTTTTAGGGGGAATTGAAACAGTTCTCCCACCATAGAACTATCCTGAATTTTTGCAACCGGAAGCCATTTTCCTCCAGTGAACCCACCAAAGCGTTCTGTGCCTTTCCTGTGTCATTTGTCACTTGTTCGCTTGCCCCAGATTTGTCACCATGACTTGTCTCAAAGTCTCCTTCCCAAGGGCAGAAGTGTAGTAAGTCTTTGCTGCATCCATCGTGCCTCGCACAATGAGTCTTCCCTAGAAAATGACCAAAACCTTGGAATAATGAATGTTCTGCTTTGACAAGGACCTGAGTATGCATCATCTCAGTCCATAGCATCAGTCTTCACAGCCATACATTTAGAAATTAAGTAAATTTGGAGCCGGCACCATGGTGCACTGGGTTAATCCTCCGCCTGTGACTCCGGCATCCCATATAGGTGCTGGTTCTAGTCCTGGTTGCTCCTCTTCCAGTCCAGCTCTCTGCTATGGCCCGGGAGGGCAGTGGAGGATGGCCCAAGTCCTTGGGCCCCTGCACCCGCATGGGAGACCAGGAAGAAGTGCCTGGCTCCTGGCTTCAGATCAGCACCGTTGCGGCCATTTGGGGAGTGAACCAACGGAAGGAAGACCTTTCTCTGTCTGTCTCTCTCACTGTCTGTAACTCTACCTGTCAAATAAATAAATAAAATCTTTAAAAAAGAAATTAAGTAAATTTAGAAATTTTGGCCTGTGGAAAACAAAGCAGCCTTAGTGCTGTCTGATGATTACAGAGAACATAAAAATGTTCTTAATTCTCAAAAAAAAATTCTACTTTTCATTGTAAGAAAAGGGCCAAATCCATTAAAGCTACTGTTCTGGGAATCTACGGGTTATCTGAGTGTAATTCCTGGGCTCTGTGGCGTTCGATTGGTAATCTGTCACGCTGTATAGCAACATACACGTGAGACCACGCTTTCTAATTTCCCTGTGGACAAAACAGATTCTTCTATAGACACGAGGACTAGAAGATTATAAAGCTGTACTTCTGTATCTGTAGGCAGCGTACACAAGGAAATAATGCAGAAATGATGTCAGTGAAAGTGATGGTGAAGTGGCTGGGCGGCGTGTGGAGGCCCCACTCTTGGGATTCACTCATCCCACAAAGTGGTGTGCAATCCTTGCAGACCCCTTCCACTTGCTCTACAGTTTTCCAGCAGGTGCCATGGCCTGGGCCTATTCCATTATTGGGTTAGTGATAAGGTGATCATGCTAATCACATTGACAATAGCCTGCTGGGTGGCACAGCACCTGCTGAGAGAATGCTACATACATTATGGCTATGTGTTTTTAAAATTTTCTTAAGGCTGGCACCATGCCATGGTGGGTAAAGCCACTACCTGCAGTGCCAGCATACCACATGGGTGTCAGTTCAAGCCCTGGCTGTTCTACTTCTGATCCAGCTCCCTGCTGATGGCCTGGGAAAGCAGTAAAATATTGCCCAAGTCCTTGGGCCCCTGCACCCATGTGGGAGGCCCTAAGGAAGCTCCTGGCTCCTGGCTTCGGATTGGCCCAACTCTGGCTGTTGCAGCCATTTGGGGAGTGAGCCAGTGGATGGAAGATCTCACTCTCTTCACTGTCTCTCCATAACTCAGCCTTTCAAATAAATAAATAAATAAATTATTTATATATTACTTATTTTTACTTGAAAGGCAGAGATAACAGAAAAGGAGGAAAAGACAAAGATATTCCATCTACTGGTTCACTCCAGACTGAAGCCAGGATCCTGGAAATCAGTCTGAGTCTCCCACATGGGTGGCAGGGCCCCAAGTACTTGAGCCATCACTTGCTGCCTCCCAGGGTGTGCATCAACAAGAAGTTGGAATCAGAAGCAGAACCAGGACTCAAACCCCTGGGATACAAGCATCCCAAGAGGCGTCTTGGCCACTGTGCCAATTGCCTGCCCCTGTTGCTATTTATTTAAATCCTCTCAGTAACCCACTTTGGGACCCATTTTATAGATGAGGAAACTGGGGAGCAGAGTTATTAAATAACCAGCCCCTAGTTACCTGCAGCAGTGTGCGGTAGACCTGGAATCTATACCTATGTCCTGACTCCAAGTCCCTTGTCTTGTCCAATGTAACACACTGCCTCCACATACCACAGATTTGAACCCAAGCAGCTGCCCACCTCCTTCAGCTTTCACCAAGCTTGTGCTCGTCCCCACTGTGCTGGGCCACTTTCCTACCCAGAGCACCAGTGTGGAGCAACAGACTTGAGGATGAGCCTCAGTCTTATGCTTTGGTGGCTTAAGGGAGCTGCTTGGCCTAAGAGAGTGTTATGAAAACACTGTCAGTGGGAAGCACCGTTCAATCTGTAAGTTGCTGTGTGTATTTTGATTTGCTGGAATAACAACACACGGCTCGCTGTTACTGCGCTTCTCTTTAGAGGTGAGCCAGCGATTCCCCACAACGCACCCAAATGGGCGTCAGACCATGCTCACCTACCTGCTGCCCTGGCTGCACAACATCGAGCTGGTGGACAGCAGGCTGCTCCTCCCAGGGTCAAGCCCCAGCAGCCCGGAGGATGAAGTCAAGGACCGGGAAGGGGAAGCGACTGCTTCTCATGGGCTGAAAGGGAATGGCTGGGGCTCTCCAGAAGCCACGTCGCTGGTGCTGAATAACCTCATGTACATGACGGCCAAGGTAAGCTCAGAGCCTCAAATAGCAGACTCCGCGCTGCAAACCCGCAGAACATGGCACTCATCTTTTAACATCACACACGTGGGGGTGGATGGTGGAGACAGCTGCCCAACGCTGTGGATGACGTTAGTGCCATTGAGCTGTGTAAAAATGGTTAGCATTGGGGCCAGTGCTGTGGCATAGTGGGTAAAGCCACTGCCTGCAGTGCCAGCATCCTATATGGGCGCTGGTTCGAGTCCTAGCTGTCCCACTTCCTATCCAGCTCTCTGCTATGGCCTGGGACAGCAGTGGAAGATGGCCCAAGTCCTTGGGCCCCTGTACCTACATGGGAGACCTGGAGGAAGCTCCTAATTCCTAGCTTCTGATCGGCCCATCTCTGACCGTTGCAGCCAGAGTGGTTCGGGAACAAACCAGTAGATGGAAGATCTCTCTCTCTGCCCCTGCCTACTCTGCCTTTCAAATAAATTAATTAATCTTTAAAAAAAAAAAAAAAGGCTAGGATGGCCAACTTTATAGTACATGTATTTTATTGTAATTTTAAAGTTAAGAAGCCTAGCATGTTAAAAAAAGATCTCATGAATTGGCATTGTACTTGCTTGATTCGGCATCTCCTGAAAAATGGCATCTTCCTGATCAGTGCCCACGTTTCCCGCCTCTTAAGATTTTGAGATAGACGTGATACTCAAAACTACTTACACTCCAACTGCCCTTCTGTTTTTCACCGGGGTCTTCTGGTCTTCTGTGCTGTGTGCTGTGCTACAGTATGGAGATGAAGTTCCCGGACCAGAAATGGAAAATGCTTGGAACGCGCTAGCCAACAATGAGAAATGGAGCAACAACCTGAGGATCGCGCTGCAGTTCCTGATCAGCCTGTGTGGGGTCAGCAGTGACACGGTTCTCCTGCCTTACGTAAGTGCCTCCCGGGCTTCCAGCTGTGCTTGTTCCCGTGGGGGGGGAGGGGCGCGGGAAGGGGCTAAGGGGGGACCCCATGTGCAACTCACAAGTCAGCATGTGCTTGCTGCTCCAAGGAAAACAGAGATGGCCATTTTCGGCAGTCAGGCTAATCTCCCTTGAGCTCACCCAGGTATTACATAACAGTTCCCTTCTGTCCCTCGTGCCTGAGATGCAGGGTACATGTGCAGGTGACACCTTTGTCGTCCCCTTGCTATAAGCCTTGGGACTCAGAAACCTGTGAATTAATGAGCAGATATTTTTCTAACAGTTACCAAAAGCTGCCTTCTCTAAACCTTAGATCCATATGGCAGAGACGGGAGGGAAAGCTTTGTATACTCTTGACCAGAACAGAAATGCAGAGTGTTCAGGATTTCCACTTCAAATTCAGGTGGAAGAAGAGAGAAGTCAGCAGAAGAAAGTCCTTCTGGGGTGTCTGATGTTTGCTGTCTGTATAAGATCAACACAACAGGGTTTTTTTTTTTTTTTTTTTAAAGATTGATTGATTATTTATTTATCTGAGAGGTAGAGTTACGGACAGAGAGAGGAAGAGGTCTTCCATCTGCTGGTCACTCCGCAAATGGCTGCAACAGCCAGAGCTGGGCCAATCTGGAGCCAGGAGCCAGGAGATTCTTCCAGGTCTCTCACACAGGTGCAGGGTCCCCAGCATTTTGGCCATCTTCCTCTGCTTTCCCAGGCCATAGCAGATAGCTGGATGGGAAGAGGAACAGCCGGGATCTGAACAACAACCCATACAGGATGCCCACTAGGCCACAGTGCCAGCGCCAGCAGCAGCGTTGTTAAAACCCAAACCCACAGGGCCTTTCTGTGCTGCTTATTTTTATGAGAGATTTTGTGCCTCCCTGCTGTTGTGAGCTGCATAAACTTACGCACCTCAGGATGGACTAGGAGGCGTGCAGCAGCACAGGGCTTTCATCCAGAGGTATTTTTAAAAGTTAAAACCATAAAAGCAGCTAACACTCCTTTGTTTCTAGAGAAGAAGAGAATAGTAGGGGGCTAGATGCCTTTTTAAACAAAAAGAGCTTGCTGGTTTTCCCCAAGGTTTGTGCAAACAAAATTCTTTCTACAGATAAGACCGTAGGTGGCAACTTTGAGTTTAGGTGGAATCAATGAGTTCCAAAAGGGACTTTTTACAAATGAAAGCCTTAGAAAAAGGGGACCTTCAACAGCACACTCCTATCAGAGGTGCGCGCAGAGAGAGGAGTGGTGGTCCGGTTGCTGGGTCCTGGTAGGCCGGCGCAAACAGGAGCCATCAGGAAGACACTCTTGGTGGTGATGTGTGTAAATGACCAGGCCCCCAGCTGCGCGTTCCTGGGGGCCGGACTCGGGACAACATCGCTAGTTTCCCTTTTCTCGTCTCAGATTAAGAAAGTGGCCATCTACTTGTGCCGTAATAACACCATCCAGACCATGGAAGAGCTCCTCTTCGAGCTGCAGCAGACCGAGCCGGTGAACCCCATCGTGCAGCACTGCGACAACCCGCCCTTCTACCGCTTCACGGCCAGCAGCAAGGCCTCGGCCGCAGCCTCGGGTAGGCAGGCCCACCTGGGCGGACGTCCTGTCACAGGTCGCTGGGCTCTCCCGTAGGGAGGACGCTAAAGGGCTATGAGAAGCCGTCTATTACTTTTCTTATTCCTTTGTGCACGCTTATTTAAAGAGAGGGCTCAGGGCTGGCGCTCTGGCGTAGCAGGTTAAGCCTCCCTCTGCAGCATCAGCATCCTGTATGGGTGCCAGTTCGACTCCTGGTTCTTCCACTTCTTATCCAGCTCTCTGCTGTGGCCTGGGAAAGCAGTAGAAGATGGCCCAAGTCCTTGGGCCCCTGCACCCACGTGGGAGACTGGGATGAAGTTCCTGGCTCCTGACTCCTGGCTCCTGCCTGGCCCAGCCCTGACTGTTGCAGTCTTTTGGGGAGCAAGCCAGTAGATGGAAGATCGCTCTCTCACCCTCCCCCACCCCACCGTCTGTGTAACTTTGCCTTTCAAATAAAATAATACATCTTTAAAAAAAAATACAGAAATGGCTTAAGAATCACTGTTAAACTCTTAACATGTTTGTGTATTTTTTATAAAAATTTTCCTCATTTAAGATTTTATTTATTTATTTGAGAGGTAGAATTACAGACAGACAGAGGGAGAGATGGAAAGGTCTTCCATCCACTGGTTCTCTCCCCAAATGGCCGCAATGGCTGGAGCTGATGCCATCCAAAGCCAAGAGCCAGGAGCTTCCTCTGGGTCTTCCACAGGTGCAGGGGCCCAAGTGCTTGGGCCACTAACACTGCTTTCCTAGGCCACAAGCAGAGAGCCGGATCAGAAGAGAAGCAGCCAGGACATAAATCTGCCCATATGAGATGCTGGCACCACAGGCGGTGGCTTAACCTACTACACCACAGTGCTGGCCTCAGCATGTTTGTGTATTAATGAAATCATCTCGTATGGGTGACCAAGAATCAGTAGTTCCGTACTTCTCTGCCACGGTTTTGACTTTGCCCTGATCTGCCCCGTAGGAATCTCCATTTTTAGACCCCTCTTCCCATATCTATGGGATTCTGTGATATTCTCTGAATGTTGACTAAAATACCCCACAGCCACACAGGTTGAACATCCTTAACCAACACATCTAAAATTTGAAATGTTCCAAAATATGAAATTTTTTGAGTACCTACGTGACACCATACACTTGTTGGATTAGTGTATATAAACTTTGTTTCATGCATGGAAATATTAAAAATATTATGTAAAATTACTTCATGCTATGTGTATAAAGTGTAAACAGTATGTAAGGTGGTTCATAGAAAAATTAAAACATGTTTATTTTTGTGAAAAAATACTGTGAAATCCATGCACAGATTTTTTTTTATAATATATACTTTCCATGAATTTTTTAAATAACTCATGTATGCAAAACACAAATGAACTTGGTATCTTAGAATATCTTTCCCTCCCCCAAGATATCTCATTAGGTATATGTAAATATTCCAAAATCAAAAAAAGAAATCTGAAAAACAAAACACTTAAGTCCCAAGTATTTTAGATAAGGGATCCTCAATCCATTTATCACTTTGAATACACCGGCACCCCAGCATCAGCGCCCCTTGATTTACCCAGTACTGTGACTGCCTTCAGACTTCTCTTCTCTCCCAGGCTCTCTGTCCTCTGAGTGCCACACCCTGCTGCCTGAGCAGTGTTCCTGCAGGGAGACACTAGCCTAGGAATCAGAAGTCTGGAACTTGAACTTGCTTCTCCAGCATTAGCTCAATAACTTCTGAACTCAGAAGCGCTAAAGCAGCTAACATCAGGGCAGAACCCACTGAATAAGCTCCTAACCCAAGCAGCCAGGAAGAGAAGGTTTCAAGAACATAGTAGCTTCCCTTTGGAAGGGAGTTGAGGAATTTGGTTTGACCATCGTAGATGTCTGGGATTCTCCCATTTCGGTGGTGCACGCTTAGAAGGCTGTTGAGGATGTGTGAGATTCTGCAGAAGGCGCAAGGAGGCTTTCAAACATGGCACTTTACAGGAAATCCTTTCCTGAAGCTACCTGAGACTCGAGCTTGGGCCCTCTGCACGTGTCTCTGTCTAAGCAGCCTTCTTCTAATTCCGTCTCCAGGAACCACGTCCAGCAGCAATACGGTGGTGGCCGGCCAGGACAGCTTCCCAGACGCAGAGGAGAGCAAGATACTGAAAGAATCCGATGAAAGGTCAGTGCGCGCGTTTCGCTTCGTATCTGGTAGAACTTTGAGCAGCTTCTGTACAGTGTTGGGAGATTGTTTTTTTTTTTTGGTTGTTTTTTTTTTGTGTGTGTGTGTGCAATGTTAGTACATGTTGGTGCGGTTTCCAAATTTTCACACACACTAAAAGCCTTCTTGGTTCGATGAAATACACACTGACTTTCAAGCTCTACTTTGTATATCCCTAAAGATAACAATTTCCTCCTGCACACAGAGCAGAGACAGGAAAAAAGGGATGCTGAACCCACTTATCCCATGGCTTCATAAAAACCACTAGTTGGGGCTGGTGCTGTGGCATAGTGGGTAAAGCCTCTGCCTGCTGTGCCAGCATCCCATATGGGTACCAGTTCGAGTCCGGCTGCTCCACTTCTGATCCAGCTCCCTGCTAATGCACCTGGGAAAGCAGTAGAAGATGGCCCAAGTACTTGGGCCCCTGCACCCACGTGGGAGACCCAGAAGAAGCTCCTGGCTTCTGATTGGCACAATCCAATTGTGGCCAATTGGTGTGTGAACCAGCGGATGGAAGACACTGATCTCTCTCTCTCTCTCTCTCCCGCTCCTTTCCTCCCTCCCTCCCTCCCTTCCTCCATCCCTTCATCCCTCTTTGTCTCTGCTTCTGCCTCTCTGTAACTCTGTCTTTCAAATAAACAAGTAAATCTTTTTTTAAAAAAAAAGTCTATTTTGGTGCTAAAAATTTTTTGAAACCCATGCATATGAGGGGATCTTCAAAAAGTTCTTGGAAAAACATACTATGAAAAAACAGTATGCATGGGTTTCAAGATTGGGGACACCAAAATAGACTTATCTTATATTCCATTTTCCCACAATTTTTTGAACTACCCATCTATCTATTTATTTACCTATAGATCTGTGGACTGATTGTATATATACAGATGCATATATGAATGCATGTACATATAGTTATCTATGTGAACAGTCTACCCGAAGAACGTCACCATTCCTCTGATTCCATTCTCCACCTGTACTATTTCTTTATCCTATTTGTCTGTATCTCAGCCTAAAATTGCCTTCTCTTTAATCTGCTTACCACACTCCCTTCTTTATAGTTAGTCCCCTCATGTGCTCTGTAGGTACTTGTACACATGCTCATCTCAACCACTAACTGTCCACGTCTGGGAAGCAGAACACCTGTTCATCCTCAGCGACGATCTTACTGCACTGAACACAGTAGACTTTAAACTGTGTATTCAGCCAGTAAATTAAAATAGAAATATCACAACCGCAGGGGCAGATTAGCTGTCCTAATGCCACCCACCCCATTTCTCCTTCTTTCTCACTAAACCATCATGGAGGACATCCGTTTGCCCTGGTCTTGACAACCCTTGTAAAGAAGGAATGCACAGAGACCGTGCTCTTCAGAGCTGCCATGTTACCAGCTCCAAGGGGCTCTTGCCACCAGCATCCATGGTGGGCTCCAGTGTGTACCACGGAGTCGAGCCCAGCAGGCCTCCTGACACCATGGTCACCACTAGATTAATAGTCGTTTGATGAGAGTCAGTGACACTGTGTAACAGTGTTCTTATTGACCGGGGGAAAGCATAGCTTATACTGAAAGCATGCTAAAACAGGGGCGAAAGAATACAAACCAAGCTAAGAGGAAGATAAGGTCATTGTATCAAAAGTCTTTACTGAGGAAAACTACTACAAGTTACCATCAGCCTAACCTTCAGATTCTCAAGAGTCAAAATAAAAAAAAAGAAATCTGTAGAAAATTTTAGAACCTTCAGAGTGTTTTTTTAATTATTCACTAGGAATTATTAACAGAAAGTACTCTTAAATTCCAAGAAAGATTTATCATACTGGTTTTTTTTATTTTTTGAAGATTTATTTATTTATTTGAAAGGCAGAATTACAGAGAGGCAGAAACAGAAAGTCTGAGGGGGAGAGGGGGAGGGAGAGGGAGCTTCCATCCATTGCTTTATTCCCCAAATGGCCGCAATGGCCAGAGCTGGGCCTATCTGAAGCCAGGAGCCTGAGCTTTTTCCACATCTCCCATGTGGGTGCAGGGGCCCCAGGACTTGGGCCATCCTCTCCTGTTTCCCCAGGTCATTAGCAGGGAGCTAGATCAGAAGTAGAGCATCTGGGTCTCAAACTGGTATCCATGTGGGAGGCCAGCTCGCAGTCTGTGGCTTTACCTGTTAGGCCATGGCACTAGCCCCAAAATTTAGACATTTCATGGCTCTAGTTTTTCTCTTGTCAGAGATATTTCCATGGTATATTTTTTTTTGTTTATTCATTTATTTTCCTTTTTATTTTTTTGAAAGGCATAGAGACAGTGACAGATAGAGAGAGATCTTCCATCCACTGGTTCACTCCCCAAATGCCCACAACAGTCAGGTGTGTGCCAGGCTGAAGCCAGGAGCCTAGAACTCAATCCAGGTCTCCCACATGGGTGGCAGGGACCAAGTACTTGAGCAATATTCTGCTCTCTCCCAGGGAGTGCGTCAACAGTAAATTTGATTGGAAGTGTAGAGTAGGCAGGACTCAAACCAGACATTCCAATATGGGATGAGGACATCCCAAATGGCGACTTAACTGCTGCACCAAATGCCAGCATAAATATATTTCTTAAAATATAACCCTCTGATGTTGAAAGACTATTCAGTCTACTTAATCCTTCAAACTCCCCTAGGTCCCAGACCCAGAATGAGCTTCCCCAATCCAAGAAGGCAAAGAGAAATAACAGACTGGATTCTCAGGAGTCGGTGTCTTCCTGTTCCCTTTCCAACACCTGCTGTGCTGCACTGTGGTCTCAGTCTTCTCCAGAGGCAGGGGAAGCACCTGGAAGGGGTTTGCTCTTCTCTTTCATCCCAGCCTCATAAACTCTGCCTAACATCCCTTGAGATCTTTCTCAAAAAGGAAAAGGCGAGGCTTGCCATCCGTTGGATGACTGCTGCCCTGCCCGGCTCTCCAGAGCGCAATTCAGTGCTGACGTCCACCACGCTTGCTCAGTAGCTAGGAGTGCCGTGGAGCTCCCAGGCAGGAGGAGAGCTCCAGATGCGGAGTTCTTCCTGACCCTGTTTTTGATCCTTGCTGAATGATGTCTGGGCTCTGCACGCACCATTCGTAGCTTTACATTTATCAGCATAAACATGCTTAAAGAGCTTCTTCAGAAGCTAAGAGTTTTGACACACTTCTAATTTCACAAGTATCAGTCTGATTGAGATTGTAACATGGCCCAGTCCATGTGAGACCTACCAGATGTCCTAGATATTCTGTGTTATGGATTCACAAAGCAATAGCTGCAAAGATAAGATAATGAAGAATGTTTGAAGCACAAAGCTGCTGGTGTGGTGAGGGGTGGAGGTCATGTTGGTGCAGCTGTCAAGATACCACTTGGGATACCAGTGTCCCGTAGTTCAGTGCCTGAGTTCAAGTCCTGTTGATGCTTGATGCCAGCTGCCTGCTATTGTGCCCCCTTGAAGGAAACACATTATGGCTCAGGTAATTGGGTCCCTGACTCAGACTGAGTTCCTGGCTTTGGCCTGGCCCAGGCCCACCTGTTACAGGCACTTGGGAGAACTCACTCTGTCTGTATTCCTGTCTGCCTTTCAAATAAATAATACTTTAAAAAAAAAAAAAAGGTTAGGATAGTTATTACATTTCTACAATTCAGCAACTGAAATCACTGATGCAATGCTCTGAGGTTACACCCGATAGACAGCAGGCAGTGCAATGGTGCGTCCAGCACTTTTTCCTGAAACCTTGCTCTTTCTCCACATCCTCATGAGGACTGCTACGTCCCTGCTTCTTCGAGTAGTCCAGAGGGAAACAGAGTGGTGATCTGTTGTCAGCTAGGTCAGAACATTCAGTCTGTAATGAAGGGGACATGCACGTTCTGGCTTAAGTTTTGCAGATATCTCTAGAGAATATTAGTTCTTTGTTTTGTCTGCAAATGTGAGGGATCTTCAAAATGTTCAGAGAAAATGTGTATCATGGAGGCCAGCATTTTGGTACAGTGAATTAAGCCACCACTTGTGACACCAGCATCCCGTATCCGAGTGCTGGTTCAAGTCCTGGATGCTCCACTTCTGATTCAGCTCCCTGCTGGTACTCTTGGGAAAGATGCAAAAGATGGCCCAAGTACTTGGGCCCCTGGCACCCATGTGGGAAACCTGGATAGAGCTCTAGATGCCTGATTTCAGCCTGACCCAGCCCTAGCTGGTTGTTGCGACCATTTGTGGAGTGAACCAATGGGTGGAAGATCTCTTTCTGTGTCTCTTCCCCTGTCTCTGTCACTCTGCCTTTCAAATAAATAATAACAAATCTTTTTTTTAAATGTGTATCATGAAAAAAACTATGCATAGATTTAGAAATTTTTTGCACCAAAATATACTTAGCAATTCGATCGCTTCTCGGCCTTTTGGCTAAGATCAAGTGTAGCAATTCAAGTTTTACATGAAATTTTTGAAGTACTCTCATATATTAAGTAGCTAGAACCTGCTGTATATCTCTTATATAAAATAAATATAGTCCTACCATTGCATCCACATGTCCCCTAAGCCATACTCTTTCTCTGCCTTCTAGGTAGTTGGATGATAAATATGCTGTTGATTTCCAAGTGCCCTGAAGAGACAGGGCCTTCTAGAAATTCTAGGTTGAAGCATAACAACTAATAACTTAGAGTTGGATGTTGTCTTGCAGTTTGGGAAATGCTCTTGCATGATTTCTTTTGATTCTCCAAGAAAAAAATCAATCAAATAAAAGGTGAAGTATTATTCCCTTCTGCCAGTTGTGGAGAGAGGGTCTCCAAGAAAATGAGGGTCCTGGCCATGGTTGATGAACTAGTGAGTGATAACTTGGTCTACATCTCACGTTCTGCCCCATAAAAGGCAGCATGGCCCTGCAAGTGTCCCTGTACTGCCACCTACCTGTGGTTGACACTGGACAAGCTGTTTGCCGTCACTGGGCCTCAGTTGCCTCGTTGGTAAATTATGCTCATCTTGTAGATGCCCGAGCCAGATTCTGTAAGATGCTGTGTGTGAAGTTACTTCCTCTTTCTTTTTATTTTTTCGGATTGCTTCTTAACAAGCCTCAAGAAGGACTGAACAGGAATCCCTCTGGTTATATTACAGCCCAACTAATACCTTTCCCTGAAAACTCTGAGATGTAGCCCAAGGCTTGTTATGAAATTACTTTTGGGTATTTCCGATTCTATCTATTTTCACTTATCTAGGCATTCAGCAAATATTTTTGGTCACCTATCATAATCTCTGAATAAAGGAATCATATGATTCAGAATGAGGCCCTCTTTCTTTCCAAAGCAAATGTTATAGTTTTCTCTAGTTCAATTAAAATGTTAGCCATCAAGTTTTGAATTTGTACTTTTGAGCAAACATGATCACGAGTCCCTCTGATAGGAGAGATGTTTGGAGCTCAATTATTATAATATTTCTTTAAGAAAGCGTCATCAGAACTAACTAGTAAACAAGAGTATATGTTTATGAGTCACAGCGCATGCACATACACATTGATATTTCATGTGCTTCTTGTTGTCTTTGAAGATTTAGCAATGTCATCAGGGCCCACACCCGCCTGGAGTCCAGATACAGCAATAGTTCTGGAGGGTCATATGACGAAGACAAAAGTAAGTACCAAGGGGCTGGGGGCTTCCAGAGGGAATGCAAGTGGTTGGGCAATGGAAAACTAGTATTTAGATTATTCTAGTTACAATTATTTAAAAAGACCGATAAATATTAAATAACCATTTAATCCAACCATGCAAATCAGCATGCAGAAGCATCTTGAATGTGAAAAAAAATCAAGCAGTGAACAAATCGAAATCAAAATTAAAAATTCAAACTACTAACCAATCCCATATTTTTGTATTCTTGGCATTTTTCCTTGGTGATGCAGTTGGGGACAGGCCAGTAAAATATTATCCCATTAGAAAACAAATATTGTGGTTTGGTTTTGTACCTGTTTTAGGAGTAGATTTAACATGTAAGCTTGGTGAGCCTGCTTGCCCAGAACAGGGTCTGATTGCACATTGAACCTCTCAGTAGCTGAGTGAACACTGCTAAACTGGCAGAAGGCTTTGTTCCAGCAATTTCTCTGATTTGAGCAGCTGGGAAAACCAAAAAGGTCAATGCATTCATTGATTTGTCCTAGCCACAGACAACTTCAGTAGATACAGAGCAGGTATAGAGAATTGTTTGGTATGAGTTACAGGAAGTCTAGAACCAAAAAACTCTGCCAGGGACATTTAGGTGTGCTAGGGAAATCAGTAAACTATGCTCTGGAATTAATTGTTTTATTTTGGTGAAAATCCCAAGTAAAGTGGTATTTCAAGAGTTAAGTGCACTTTGTAGTTATTGTTTTTAATATTTTTTAAAGGAAATGTGCAGAGTTGAGTAAGAGGTAAATAACTCCAATGACCCCATATTTCAGTTTCCCTTACTCTACTTCCTGTTGCATAGGCAGGTAGTTCTCTGCCATCCAAAATAGCAGTGGGAGGAATGTCTATAATCCATACATAATTGTTTTAATCTAGCTTTGGTTATGTTAACTATGCCCCTATAAACCTTTGTGCTGGAGCTATCATTAAGAGGCAAAACTAAGCTGTTTATATTCTCCCTTCTTTCTGTGCCCCATCAGGGATCTGTACCATCCAAACACGGAGCCATTAGTTCCAGAAGGAATCAATTTTTGCAGATGAGAGTAGTATCTGAGAAATGGGGAATTGTCATTTAAGAGAAGTCTGATTACTGTGGCAATATTTGGAAACCCAAAATTTGAGAGCAGAAAAGTTGAATTGTGAATAGATTAGCACTCTAATCCTGACTTCTCAGAGTATGACCAGCATGGTACAGCAAAGCCTAACAGTCCATGGCTATGGTTGTTACATTAGGAATATTGCTATACTTTGGCTATCTGGATTACTTTACAGTAGCTATGAATGTATAGAATGTACACAGTAGAATGTATAGTATCTGTACATTCTGGGTACATGACATAGAATTTGATAGAAGAATTATAGTGAATAGAATCTTAGAGTCCTCTTGTTCTGAAACCTCATATCCCTTATATTTATTGAAATAGTGAATTATAGGGGATAATTTTAATAAAGTGAGGTAATTATGCCATTGTAGAAACTGAAATTGCTGACTTAAAGGACAAAAAAAATAATAGAAGTATTTGTGAAGAGAAAAAAAAAACTAGTGTGAATTCAGATAACACATTATAAAAAGTCCATTATTGTCATGTGACCTTTATTTTATCTAGAAACATAGATATAAATGACATATTAATGGGAAAATTTTGAATCTAGGTTGTCATTTAGTTGTATATCAAAAATATCCTTTACATGATTATTCCTATTTATGAGGTTCATGACAACAAGTTTAGACACTGAGATCATATATTTTAACTTATTCATGTTAAGATAAAATAAAATCAAGCTACCCAACAGCCATCACAGAATGTTCCAAAAATATGTATGAGGATCTTTTCCCCAAGTGTTCAAGGAGTGCTATCTCTTTACTTTGTCCTAGAGGAAGCAACATGTCTAACAGGACACAACTACCCATAAGACTTTAGGAGTTGGGACCTCTCTGATGTGTTATTGTTCTAGCTACATAATTATGGATATGCCACAAGAGAGGTGAAGGTTAGGAGGCTTAATTCCAAAACCTTAGGGCCAGATGTCTGGTCTGTGCAAAGAGTTGATTATTTTCTCCCTAATTTACTGAGGGGATCAGCAGAGATAGGAGGTCTAAGAAGGGGTCAGCAGAGATCAAGTGGTCCCATGCTTCAATATCTGGGTTTATTCAAAAGCAAACAGTATGCATAGTTTCTGAAGTGTATTTTATATTAAAAAAAAAAAAAAAAAAAAAACCTTGAGTGCAATGGACAAGCAAATTGATTTAGACCTAGATCTATAATGTAGCGTTCTACCAATATTGTGTAAGCTCTCCCCCTGCCAAAAAAAAAAAAAACTACTTAAAATACCTGGATTATTTTCCAAGGTCACGGGCTAATGTATCCGACCCCATAGGAAGGATACAACCAGTTAAGCAGAAAAGTAGCTGAGTTATAATGGTTTAAACCTAAGATTTAGGTCACACTAATTCTTCTCAGCAAATCTTTGCTGATTGGATATACATGTGGGATCTTCAAAAAGTTTATGAAAAGTGCCTTTTATCAAACAATTATACATGGATTTTAAAACTTTTGTTCCAAAATAAACTTATCTTTTTTTTTTTTGAGTTTTTTTTTTTAACTTTTATTTAATGAATATACGTTTCCAAAGTACGAATAGTGGATTACTATGGCTTCCCCCCCATACCATCCCTCCCACCCACAACCCTCCCCTTTCCCACTCCCTCTCCCCTTCCATTCACATCAAGATTCATTTTCGATTATCTTAATATACAGAAGATCAGCTTAGTATACATTAAGTAAGGATTTCAACAGTTTGCTCCCACACAGAAACATAAAGTGAAAAATAATAGATGATTTTTTTTAATGATGATGAAATCAGATCAGACCTATTGTCATGTTTAATCCCAGTGAGAGTCAAGTTGGGAGTTGATAGTTTCTTTTCTTTTCTTTTTTTTTTTTTTTACAGAGGATCAGTTTAGTATGCATTAAGTAAAGATTTCAACAGTTTGCACCCCCATAGAAACACAAAGTGAAATATATTATTTGAGTACTCGTTATAGCATTAAATCTCAATGCACAGCACATTAAGGACAGAGATCCTACATGAGGAGTAAGTGCACAGTGACTCCTGTTGTTGACTTTACCAATTGACACTCCTGTCTATGGCATCAGTAATCTCCCTATGCTCCAGTCATGAGTTTCCAAGGCTATGGAAGCCCCTTGAGTTCTCCGACTCTTATCTTGTTTAGACAAGGTCATAGTCAAAGTGGAGGTTCTCTCCTCCCTTCAGAGAAAGGTACCTCCTTCTTTGAAGACCTATTCTTTCCACTGAGATCTCACTCACAGAGATCTTTTGCCAGAGTGTCTTGGCTTTCCATGCCTGAAATACTCTCATGGGCTTTTCAGCCAGATCCGAATGCCTTTAGGGCTGATTCTGAGGCCAGAGTGCTATTTAGGGCATCTGCCATTCTATGAGTCTGCTGAGTATCTCACTTCCCATGTTGGATCACTCTCCCCTTTATTTATTCTATCGGTTAGTTTATATTCCATTTTTCCATGGCCCTTTTTGAAGTCCCTTCATGTATATCCAAGTACATCATTAAAACCAAAAACAATTCACCCTTCCTTATTGAAAATCTCAAAAGTTGTGCTTGTTTTTTGTTTCCAATATTCTCTTCTTTTGGGTCCCCATTCAAGATTTATTAAAGAGCAGCTAATTACTTAGCACTTCTACTGACTTATCCTAGATAGTTATCCAAGAAGTTGATTTGCTGAAAGTGGGACATTCTGTGGGTCAATTGGTGAGAGTCTGAACTGATATGAATTACTAGTGTACTTGCTTTAAGTTTGAGCTAAAATTGCCATGGCAAGGCACAAAATTCTAGTTACTCATTTGTCAGTGCGTTAGAATGAGCCGACAGTCACTTTTTAAGGAGATCCCTGACCTTACCCACTAGAACTCCCTTAGCTCATTTCCCTGGAGAAGTGGAATGTTCGTTCTAGTGCCTGGCCTGGTTTGAATCCTGAGTTGTCATAATAGGAGGGATCCCCTCCACTAGCTCTGCTAACTGTTAAGATCAATATTCTATACTAGACCAGCAGCATTGGTCAACTACAACCATGCACCACATAATGACCTTTTGGCCAACAGCAGACCACAGCTATAACTGTGGCTCCGCCACATACTGTAGATGTGTAATAGGCTATATCATCCAGGTTTGTGTAAGCTTACTGTATGATATTTGGACAACAAAATCACACAGGCACATTTCTCTGAGTATGTCCCTGAGGTTAAACAATGCATGATTGTACCTCTTGATACCTTTCAGAAGTGACACTGAAAAAAACAATATTTGAAAGGGAAATGCCTAAAGATGATGTACTACATCCTTCCTCTTACTATGTTAAGCTTGTCCCAAGATTGTCTTAAGCTTGTGCCAGCTTGTCTTAAAACCTAGACCTGGGTCATTATCAAGTGGCCCCCTATAGAATTACTTACCTTGAATATCACAGGTCTATCATGAGAGCATTATGAGAGATAAAGCCTCACTGCTTTGCTTACTTGAAAGATAGTGTTGATGAAGTTCATTCATTTAAAAATATTTGTTGATCCCCTACCATGTGCCAGGCACTGTGGTGGTACTTGGGGAGCAACAATTACAAAACAGAGAAAGTTCCTACTCTCGGAGCTTGCATTAGAGATGGGGGAGGCAGGGCTGGTGATTCAGCCTGAGGAAATTTGTAGCAGAAACAGATTAAGAGCCAGCAAGTAATTGGCTGGGGATGGATTTAAATACAGTGGGCAGAGAAAGCCTCTGTGATAAGGTGAAGCAAAGGGGCAAGTCAGGCAGGTGCTTGTGGAAGAGCATCCCAGCCACAGGGAACAGAGGCAGCTCAGAACCTGGCCTGATCACAGACAGCAGGGAAGCCAGGCGACTGCGACAGAGTGAGCAGAGGAAATCAGCAAAGAGAGGTGCAGCGCGGGGGTCTTGGAAGTGCTTCCAGGCCATGGAGTGGATTTCAGATTTCATTTTGAGGGTAAAGGGAAGCCACTGGAGAGTGCTGAATAGAGAAAGAGATACAGCTGAACTGTCTTAAAAGGATTTCTTGGGGAGGGGCAAGGATAAAAGTAGGAAGACGGTTAAGAGCCCATTGCAAGAATTCTTGTGAGAAATCTCATGGTAGCCTAGACCATGAGAGTCAGGATGAGGATGAGTGGCCATCTTAATAGGTTTGGAAGGCAGAAATCATCAAATATGATGATAACACTAAGTTAATTAACCTGGTTCCCCCTCTATAAAATAAGGATAATAGTAATATGTACCTATTATTATACTGCTTATATATAAGATGCCTAGAATAGTATCTGGCATAAAGTGAGTACTCAGTGTTAGTTCCTAATGTTATTTTTATTATTATTTCTACTACTATATCATCATCATGATTATGAGTTGGCTGTGGGAAGTGAGTGGGAAATCAGGAATGACTGTGAGGTTCCTGTCCTGAGAAGACTGGAAATTTGGAATTGTGTTTTATTTAGATGGGAAAAACTAGAGGAGCAAGTTTTCACAGTGGCGGGAATTCACGTGATTTAGTGTTTTCCTTTTTGTGTGTCTGTATTTTCCTTTTCTCTATAATGAATAGCTATAAATTAGTAATCAAGTAATAACCAATCAAGTAATTGCCTAAGCAAGGAATTCTAACTCATTTGATCATGTAATTCATAGTCACCAAATTGAAAGGTTGGAATGTTATTTTTACAAGCATGGCATCTGGAAAATTCTTTCTAAATACACTGAGAAGGGAAGGCAAAAATCGTGTCTCTCTCACCCTACAGATGATCCAGTCTCTCCCTACACGGGCTGGTTACTAACTGTTACAGAAACCAAACAGCCGCAGCCCTTACCCATGCCCTGCACTGGAGGATGCTGGGCACCCCTGGTTGACTATCTCCCAGAGACCATCACTCCCCGGGGGCCACTCCATAGGTAAGCTCCATGGGCCAGGAGAGGGAAACAGCCACTTACCTTTGAGCTTCTCTGCCTATGAAACCAGAGAAACCACTCCAGTTCCCATCAGATTAAAGGACGTTTGAAGTCAGTAGGATCGTGTCTGACTTGATTATCAGCTCCCAGCAGAGTTTGGTCACCTGTGAACCCATGTGCAGAGCCACCTTGTGATGATGTCCTCTTGACATGGGTATTTGTTCTGTGATGCTTTAGAGACTGTAAACAATTTGAAGAGAAGGACCTTGTCTTCACTACCTCTACCCCAGAGCTTTTATTACCTGCTAACCAGCAGATGCTCCATTATGCAGTCAACTCAACCAGTATTTCTTCTTACTATGGGGCTGCATGCTGTCAGAAATTAACCTTGGAAAGAGCATTTAGCTGGCAATTAAGGTGACTGTATCCCATATCAGAATGCCTCAGTTTGATCCACAGTTCTGGCTCCTGATTCCAGCTTCCTGCCAATGCAGACTCTCAGAGGCAGCAGCAGTACCTCAAGTAATCGGACCCCTGCCACCCACAAGGGAGACCTGGATTGAGTTCCTGGCTCCCAGCTTCAGTCCAGCCCAGTTCTGATCACTGCAGGCATTTGGAGTGAATCTGTAGATGGGAACTCTCTCTGTATCTCTTTACCCATCAACAAAAATTTCTTTTTAAAGAAGTTGACCTCTGTTTTCCCTGAATGTGAGGTTTAAATAATTATTGAGCGAGATATAATGGTTGTAGTTAATGGTGACTTCATAAATCTATCAGTGCATTTCCATTCTCTCCAGAAGTTGCATTAATTTCATTATTTCTTGGATTAGGTGCAACATTGCTGTAATTTTTATGACTGAGATGGTGGTGGATCATAGTGTAAGAGAAGATTGGGCTCTCCATCTACCATTATTACTCCATGCTGTCTTCTTAGGTAAGACTGGATCGGTAGGACCTTTAACCTGTTGACTCAGAAACATAGGAGTAAACCACAGAGATTTCCTTTGATATTGACATCCTGCTTCCCTCTTTTCTGAGATATTTTAGTCTTTTCCATTTTTCATTGGCCTTTTTGTGACATTTGCTCTAAAATTTCACTTGATCGTTGTTTAAAATTGCTCTGTTCCTACAATGTAAATCCAGTGGTACCTCGCTAATGCGATATCTGTAAAGATATCCAACCCAAGTTGAGCCTTTTTGAGGATCTTTGATTGAAGTAATACACTTAAAGGCATGAGACATAGTGCATAGAGAGAAAGAATGCAGAGCACAGAGGACCAGGCACTGGGCTTCAAAAATACCCAAACTGTGGAGTAAAATGTAGAGTAACTAGCTAGAAAGTGCCAGAATTTTAGGTTGAAAGAGACAACTAAAATTAGAATCCTTCAGTAACAGGGAGATCCAAACAAGAGAACATCTCAGGATGAAAGAATGCTAACCATGTTCAGTGCTACACAGAGGTCAAGAAAAGTCCATCTGTCAGCCTTTTATGAGGACATGTGATATAAAGAGTAAAGCATTTTATTTTTCCTAAGCCCAGCTTCTTTATGTTGGTAACACAAGCAATAACAAAGGAAAGTAAACATTCTTTGAACGTGTTCCTCCTGAATATCTGGGAATCTTTACTATCCCTGGAATCTAAACGGGCTTAACTTTTGTTTATACTAAGAGATTCCACGCTTTTGTTCCAGGTTTGGACCATTACCGGCCTGAGGTCTTTGAACACAGCAAAAAATTGCTTCTGCACCTCTTGATTGCCCTCTCTTGCAACAGCAATTTTCATGCCATTGCTTCTGTGCTCCTGCAGACTCGAGAGATGGGTGAAGCTAAGACTCTAACTGTTCAGCCAGCTTACCAACCTGAATATCTCTATACAGGTAATGAGAGACGCCACAGAGAGCCTGCAGACTGGCACAAATAGGAAGGAAACTGCAGGTGTCAGGGGAGCCCAAAGGAACTGTTCCCATGTGATTGCCTCCAACTTCCCAGCACAACAGATCCGTTCACTCAGTGTGAACTAGCCTCTCAGAACTCTTCTTCATTATGGAATAATTTTAAGTATATCTTCCTTGTGATTGTAATTGCTATTTCCATTAACATGTTCCGGTTGATGCACTGGAAATTCAGGTGCTCATTGGCCAAGAGCAGGAGTCTAGAATATTGAGGGTGAGAATGGAGACAATCTTGACCATCTCATTCTTCATGAAAGCAGGTCTTGGCCAAGGTGCCAGGGGTGATGCATGTGTACCTTCCAGTTGCCATGAAGGAATCTTCACTTTATTGAATTTTTCTAGATGGCACAATTTAGTGGGACCCTATTGAAAACCATTGCTGTTTTGAAACTAAAATTGTCTTCTTAGAAATGAGAACAGAAGGCATTAACTGAGCCAAAGAAATGACTGTGCCACGATGAGCTATGGAAAGAAGCCATTGAATTTTCACCTTGGAAGTCGCTGGTGTTGCTATTCATGAAAATGTGGCCAAAAGAGTTAACCCATGGTTCTTATTTAGAATGAAATGTTTAGAGTATCTTAAAATGATAACGAAGATTACCAACTCACAGCGCTCAGGGCTACTTTTTAAACTGGTCATTTTATACATGACATGGGCATTGGATATGGTATGGCATTTTATGTCATAAGTGCTGCACCACAAGAGCTGGCTAACCAAATAGTTTCTTCACTATGAAAAGGATGCAAATTTTGCTCAATATATATGCATAGCACTGTCTTGTCCTCTAGCCAATATTAGCAGATTTCTTTGGAAAGCAACAAGTCCTCATTAACTCTGAGATGGAAGGCCCACTGACCGAGCTGAAGCTCTTCATTTGAACCAAGCCACACTTAACTGCAAACAACCCATCAGTAGCTTCTCAGGCACACAGAGCTCTTTTTACTATAGATGCTTAATTTTTAAAAACTCTGAGGAGTTCTTAGAGTTCCAGTTCTAATTTCTGGAGATACGGATGTATTCCATAAAGTATGTGGTCTTAGACTTAGAAAATTGTAGTCTGTGAAGTGATGTATCTCTGAGTGTATCAGTTTTGTATTCATTATACTGCTGATGTGATATAAAATGACTTAAAGCAAGAATTTACTTTAAAAAATAAAAACTGCATAATACCATATAGTCTATAAGGAACAGATATTCAAACACATGAGATTTCCTTCTTTATACACATTTATTGAACACTGAGTTTGAATTATACTTGCTAAAACCTGTCTGATAGGAATTATTGTCCTCACCTTATTCTAATAGGAAACTAAACTATAAGGCATTATATGAACCCCTGAGGTTACGCTGGCACGGGCAGAGATGCTATTAAAACCCAGAACTCATCCTAATTCAGAGTCTGTAACACAGGACTGTGTAACTTTTAGTGATTATTAATTAAAGGAAAAGCAGTGCTCGCTCACATGTGTACATTTTCATATCCACATCCTAGCCAGAGATATGAAATGTTAATCACAAATGGAATGGGGACAAAACATAATATTTGTATATATAAGAGATCTTCAAAAAGTTCATGGATTTCAATTTTTGCACCAAAATACTGATCTTTCAAATCAAAATTTCCTTGAACTTTTTGAAGTCCCCTTGTACTATCTTTTTTAATATCATGCAACATGCTTTATTAAAACATATTAATATACATATAACATTAAGTTTCTAGGAAAGCTTACTCAAAAACACTAAGTATGACCTACTCATCAGCCACTAAGTGACTGTAAGCCTCAAAAAGCATGAATCATGTTCATTTACAAGTAATCAGTTGTTGAACTGTTCCTTGGGATGACCTGTGCACCCGTGCAAACACACATATTGCTTTCTTTCATGGAAATCATCAACTAAAACATCGGAGTGGAAAACAGCAGATCACCCTTTGTTCCCAGACACATGCTAGTTTCTACAGTAGCCCAAGTGATTTTGTGAAGAAAAGCTTTCCAATCTCACTTAATGATAGTCATTGCCTAAATCAGATGTTTTCTGCCCCAAATGTCCATAACCGCATACTTGTGTTTGCCCCTCTTTACCTTCGTTAAGCCTGCGGACAGTCAGCCTGCCTAACACACAGCCTTTCTCCCACCAGGTGGCCTTGACTTCCTGAGAGAGGATCAGTCCTCCCCAGTGCCAGACTCAGGGCTCAGCTCCAGCTCCACCTCCTCCAGCATCAGCCTGGGAGGCAGCAGTGGGAACCTCCCACAGATGACACAAGAGGTGGAAGACGTGGACACGGCTGCTGAGACGGACGAGAAAGCAAACAAACTCATTGAGTTTCTGACAACCAGGTAACACGGGCTTGGGCCGAGGCGTGCTGCCATTTTCTTGTGGGTCTTTAGGAAGAGTGTCAACACTCCAAACCACCCAGATGGAAAAGTGGCCCTGGAACGCTACCCAAGTCCTGTTTCCTTGTCTAAATTGCATCCATGGAAGTCTTTGTAAAAGGTACACCTTGGTAAAAGTTGTCTCGGCTCCCACTGATACGGCAGTTGATGGATGGGGAGATTGCAGGTGTAATTACACTGCAGCAGATGGAGACAGGAGCTGGGAGCACCCCGTGGTGAGCGTGACTTTAACTGTCTAGAGGAGCTGCCAGGAGCTGGGAGTTCCAAGACTTGGCAAAGACTGGCGCTCTGGAAACCAAGGATATTAGCCACAGTCGACCCAGGAGCAGCTGCTGAGGGGACTGTTGTCTGCTCATGTGGTCCAAAGAGTCCTTTGTGACTGGAAGGCAGAAATCAGAAACAATAGGAAGCATGATAGGAAAGGACTCAAGCGGATCAATCAAAATCCAGGAAAAAGGCAAGCAAGCTGTCCTGGTTTCTTTCTTTCTTTTCGTTTTTTTTTTTTTTTGTTTGTTGTTGTTGTTGTTTTCAAATCTTCTAATTAACAATTTAGCTCAGAAGCCTTCAAAGTTTCTAGCACCCAAAAATGTAGTAGTTGTGTAAAGGCCTTGCTTCCTATGGCCTGGGGCATGCTCTCCTTGCTCAGTGAGTTACCATCTGCAAACATAGTCTGTTTATATGATTTATCTCTTATCTCACAAGATTTTTCTTTCTTCAGCGGATGCATCAATTATTGCAAACACTGGGGCAAGAGCATTTGCCTTTTCTCACTTAGTGATTCAGGTTATGCTATGCACCTCTCAGCTTAATATGGGATTTAAGATGTGGGAAGCTTAGGAAGGAGGCTGCTGGGCCCTCCACACAGTGTGTGAGCACACGCGGGGTGCTTCCGGGACCTGAATGGTTTGTGGAGAGGAAAGACAGTTGTCACCACTCACTGTCAGGAAATTCAGTTCCCTGAAATCCTCTCGCTTGGCTGCACCTCATTCTTACTGTTGAAAGCCAAGCGGATGGCAGAGGCTCTGTCTTCAGTGTGCTTCCGCGGTGTCTGGCAACTTGATGATCTGATCCTGCTCCGAAGCCTTATCTCTACAGATGCTAAGATGTGAAAATTGAATCTGTGTCTAAATCTATATTTCATTTAACATTGTATATCATTTTGTTTAACACGTATGTAACAACTACAGTATGGCAAGCACTGTTCTGGTGAATTGGGAGGTTTTAATTTTATAACTACATGTAATTTAAAAACCTAAAAAAAATGCACCCATATATTTAGCCAGATATGTTTTGAATATGCTGGTAAGTTTCATAAGACAAAAATATAGTCCCAAACTAATTATTAAAAAATTTTAAAAATATATTGTACCTTTTGCGTTAGAATTGCATGTATGATTTTTAAAAGTGAAATTAAGTTTTCTTGATGACATTTTGTGTGTTTTGTTTAGGGCATTTGGTCCGCTTTGGTGCCATGAAGACATCACTCCCAAAAATCAAAATTCAAAGAGTGCTGAACAGCTCACTAATTTTCTACGTCATGTTGTGTCTGTATTTAAAGATTCCAAATCAGGTACCTCATCCTGTTGGTCCAAATCCCTCATTCACCATTTCTCTGTAATGGAGCTCGCTCTCCCTTTAGGACTAGAAATGTTATATATGTGGTCCTAACTCTTGGCATCTCCTGGCACGTATTCATATGAGGGGGTGTGGAGAGGAGGTTAAAGCTCTCGGCAACTCTTGGCACAAATTCATATGTTAAAGCTCATTGCCAGGCATAAAACCAGGAGGCACCAGGCCCCAAACGAGCAGTGTGTCTGGATGGCCCATCCTTCCATCCAGGGTCAAGCGGAGGCAAGGTGGAAGGAACGTGAAGAACTTCAATGTCATTCATTGTGATGGGCACAGCAAAGGGCAAAGGCATCCAGAAAGAGGCCAAGAGTCTCCTGTGAAAAAAATCAAGGTTGTGTGGTTTGGCTGGGAGTCAAGACCCTCACTGCACTAGCAAGACTCACAGTAGGGTGTGACCTCAGAACCACACAGCTGGGAGAGACCTAATGAGGAAGAAAAGGATGGGTGACAGGCAGGGAGGAGGGATACATAGTAAGAGTGAGAAGGACTGATATTCAATGAGAACTTCCAGTGTGTCAGCAGCCATTTCCCCGTGTGTTACCTTTTACTTGATTCCTTGAATGGACAACGTATTGAAAAGCTGCAAGTGTTGCTGAGGATGGGGAGAAAATGTTTGTGCATCGTTGGTGGGAATTAAGATGGGGCTGCTTTGGAAAACAGTATGGTATTCCCTGAGAAAACTGACAATAGAATTACCATATGATCCAGCAGTTCTACTTTGGGTTATATATCCTGAAGTGGAAAGCAGAGACATGAAGAGATACGTGTGCACCCCTGTTCTCTGCAGCATCATTCACAAGTGCCAAAAAGGTGGAGGCAGTCGACACACCCACCAGTGGAGGGATGCGGTGTACGCCCACAGTGCGATTCTACTCAGCCTTAAAAAGGAAGGGAATTCTGCTACACGCTACAGCACAGATGAATCTTGAGGCTATCAGGCCAAGTAATGCACCAGCAGCAAACAGACGAATGGATGATTTCACGTATAGGAGCTACCAAGAACAGTCAAATTCACTGAGACAGAAATTAGAATGGTAGCTGCAGGGTCTGAATTATGGGGCCACTGAGGAATTGTTTAACGGGTGTGAAGCTTGAGAAGATGAAAAAGCTCTGAAAATTAGCTGCACTATGATGCTGAATACATTTAAATATTACTGAACTGTATGCTTAGAAATGGCTATTGTAAATTTTAAGTTATATGCAGAAAAGCTCATTTCAGATACTGCCTGAGTGACCATTAGCACATGTGTGTTTGCATTGTGCTTTATCAAATAACCTCCCAAGCTCGCTTGTTCTCCTTGTTAAACTGTGCCTGAGCCAATTTTGTTTAAATAAGGCCAAGAGAAATAAATCTCACTGACCTACCTGTAAAAAGCGGCGAAGGGTGAGTGTTGCAGAGCGATGGGTCAAGCCGCCAGTTGGGAATCCCACATCTAATCAGAATAGCCATTCAGTCACAGCTACTCCGAGCTCAACTCAACTTCCTGATAACACACCTGGGAGGCAGTGGGTGAGGGTGCAGAGCTTGGGTCCATGCCATCCACGTGAGAGACCCAGATGGATTCTGGGCTCCAGGCTTTGGCCTGGTCCAGCCTTGAATGTTGTAGACATTGTGGTGGAGCAAAGCAGTGTATGGAAAATCAACCTCTCTCTCTTCCTTTCTCTCTCTCTCTCTCCCTCTCTCACTCCCTCTCTCTCTCTCTGTCTCCCTGTGCCTTTCCAATAGATGAAAATAAACAAACATTTTTTTTAAATGTTCAGCGTGGTTAAATATGGAGTTGAAATGGTCAAGCTGTTCTTTTTAAAAAAAAGTTTGGTGATAAAGCATGCTTAGCTTTAAAAGCGTTTGCTAGCAATTCCTGTGCAAATGACCATTCAGTATCCTGACACAGAATGAGTGCTGTTTTAATCATCATAGATAGCATCGTATTTTTTAACTGTTTATCCTCAGCCTCATTCCTTTCAGATCCAGCTTGGCCTGGGCTGATTCGTGTGTGAAGTTTAAACTTCGTTCCTCAGCATGATGTAAAAACTCTCTCTACAGATTTTTTTCACACCACGTTGGCAATACTGAATGTAGTTTGCTGGCTTTCCCGGCCGCTCTTGACAGTCGGCACATTTTGCAGATTGAAGCGTTCCAGATTAGCCCACATCTCTTTGTAGTACCATAGAATACCTATTTAAAAACAAAAAATGCTGACAAACTGAAATAAGGAATAGGATTGCCGTTTAATCTCCCCTTTGGAATTTGTTTGAAATGTTAGAACCTCAAAAGTCAAATTGAACATAGCCCAAAGATAAAATACTGTTTGTAGGTGAAGCATTTATTTCTCTAAAACCTTAATTGTATGAAGATAATAAAAATGAACACATGTGTGAATGTCTTATACTGAATTCTCAGGTAGTTCAGGCTGCCTAAGGTTTAAGCATTTGGCACCTTGATCAAGCTATTTTTAACCATGGGCTCTCCTTGTACAACCGCTTTCTGCCTGTTTCCACTGCATGCCATAGTGTGCTCCTGGAAACTGTGTTCCTCACGGTAGCATAGCAGCTGTGACAAACAGCCCCCAGAGCTCAGGGTATTCCTGGACTGTGTAACAGGGGAGCGAGGTGATTGGCAGGTGACCTTCATGCAGTGTTTCAGGGACCCTCCAGCCTGACGTCATGTAGCCCTCTGAGCTCAGAGGCCATAAAAGCCCTCCTCCAGCCAGCAAGTGGAGGTGAGCATGAGTGGGGGGCTACCGGGGATGAGTCCATACGCCCAGCTCAGTGGGTTGTCCAGTGCTTCTCCCTGCATCCGCTGGCCAGAAATGAGGTCCATGGTCACACCTAAATGCAAGGAAGTCTGGAAGATAGAGATTCAGTGTAGCTGGAAGGAAAGGAAAACTTCTTCTTTTGCCAGAGAACATTGTCACAGTGCCTGGTGGGGTTCTGTAGAGTTTTTGCCTTGGTTTGGTGTTCATTACAGTTTAAACCAGCTTTTGCTCATTGCTAGAGGCCTCACTCCTCATATAAAAAGAGTTAAGTACGAAAATATGTCTTGAAAAAACAAAGATGTGAAACCCTTTTTGAAACATGGTCCATTCCTAAGTTGTGAACTGCTTATATAGGTTCAGTGCTGTATGTAACCCTCTGAAGATGTCCAAAGCCCTTTTGCAGGACCCTCTGTGTGCTCTGCAGGACAATTTAATTTGATTGATTGATTGATTTGAAAGGAAAGGCAGAGAGAGAGAGAGAGAGGTCTTCCATCCGCTGGTTCACTCCCAAAGTGGCCACTGGGCTGATCCAAAGCCAGCAGCCATGACCTTCTTCTGGGTCTCCCACAGGGGTGTGCAGTCCCAAGGACTTGGGCCATCTTCTACTGCTTTCCCAGGCCATAGCAGAGAGCTGAATCAGAAGTGGAGCAGCCAGGACTTGAACTGGGGCCCACATGGGATGCCGGCACTGTAGGTGGCGCCCTTACCAACTATGACACTGCGCCGGCCCCAGGATAATTTTCTTATACTGTAATCTGTCTTTAGGGCCAGGAAGCCAATGTCATGCAATAGCCCGGGGGTCCGCTTTCCTGTGACATCCAAATGTGACTCAGAGGCCCCCAGGTTGTGGTTTCACTGGGTCCTTTATCCCTTGTGGTTTGAGTTTCTCCTTGCTGAAAGGCATGGCAAGTAATCAGTTTAATGGCCAAGAATTCAGTCATGAGGTTTATCTTACATTTTCTTTTTTTAAGATTTGGGTTATTTATTTGAAAGACAGAATGAAAGAGAGGAAGAAATGGAGAGATAAAGAGATCTTCCATCCTCTGGTTCGCTCCCCAAACGGCTGCAATAGCCAGGGGTTGGCCAAGCCAAATTATCCAGGTCTTCCACATGGGTGGCAGGGCCCAAGGATTTAGGCCATATTCCACTGCTTTCCCAAGTGCATTGGCAGGGAGCTGGATCAGAAGTGGAACAGCTGGCATTCAACCCGTCACCCCAGTGAGGGTTGCTGGTGTCAGAAACAGCAGCTCAACCTGCTATGCCACAACACCAGCAACTTAGATTTTCATTTCAACCTTCGCAAATGGTTTTCTGATGATGTGAAAAAAAGTTTTAAATTACAGCTGCCATCTTTGCAGCGTCTACATCTCAATATCTGCATATTTATAGCCTGTTTCAAAGAGCTGCAACTTTGGCACAGGTCATACTTGTGTTAGCAATTGCCTGGATCCACTAACAGCTTTCCTCTAAACTCTAACAAACTCCCATGGAAAAAGGAGCGAATGTATTCTATGTAAAAAGTCGTACAGGGCAGCACTTGGTGCAGTGGTTAAATCACCACTTGGGACGTTGGTATTCCGTATTAGAGTACATGGTTTGAGGCCCTGCTCTCCTGCCTCTGATCTAGTTGTCGCTCCCCGTCTTCGTGGAGGAACGACACAGGACCCTGCGCTGTTCTTTCGTCTGCTCGGCCCTCCCCGGGTTTGCTGCTGGTTCTTCCTGGGTTGGCTACTGTCCCTTCCACCTCCGTGGAAGGGGGGTTCCCGCTGCCACATTCCCCACTTCCGCAGGGGAGCGGCACACCGCCGGCCGGCTCTCTCGGGGGCTGCACAGGTGTTCCCCTTAGATGTTCCTGGTGCATGTTGTCTCTCTCCTCCTTTATAGTCCTCTTCCGCCAATCCCAACTCTGCTACCCACACGCCGAGTACGCTGCTCTCCTCCAATCAGGAGCAGGTCCTACAGTTTCTTGGTTGAACTGGAGGCAGCTGCGTAGAAGCTGTTACTCCCTTCTCAGCGCCATATTGTGGGAGAGCAGATGCATAGAATAAGCCTTAATTCCAGTAACTCAGTCCAGTCCGGGTTGCTCCCCACACTAGTTTCCTGCTAATACACACTCTAAGCTGCAGCAGATTGTTCAAGCACTTGTGTCTGTGCCACCCATGCAGAAGACACAGATGGAGTTCCTGGTCCTGGATTTGGACTAGCCCAGCCCCTAGCTGTTGCAGGCATTTAGAGAGTGAACCAGTGAATGGATGATTTCTGTCTACCAATCAAATAACATGAAAATAAATACAAACTTTTGAAAGTACAGAATGATATAGAAAAATAGAAGTAATAAATAATAATACATTTGGTTACACAAGTGTGTGTCAGACATTATATTAGGTACTTATAAATGGTTTAATTTTCACAATTAGCCTATGAGATAGATGCTATTTTTCTGTTTTTAAAAGGATTTATTTATTTATTTGAAAATTAGAGCTACAGAGAGAGTGGAAGATAGGTCTTCCATCCACTGGTTCATTCTCCAAATGGCTGCAACTTCCAGGGTTGGTCCAGGCCAAAGCCAGGACCAAGAGCTTCATCTTGGTATTCCACGTGGGTGACAGGGGCCCAAGAACTTGGGCCATCTTCCACCACTTTTCCCAAGCCATTAGCAGGAAGCTGGATCAGAAGTGAAGCAACTGGCACACAAACTGGCCCCTCTATGGGATGCTGGTGTTGCAGAGGGTGGTTTTACCTGCTGTGCCACATGCCGGCCCCAACAGATGCTGCTGTCTACAAATGAAAGGTTAGGAAATAGGCTTATAGAGAATACATCTGTTTCCCAGAGTCACAAAGCCCCAATTCAAAACCAAGGCCCTCTTGTCCCATGGTCTCTGCTTATTTATTTTTTATACTACAGTATGCCTCCATAAGATTTATTCAAGATTTGAGCATTTTTTTAATGTTTATTTATTTCCATCTGCATGAAAGGTGGAGTGACAGAGAGAGGCATATTTTCTTTCTTATATATAAATATTTATTCATTTGAAAGAGTTACACAGAGAGAGGAGAGGCAGAGAGAAAGAGAGAGAGGCCTTCCATCCGCTGGTTTACTCCCCAATTGGCCACAACGGCCAGAGTTGCACCGATCCAAAGTCAGGAACCAGAAGCTTCCTCCTGGTCTTCCACAAGGGTGCAGGGGTCCAAGGACTTGGGCCATCTTCTGCTGCTTTCCCAGGCCACAGCAGAGAGCTGGATTGGAAGTGGAGCAGCCAGGACTTGAACTGGTGCCCATATGGGATGCTGGTGCTTCAGGCCAGGGCATTAACCTGCTGCACCACAGCGCTAGCCCCAGGTAGGCTTATCTTCTATCTGTTGGTTTATTCCCATAGTGCATCCAACTAACAGGGCTAGACCAGGCCAAAACCCAGACCCCAGAACTCCATCCAGGTCTCCTACTTGGGTGGCAGGAGCTCAAGTACTTGGGCCAACATCTGCTGCTTCCCCAGATACAGCAGCAGGAAGCTGTCTCTGAAGCTGAGTGGCAGGATCTCAGATCAGCACCCCAATATGGGATGCAGGCATCCAAGTGGGAGCTTAACCTGCTGCCCACAACACGAGCCCCTGTGTTTATTTTTAATGAGTAGCTGTTTAAACCCACAGGTGACTGTGATGCCTGAAGGTGCAGGGTGGAGACCAACCAACTCTGGTTCTTCTGGCCTAGGTTTCCACCTGGAGCAACACCTGAGCGAGGTTGCCCTGCAGACGGCGCTTGCAAGCTCCTCCAGGCACTATGCTGGCCGATCCTTCCAGATATTCCGGGCCCTGAAGCAGCCTCTGTCGGCGCATGCCTTGTCCGATGTTCTCTCGAGGTTGGTGGAGGTGATTGGAGAGCATGGAGATGAGATTCAGGTAAGGACAGAAGACCACTGAGGTCGTGCAGCGGGAGCTGGCTCATCACAGTGAAGGAGTTATGACTACCACCTTCTGAGCCCTCTTTGACCAACTATTCCAGCCATTTGGAACATTTTTTGAAAAAATTAGGTTGATTTTTAGATTGACCAAACTACCCCAAGGTGAACATTGTTCTAGAAATGCAGGGGGTGGTACCTCTCTGATGCCAGCCAATAATGAAATCGCTTGGTGGCCCCTTTCTTGTAGCTGCTGTTGGTTTTATTTCGCAGGTGTATATGTTGAGGGATGGGGGAGGAGAGTTTAATTTTGTATTGTATTTGCCACAACCTAGGATGCGGTTAAACAGTCTTGCCACCCAAGAGCAGGGGTCTCCATCCTATCAGTGCAAAACACTGCCCTCCTTTAAGCTTAGCCTTCATTAGGCTGGCAAGATCTAAAAAAGGAAATGAGAGTGAGTGCCACAGCAAGCCTGGGCAGCTTGCAGGTTGGAAGCCAAGGGCATTACAAACCCTGAAGCTCAAGTCAAGCCTTTCTTTTCCATCAGAAAAGTTCCTGCATCTCGGGAAGCCTGCATGCCTGCAGACTCTGCCTCCATTTTCTCCTGATCATCACAAGTGCTGTCTGAGACCTCAGGGAGGCACAGCTCTCCCTACACCCCACCTCAGTCTCTGGTCTTCAGACATTGCAGTTCTGTATCTCAAACATCCATCTTCTCACCCAGCAGGGGCCATAGTTAACTCCTCCCTGTAAGATTTCCACCTCTGGGCAGAGTTGTGGCACCGTAGGTTAAGCCACCGCCTGTCACATCCCATTCCATATGAGTGCTGGTTCGAATCCCGGCTGCTTCACTTCCAATCCAGCTCCCTGCTAATGTACCTGGGAGAAGAATAGATGATGGCCTATGTGCTGGAGTCCTAGCCTCCCATGTGGCAGACCCAGATGGAGCTCCAGCCTCCTAGCTTTGGCCTGGCCCAGCCCCAGCCATTTGGGGAGTGAACCTGCAATGAGAGATCTCTTCCTCTGTCTCTCTTCTCTGTAACTCTGCCTTTCAAATAAATACAATCAATCTTAAATAAAAACAAAAAAAAAAAAGTCTATCCCTGAGAAGACCTAGGGAAATAAATCTTTATGAGTATCTGCTGATCCCTAAGCCGTCTGAATTTCCTAAGTGGCCCTTAATATTTGTGTTTAGGCTCATAAATTAAAGCAGCAATGGTTGTCTTGCTTTCAGTGATATTAATTATTGGAGTAAGTTTGCATTGTTAAATTTATCTTCAGGAAGTTCACAGTGGCAGGAACTGCACAAAATGTTATCTTTGCATGTTTGGCAGGGTTATGTAATGGAAGCACTCCTTACTTTGGAAGCTGCTGTGGACAATTTGTCTGACTGCTTGAAGAACAGTGATCTCTTAACTGTATTATCTCGGTGAGAATCATTTTAATGACATTTTGGAATTAAATAGACTGTAAATGAATATGTGGGCTGTCCTAGACTTTGGGCAAAGTTTAAAGAACAAATCTAGTTTTTGAAGCTTATTTGTGGCCTGAAAAGTATATATGCTATTTTCTTAAAGAACAAAACAAAAATAAAACACACACACACACACACACACACACACAGATTGACACAGGATATAAGTACTCTAAAACATCAGAAAAACGGATACCAAATGTTATCTCTGATACAAATATTAATGAATTTTCTATTTTTAAGTCTGGGTATTTTTCAAATGTTATATAATCATATTTATTGGTAAACAGATATCACTTTTAAATAAATATATACCATGTTCATCTAAAACATTATTATAAAAATAGTTGGAATAAAGGGTGACTTTACTTAAGAACTCCTACCTTGCAATATTTTTGTTTTCTCCTGCTAAAGTTTGATAGCAGATTTGAATTCATCCATTATCCCATATTTTCTTTGTGTGATTGAGCTCATCCTGCTTGACATTGAGTCAGTAATGTTATTTTATACCCCACTGGGCCTTGTTTCATTTTTAAGTTGAGCATTTTTTTCATGGATAATCTTGGTATGATTTCTAATATCATACGTATTTATGTGAACCTACAGATTATCTAAATCAGTAAAAAAATGGCAAAAATAGTGATAGAGTTTTATCTTTTCATCACAAACAGACAGAAATCATTTTCATTTTTATAAGGTCAAAAAAAGAATTCCTTTGCTTTACTAACTCCTTTCCAGATAACAATTTTCATTCCTGCCCTCATATCAGTCAATCAACAGAATGTTTAAGTTTGCAACTATCAGGTACATTGTATTTCATGATTACCCTTAACCCAAATTCAAACAAACACTAAATGCAGGATCAATCAAATTTTAAGGCCAACCCCTGTTTTCTTGCAGCAGTGTGAAACATCCAGCCCACAGGCTGTTTAAGGGTCACAAAATCATCCGGTCTGGCCCTGCCGAGGCGACTGCAGGCAGGACTTGAAATTCAGTAACATAGCAGGCTGATTTTTAAGTTGATCATTTTGTATGGCCATGAATGACGTTGTAAATATCCATGTGATCCTTAGCAGAAAAAGGTTCCCCACCCCTGCTGGAGGTTCAGTAAGTGAGAATCAACACAGGGTTCTGTTTTGTTGGTGAGAGTTAACCTTGTTGTGTTTTCTGTAGCTTTACCAATAAGGAAAAGAAATTGAAATTAGTATTCCTGAAGAATGGCTTCCCTTTGTTGTTTCTTAGTGGGCTTGAAAATACTGGTTTTTCGCCCAAGTACACTGTTGTCCTGTTAAACCTGCTTGTTTTTATACCCAGCTCTTCATCACCAGATTTAAGCTCCAGCACTAAACTGACAGCAAGCAGAAAGAGCACAGGACAACTAAATGTGAACCCTGGAGCTGCCGGTGGCAGCCCCACGACCGCAGAACGCAGCCGACACCAGAGAAGCTTCTCTGTGCCCAAGAAGTTTGGTGTTGTCGACCGATCCTCCGACCCACCTCGAAGTGCCACGCTGGACAGAATCCAAGCTTGTACCCAGCAAGGCCTCTCCTCAAAAACCCGGAGCTCGTCCTCCTTGAAGGACAGTCTCACGGACCCATCCCACGTGAACCATCCAACCAACCTGTTGGCCACCATCTTCTGGGTCACTGTAGCCCTGATGGAGTCTGACTTTGAGTTTGAATACCTCATGGCCTTAAGGTTGCTGAATAGACTGCTAGCACACATGCCGCTGGACAAAGCCGAGAACCGAGAGAAACTCGAGAAGCTGCAGGCACAGCTCAAGTGGGCTGACTTCTCAGGGCTGCAGCAGCTGCTGCTCAAAGGCTTCACGTCTCTCACCACCACGGACCTAACCCTGCAGCTCTTCAGTCTGCTGACGCCCGTGTCCAAAGTCTCCATGGTGGACTCATCCCAAGCCATTGGTAACGCCGACGTCATTCGTTCTCTCGCAGTTCTCGCGGTTGCTGTGATCATCATTAGCTTGATGAGATCATCTGGGCTGACTGCTTTCAGCAATTCTGCTTAGGAAGGGTTGTTTGGGAATAGTTTGGCTTTTTCTTTGACTATTCTACATAATATAACCCTTTATATTACGTTTTTGCCGAGCAAGAGCATAAAAGAGGCAGAAATTATGGAAAAGGATTAGAGATTTTGTTGTCCTCTGCAGATCAGATTGCAGGCACTGTTTGCTCATTCCATTGCTCTTCAACAGACATTCCCCTACCTCTCTTTTTTCTTCTTCTTACCTCCAAAACCTTTTCTTTTTCTTTGTCATCTTTTTCCTCTTGAAAAATTCTCTTAGCTCCTGACTGTTTTGAATTAAGCCAAATCAAACAGACCAGATTTTTAACACCATGGTTTAAGACCTAGAATTTATGTCATGGTACAGAACTTAGCACAGAGGTACCAAGTCATTCTTCATTTGTAAAGAGTTCAATTACATAACTAAGAGTTCACTAACTCTACATCTTCTCACATAAGTTATCTTAAAATATATTTTTGGTAAGCTCGGTTCAGTCTGTGCTGGCCAGTCTGTCTTAAAACTACAAATCTACTTAAATCTACTCCAGTGCCTCCTTGCTAACTGGTGTCATTGGGGTTGTACTTTTATTTGTGCATTTGTGTTAGATTATTTTAAGCTGATTCAAAAGACTGTTTGGGTATCAGCTCAGAGTAAAACCTGTAAATGCTTTTTCACCATTCACGAGTGAAACTACTACATTCAGCCATCTCATCATGTCTTCTCTAATCCAGGGTTTCCACTGAATGTCTTGTGTCTGCTGCCCCAGCTGATTCAGCACTTTGAAAACCCCAATCAGTTCTGTAAGGATGTAGCCGAAAGGATTGCTCAGGTATGCGTTTGGGTTCCACTTTCAGACAAATCCACCCAGGCTTTCTGGAAGGCAAATGCCAAGCACTTCCAGGCCCAGAGAAGGCCTGACATCACCAGCGTTGTACAGCTCTGAGCGGTTGATACAAACTGTCTTGCTCACTTATTATTTTAAAAATAGGTGGAAATAATTTGTGAAAATGTTAAAGCTAAGCACTTCTGTAGGTGCATTAAAAAGTTCATCAATCTACTTTCCAGACTTCCAGAATTTACAGCAAAATTGCTAATATTTCTTCTGTCTTGTCTCTAATTTTTCCCTAACTGATTTTCTTACCTTAAAAGGTTTGTTTAGAAGAAAAGAACCCCAAACTTTCAAATCTTGCACATGTTATGACTCTCTATAAAACACACAGCTACACAAGGGACTGTGCCACATGGGTCAGCGTCGTCTGCCGATACCTTCATGAAGCCTATGCTGACATTACTTTGAATATGGTCACCTACTTGGCAGAGGTAAGCTTTTAAATGAGGGATAAAATCTATTATAGCTTCCTTGAGTAAAGACATACATATATGGAACTAATAATATACTCTTAAGTTTCATTTATTGAGTGCCTATTATCTAATAACACAGAAGCTAATAGACACAGAGAGAGTCTACTCCCCAAATGCCCTGAGAGTCTATTCCCCAAATGCCAGGGCCAAAGTCAAGAGGCAGGATCTGAGTCCAGGTCTCCTACATGGGTGGCAGGAACCCAAGGACCTGAGCCATCAGCTGCCTCCCGCGATGCACATTAGCAGGAAGCTGGACTCAGGAGCAAAGCTGGAACATGAACCCCAACACTCCAGCATGGGATGTGGGTGTCCTGAGTGGCGTCTAAACCCCTCAGCGAAATGCCCACCTCTAACAGAATCCTCTTAATCCTCACAGCACCCTGTGAATGTAGAGGCCAGTGTAATAAGAATCAAGACTTAGCCAGGTTAAGTAATTTGCCTTAAATTGAAAGCAGCAGAACAAGCCTTTCAACTTGGACACAGCTGCCTGCAAAGCTTCCACTTATAATTAGTGCAGTCATACCTGTTGGTGCGTGGTAGCGAGGAGAATATTTTACCCTCATTATTCCCTGTGTCCAAATCTTATTAAAGGAGTGACTGCAACTTTACAGGTTTCATGGTTGCTTGCTCTGAACTAATTAACAGCATCCATTCTGAAATCAACTTTTTAACCTTTGCCTTTTATGTTTCTTTTTTAAACTAGAGTGGAATCTTTGTCATCGTCCAAATGTAATTCTAGCACAATTGTTCAAAACCATGACTGTGACTTCCATGTCCATTGGTGCTAAAAATATACTGCATATTGGGCAAGCGATAAAATGTATTCCATTTAGCATTCCCAGTCTCCAAGTAGTACACAAGGTCATGCAGTTTTGATTGATAACAGCTAACTTGTTTAAGACGCTCAGTGTTAACTTTTCCTCAGGAGTATGCGTTCATCCTCTTGTTAGGATTTTCTCCAAAGAGATGAAGACAACCTATCCTGGTTTTTTTTTTTTTTTTTTAAGTTATATTGCCAATCCACATTCCAGATAGGTTAATAAAAGCAGCCATCTTTTCTCTCAAAGGCTCCACAAAACTAAAAGCATCTACCTAACAGAGAGTAGACACCCCCTCTAACAATGTTATCATTGACCCTGCAGGCTTTTGACTTGCAAAAAGTGATTGCACTCAGAGTATAAACAGCCCAGGATTCATTTGCTCCTTCTACATTGCATCGCTGGCATTTTAAAGAACATAAGTATCACCTTGTGCTTTTTTTAGCAATCATCTGATCATACCAGTTCCCTCAAGAGTTACTGGGTCAGAACATGGATACCTCAACCCAGAAGTAGCACTGAGAGAACCTTTGCAAATGCCCTGCTTACAAAGGCAGGCAATGCCTGTTTCTGTGTATGTGTGTGTGTGTGTGTGTGTTTAAGATTTATTTACTGGCTGGCACCGTGACTCACTAGGCTAATCCTCCACCTGCGGCACCAGCACCCCAGGTTCTAGTCCCAGTTGGGGCGCCGGATTCTGTCCTGGTTGCTCCTCTTCCAGTCCAGCTCTCTCTGTGCCCCGGAAGTGCAGTGGAGGATGGCTCAAGTGCAGTGGAGGATGGCCCAAGTGCTTGGGCCCTGCATCCGCATGGAAGACCAGAAGGAAGCACCTGGCTCCTGGCTTCAGATCGGCGCAACGTGCTGTCCGTAGCAGCCATTTGGGGGGGTGAACCAATGGAAAGGAAGACCTTTCTCTCTGTCTCTCTCTCACTGCCTAACTCTGTCTGTCAAAAAAAAAAAAAAAAAAAAAAAAAAAAAGAATTTATTTACTTTACTTGAAAGTCAGAGTTACACAGAGAGAGAAGAGGCAGAGAGAGAGAGAGAAAAGTCTTCCATCCACTGGTTCCCTCCCCAATTGGCCGCAACAGCCGGAGCTGCCTTGATCCAAAGCCAGAAGCCAGGAGTTTTTCTGGGTCTCCCACGTGGGTGCAGGGGCCCAAGGACTTGGGCTGTCTTCTACTGCTTTCCCAGGCCATAGCAGAGAGCTGGATCAGCAGTGGAGCAGCCGGGACTTGAACCGGCACCCATATGGGATGGCAGCACTGCAGGCAGCAGCTTCACCTGCTACGCCACAGCGCGGCCCTGGTGCTGCCTGTTTTTAAAAGCTGAAGTATGAGATAGCAAGAAGACATTTCTTTGCATCAGCAACCATAAAGCTTCAGTGACTCGTGTGTTCTTTCAGGTCTTAGCTTTGCACATACAGATGATTTTATGTAGCGTGTCAGTACTGCCATGGAACCTGTTCTGTTCACTATTTACTTGGTGTATGTACTTCCACATGTTGATACAGCTCACACAGTGTGGTTTTGAATCACTTGAGAATCCTATCAGGTTAATGGACATTAATGGTGGTGGTTTGCTTAACCATCTCCCTTTTGCTTTTAGTCAAAAATGTTTCGATTACAGATTATTTGGGTATATAGACCTTTTATCAAATCACATTTGACATTTTATCAAATAAGTAACTTTATCAAAATCATTATATCAAACAATATCAAATGATTCTACACTTCGCAGGGTAAAGTATCCAAAGGACATGCATATGTGGATATATTATTTAGTTCTTCTATACTTTCAAGAAATTGATTTTTATAAGGATTTTCTAAACATAATATTACACCATGTAAATATTTCCATGTAAATATTCCCATAAATTTTATCATCCATTTATTCCTTTTTTAGTTTAATATGTTTTATTAATACTTTGAAATTATTTTCCCTAATATTTCCTTTCTAATGGAGATCTTCATTTTTCCATAGAGTATATTTATGTAATTACTTATTTCTTCATGAATTAACCATTCAGTTATTTCCTCTGACCATTTTGATGTAGAACTTCAGTGCTTAGTTGGATCATTTCTATCAATCTTTTATTTTGCATAGTTAACTTTTATCATGTCATCTGTTATATGTATTTTCTCATTAATTTGCTTTTGGGCAATATCGGGTTTTTTCCAGATTATAAAAGCAGTATAGGTTCATAAAAAAATTTGAAAGACACAAAAAAGTTGTTAAAAGGAGAAAGAAAATCACCCAAAATTGTATTATCTAGAAAGAAACACAACATATTTTTGGATTTCCTTCCAATGTCATTTATGTCTAATACATTCACATCAATATGGTTATATAAGCAATTATATCCGTTATATAAGCAATTGTATATCCATCATCTTCCATGTAATATTATCTGACATTAACACCAAATATTACTATGAATATTAATAATTAATAATGTTAATGTCAATCTATTAACTATATAGTAGTTCATCAAATAATTTACCATCAACTTATACATGCATTTCCCTAGTGTTCAAAATTTAAATTGCCCGTGGAGCTTCCTTGCTTTGCTTTGTGTATGATCCTTTTTTAGCATTATAAATAATGCCGTGGGGGCGGACGTTTAGCCAGCACAATTAAGACACCAGTGAGATATCCGCATACCACATCACGGTGCCCGCTTCAGCTCCCGAGTCCAGCTCGCCGCTAATGTGGGCGCTGGTTAGCCAGCATTGTTCACTCAAGTAGTTGGGTTCCTGACACCCACAGGGAGACCCATGGGAACTGAGTTCGCAGCTCCCAGCTTCAGCCGGCCCAGTCCCAGCTGTTGCTGGCATCTGGGGAGAGAACCAGCAGTTGGGAGAGCTCATCGCTCACCTTTGCCAGTGGTACAGCTGACCGATTACGTATTCAGCATATTCCTTGTGAGAATCAGTGGTGCTCTCTGCTTTCCGTGAGGTTTCCTCTCTTACACGTCATTGTGTGGACTGATTCATGCAGTCAGGCCCTTGAGAATGCCTTGGCTTCCCCTGCAGTTGGGATCCATTTTCCCACTGAGGAAATGTGCAGTGGGAAAGGGGCTGGCGCTGGCAGGGCTCCCGTGGCCGTGTGCGCCAGGCTGACTCCCGCTGCTCTTGGCTTCCGCAGCTACTGGAGAAGGGCCTCCCCAGCATGCAGCAGCCCCTCCTGCAGGTGATCTACAGCCTGCTCAGCTACATGGACCTGTCCGTCGTTCCCGCCAAGCAGCTCAACGTGGAGGTGCTCAAGACGATTGAGAAATACGTGCAAGTGAGTATTTGGATAGCTTCACCCCGGAAAGACTGTAGCCTGTCCCTGGCTACAGAGCGTGGGGGGCACCAGGCCCCCGTGCGTTCCTCGTGTCCATGGCGCACTCCGAGCAGTGGTCTAAGGAGAGGCCCTGGCACATTCCTGAACTTCAGGGGATGCAGTTCTGCCTGCTGGGGCTGCCAGGCTGAACCCACACCTGACTGGGAGGGCAGAGCCCGGATTGTATTTTTAGTGTCCCACGTGGAGAAAAAGGAGGGTTGTATAAATGTGTGCCAGGTTCCAGGCCAGGTTTCTCAACATGGGAAGAGTTGGGAAGATGTTAAAAAATCACCACGTTAGAGCGGAAAAAAAGGTTAGGGAAGTTGCATGAATACGTTTGAAAATACCCCAGCGAACAAACAGAATCTGTTGGGGAGATTAAAAACAGTGACAAAAGGAGAGATTCATGGACGTCGGTTAGCCAGCATTGTTTGCTCAAGTAGTTGGGTTCCTGACACCTACATGGGAGACCTGTGGGAACTGGATACAAAGGGTTTATTATACTACCTTCTCCATTTCTCTTGTGTATTTTAATATTTCATAATAAAAGAAATCTCTCAAGTTAAAAGCAAGAGAAAACAACAGAGGGACCCCAAGCTCTCAGTTAATAAAGGGTGGAGCTGGTGTGTGAACCCAGGCTCCCCGGGATCCAAATCCAGAGCTTTTGTTTATTGAAGCAGGCAACCTGCTGCAGGACTCTGGGTGAGCAGCCACAGACACCCCCAGGGGTTCTCCACAGCCAGGCCTTGAGACTACCAGGAAAAGTACAATAGAAATAAATCAGAAATGTGCAAAGCTCTAGTGCTTGGAGGTGATTCTGAAACCTGTGACCACAGACCGGAGAAGGGGAGCCTGCAGCCCTGGGAGCAGTGCAAGGACAAGTTCAACAGCACAGACGCCCATTTCTCTGCATCCCGTCTGTTCCTCTCTTTGCTTTCCAGAGTGTACTTGGAGCATTCAAGGGCAAGCGTGGGGGTTTCTCTAAGCTCCCTGGCAAACGCATGCAGTGTAAATCTTAGACTTTACACCTTTACCAATCACGTTTCTTACAGAAATTATTTTCATGCTAGAAGTGTTTCCAAGCCTCATTTTATTTTTCAAGTGACCTTGTGCCAGTAATAGTTAAGCCATGTGGTAGACATTACTAACAGTTTCTCCCCTCATCTCCCTCACAGGAGACATAGGGCCAGTTCCCTTCTTTCTACTAATGGTGTGCATCGTTTCATGGTTTTACTGGGCTGTTTCTTAGGCTCTGTGGGCCATCTCTGGCACTTAATGTCTCACCTTGCATGGTAGCTAATTTCATATCCACGCCAAGACCTCCCTTCGCGAAATTTGAAGGAAATGGGTTTTACTTCATGTGCTTTTACTCCAAAACCCAAAGAAAAAACAATAGCAATGCCTTTTATCAAGTTGGTTTATCTGTGTTCAATGGTTTTATAGGAGAAGCACCTCTCCCGAACCCCAGTCTAAATGGAGGTTGTCAGGGAGACAGAAAGAAACGGTCAAAGGAATAGTTGGAATTGAGGAAAAGCAGTACAGAATGCAGGCACAGCACAAGTAGAGGCAGATGCTGAGAGCTTGCTTGGTTTGGAGAACTCCAGTGGCCGCCTGGGGAGGATGACCCCTGCAGGCCAGCTTGGTGAGTGTAGGTGCCCCTCCAACTCCATCCACCAGAGGGAGCCCTTGACGCAGGTTAGGCAGGAATGTGGCATGGCCTGAGGCGTTCTGAGAGATTCCTGGGTCTGAGCCACTGCAGCAGAAAATAGAAGCCCGAGAGGCCAATGAAACAGTCCAGGCAAGGCAGCAGAGGCCTCAGCTGAGCCAGGGCCAACAGGAATGGAGCACGGGGAACCACTTATCGGGAAGGCAGTAAAAAGAAGAGTTAAGAACACCTCTCAGATTCCTGGGCTAGATAATGAGCAAGATACGAAGTGAGAAGAAAAGAGAGAGCCACACACCCAGGCAGCTCATGGAGCAGGAAGAGCCGGGGCCACAGGAGAAGCGTCAGGGAAACCAGGAAACTGGAGGTAGGGAGAACTTTGCAAAACAGTGAGCAGTCAATTGTATAGTGTTCATTGGGGGCATTTATTTATTTATTTTCAAACTTAGCAAACATTGCACTCATCATTGTAAACTTGTACTTATTGGAATAGGGACAAAATCGGTCCTTTCTTTCTTGTCTCCCAAATGCAGCTCATGGTAGGCATCAATGGTCTTTTTGTGTCATTTGCCTTTTACTTATATTGGAATTTCCTGCACTGTGTTAACTCCGTGAGTACGAAGTTTCTGTAGCCGTGCGTCAGCTGTAGGATTCACCCTGGAACGTTTTGTCGCCTGCAGACCGTTCACTGGCGAGAAGCTCTGAACATCCTGAAGCTGGTGGTGTCTCGCTCTGCCAGCCTCGTGTTGCCTTCCTACCAGCACAGTGACCTCTCGAAGATAGAAATCCACCGAGTGTGGACCAGCGCTTCTAAAGAATTACCTGGAAAAACCCTGGACTTCCACTTTGACATTTCAGAGGTACTTGGCTGTGATAACTGTGTCTGTGAACTTTAGAAAGAATTTATAGTGGCAGAGGTCAAAAATATTGCCTGTACAAAGGAATACTGATTTTTACACCTTTTTTGTGTGAGAGAGACTGAAAGAGATAGAGCCCTCTCATTTGCTGGTTTACTCCCCAAATGCCTGCAACAGCCAGGGCTAGGCCAGGCCTACTCTGGAAGCCAAGAACTCCATCCGAGTCCCCCATGTGGGTGGCAGAGACCCAACCTAGTGAGCCACCAGGGTGCGCATCAACCGGAAGCTGGGATTGAGGGCGGAGCTGATATGAAACCCAGGCGCTGTGATAGGGGTGGATACGGGTGTCCCAAGTGATATCTTTTTTTTTTTCTTTTTTTTTCTTTTTTTCCAATTGGTGTCTTAACCACTTAGGTCAAAGATTTTTAAGGCCTAAATTAACTTTTCTGCTTTTTAAAGAACATATTGTCATATTCACTGCACTGTTAAATGGCAGCTTTTAAAATAGAAACTAGCCTCAGTTATATAAAATAATCATTTAAAAGATATTTAAAAATGGAATGAACTTAAGCGTGTTAAGCCCTGACTTTAACTGAGTCTTTAATCTGGCAATTCTCATGCCACAGCTTTTCAGCCACAGCTTTTCTCCTGTCACTACACCAGATCAGCCCATGCCTGAGAGTCACAGGAATAAGGGATTCACCGGCTGCTGCTTTCCCCAGGTCACACAGCTTTTTAAACAAGATGAGCCAAATCCTTGCCTTGATGAAGGAGAGGCAGGAAACATAGGACGTAAAATGGTCTGATGTTCCTGCTGGTCTGTGATTAATTACTACACTCTTAGCAATAACTTAGATTTCATGTCTCTCTCCTACCCTGTGACCATGAACTCCCCAAAGCACAAACTGCATTCTATTCATCTTAATAACAGTATCTAGGGCATGTTAGATCATTAATAAATAATAATGATGAATATTTCCAACCTTGCTAAATGAGTAAATTCACTAAGAAAAAAGCCAGATCTGTATATCTTGCACTATTTAAATAGGTTATATGCAGGTTAAGTTTCCTGATAAAAACAGAACTCACTGACCTTTTATCATTTTGCTATTCAGGATAAGATACTATTTTGCTGCTATTGTTACACCTACATCTATATTTAGTCTGTAAATAATATTAAAGTTTCAATTCAACCCCTGACCATTTTAACTTTGTTTCTTTTAAATTGTTAGGAGGGAAAGCTATGTTTACTTTTAGATTTGACTTTACTGTGTTAGAAGAGGTGCCAAAAATACGTAGCCAGTAAGCTGCGCGCCCTAGAGTCCCAGGAGCGCTCCACGGTGATGGGCATCAGGAGCCAGGTGTGGAGTCACCCGCTGGTTTCTGCTGCCTCCCAGGGCAGGCCCAGGAGCTGGCCTCTGCAGAGGAGACCTCTGTGGACCTGAGGTTGGGGAGGTGCCACCTACCCTGCCCCCGGGGCTCTCAGGAAGGGAAAGTTACAGTGTTGCCAAGTTCATTTATTTGCATAGCTGAGAAGGTAGAATATTTTAAATAAATAATTGAGAATATATAAAGATCGGTGACTTAAGGTTGGGAAGAAGGGAAGGAATTTTGGCTTCATGTTCTAACTATATAAACATTATGTATTTTATGAGCCAAACAAAGTACTCAAAGGCTACTATTATCAAGTAATGTCAAGAAGGGGAGAGGTTGATTATCCGGATTGGGTCAGTCCACACTGTGTGCATGTACTGAAATGTGACACTGCAGCCCACAAATATTTACAATCATTGCTATAAAAATCTTAAGAAAAAGAGGTTATTTCAAGCTTAAACCTATGAAGACTGAGTTTGCTTTTCTGCACATCTCGCGTCTCATCTTTGTTGGTTGTTTCTAGAGCATGTTGAAGAACAAGCAGCCGGATTTGTCTTTGGCTGCTAAAGAGGTGGGGAGAATATTGGAGATGCAAAATGACTCAGAATGTGTATTTGAACATTGGGAAAACTAAGTCTTCTTGTAACACTGAACTTCTCTAAGCTGACTTTTATCAAATAAGCAGTTCTTGGTTGTTCTAGGTAGAGCAATCCCATAACAGACGTATTCATGAGATGGAAGAAATGTGTGTTTTGTATTCTTTCTTCTCAAGACACCGATCATCGGGAGGCGGTATGATGAACTGCAGAATTCTTCTGGGCGTGATGGGAAGCCCAGGGCCATGGCTGTCACCCGGAGCGCATCCTCCACTTCATCAGGCTCCAACTCCAATGTCCTTGTTCCTGTGAGCTGGAAGAGGCCCCAGTATTCCCAGGTACACAATCCTAGACTCACAGCATTAGAAGGGAGGTAGGCAACCTATGGGGCCCAACTGCCCACCTCATACGAGATCTTTCCATTTGCCATCCCAGCGTTGCCCATCTAGGTCACAACATCTCCAGTGTAGTCTAAGGGAACTCATTTTGGTGAAATCTGAAAACACAATCCGATTCCTCATCTGATCGTCTTCTGACATTTCAAGAAATCTGGCTCTTCTTCCACTCACCCAAATGAGTTCTCATTTCTGCAAAAAACATAGCCTTGGTTCTCTGAACCAATTTGATATCATAGGGCTGCACAGCCAACGACCTCTCTGGCTGTCATTCTCGGAGCATGCACTTCAGCCACGGTCTCCATGCACGGGATCTGCCACGCAGAGTGGAAGGGCTTGCCGATTTCTCTGTAGTTCACCATCACAGCGTGGGCTGTGTGCACCTTACAGGTGACTGTGTCAGTGCTGAAGCCATCAAGCTTGCTGTCAAGCGAATCCTCTGCGTTTTTCCGGGGGCTTGTGGTGACATGTGATAGAAGTCAGCTGAAAAATTACCTTTATGGAAAAGGAATTTTTTGACTCATCTATGTTTGCTTCAAACACAGAAGGACCTTGGTACTGTTATCATTCAGTATGTGTGGGAGGTGAAACCCTCGAGGATGCCAAAATCCAAGAATGTTCAAATCCTGATAGGACAGTAGAACATTTACTTACAACCTATACATATCCTCCCATATACTTTAAATCAACTGTAGACAAATTTTATTACCTAATACAGTATAATGTCTATGTAAATAGTTTTTATTCTGTGTTTTTAGGGACTAATGATAAGGATAAAAGACTCTACATGTTCAGTAGAGAGGTTTTTTTTTCCTCAAATATTATTGATCTATGGTGGTTGAACCTGTGGATGTGGAACACATGCATATGGAGCACCGACTGTATGTAAATATTGGGAACCGAGTCCTTAGACTCTCTCCTTCTCATGGTTCCTGCTTTTCTTTCCTAAAATCTTGGCACCATGTTGGCCTCAATACCAAGCAGGCTTTTTTCCATGTGAGGTACCAGCCACCTCTGGCAGTTCCATATATACCAGGTCTTTGATGATTTCAGAAGAATGGAGACCAGTCCTAGATAAAGCACTCTTATGAGCTGGAGCCGGGGGGGGGGGGGGGGGGAGTATGGGGAGAGGAGATTGCATTACCAGAAGAAGGTGACAAGGGTGCTGGCCAGGACAGACACTTTGCACACCCAGAGAATTTACCTTCTCGCTCAGAGCCTAGGGAAATGGAACATAGAGCCTCGTGCTTGCTGGAATGTAGCAAGTTCTCAGTGAGTGTTGAGCTGAGTTGTTAAAAATGTTGTGAGAAAAGAGAAGAAAAGTGTACAATCCGATCCGATGCTCTCCTGTATTGATTTCTTCTCAGACTTGTAATATGACCACTTGACCGCTAAGACTTCCGGAAACCGTTTAGACAATCTCCTGCCATCCCCCAGCAACAAGGCCCTCCTGCTCTGACTCTGGAAGGACACTGCCGTGAATGCCCCTTCTGTAATTTCTAAAGCGTGCAGTGAACCAAGGTCCATTAAGAAGGGAAACTGAAGAGTGCTATTGGCCTCGTGGTTTCCACAGAACACACTTAACCCGAGTTAAAGGGGGGAAGAATCATTTTCAAGAGATTAGCAAGATTGCTGTGAGAGCAGTCCTGAAGAACATTAACATTTTTTAGGCTCTGGTTACTATTTCTTTCCATTCTCAACTCACCAATCATTCTGACCCCTAGTTTATCTGCACTGGAAAATCTAATGGTTTGAGGAAGAATCCCTGTGCTTAAGGGGTTGAAAAATAAGGCTTAGGTAGAAAGAGGGAGTAGAATCTGTGTAACTTTAGGAGAAATAAATGGAAAAGTATTTAACTTGGCTTACAAGTAATTGAATTTTTTAAAGTTCTGATTTGAGAGAACTAGACTTGTTTGACAACATAAGAGAGTTAATTTAAGTGTAAGGAAAACCTTCCTTGCTAATATTAAAGGTTGCAACATACAGATGTATATATATATTACCACTCTGGACAGATAAATATGTATATGCTGAAGAACCCAGGGATTCATTTGCACCATACACACATTCCGTTGGGATAACTTAGACCAGCATTGTCCAGTGGGAACATAATGTAGGCCTCATTTTAAATGTTCTAATAATCACCTATTTAAAAAGTAAAAGCAAACAGACAAAATTCATTTTTTACCCTGCATGATTTCTTTGTTTTTTGACAGGCAGAGTGGACAGTAAGAGAGAGAGACAGAGAGAAAGGTCTTCCTTTGCCGTTGGTTCACCCTCCAATGGCCGCCGCGGCCGGCGCGCTGCGGCCGGCGCACCGCGCTGATCCGATGGCAGGAGCCAGGAGCCAGGTGCTTTTCCTGGTCTCCCATGGGGTGCAGGGCCCAAGCACCTGGGCCATCCTCCACTGCACTCCCTGGCCACAGCAGAGAGCTGGACTGGAAGAGGGGCAACCGGGACAGAATCCGGCGCCCCGACTGGGACTAGAACCCGGTGTGCCGGCGCCGCTAGGCGGAGGATTAGCCTAGTGAGCCGCGGCGCCGGCCCCCCTGCTTGATTATTACCATAGCTAGTGTCTTTCATTTTACTTGAAAGGTGGAAAGATAGACAGATAAAAACACATAGATCTTCCACCTACTGGGTCACTCCCCGAAATGTCTTCAACAGTCAGGGCTGGCTCAGTCTGAAGCCAGGAGCCCAGAACTTGGCCTGGGCCTCCCACGGGGATGGCAGCACCTGAGCATCAGAGGCTGCCTCCCAGCGTGTGCATCAGCAGGAAGCCAGATCAGAGGTGGACGATGGGCACCCAGATAAGGGCCACAGATATGGGCTGCACCAAAAGCTCACCCTCATAACGCATTTTAGTGACAAATTTTACTTAACCTCATAGATCTAAAATATTTCAATGGGTTCTCGCTGTTTGACAATGGTTAATGAGATAGTTTACATTCTTTTTCCCTACTATGGCTTTGTGTATTGCAGCACATTGAAGGCCCTGTGTGGCTGGGGCTGCACTACAGATTTGTTCTAGGACCTGAAAGCGAAAACTTGCTTTTCTGTTTCTTTTCCAGAAGAGGACTAAAGAGAAGTTGGTGCATGTCCTTTCTCTGTGTGGCCAAGAAGTGGGATTAAGCAAGAATCCATCCGTAAGTTCTGTTGGGTGTGTCAGTTATTTTGGTCTCGTATCTCTTTTGCCTTTGGTCAGAGTTTGAAAGACTCAACTATGATTGACAAGTATGATGGCCAACATCTATAGAAAATTCCTGTTTTGTTTTCTGCCCATATCCTGCTTTTTTTATCTCACTGAGTTCAGAAACAATGAAAGATTTAGTTGGATGCTAGTTCCATGTTGAGGATACACAATTATTTCATTGTGTTGATTTCCTAGGTTTTTAAAAATAAATATGCCCAGATCTCCTTACAAAACATACATTGATATCTGTAACACCACCTCGTATAACACAGAAGCAGTCTTCAAAAAGCTCACATTATTTAAAACTATGTGGACTTCAAAAAATTTCTATAGCAAAATGAACTTACTACTCTTCTCACAAACTTTCTGGACTATCCTCATAAATATGAGTTCCTTTTGGATGTAATTTTACTCAGCACACATTTCTTACTGTGATGTCATTATTTTACAGTGACAATATTTTAAAGATGAAAATAATGATATAATGGTTTTTCACATATACATGTCTACTGATATTATAGTAAAAAATGCTACTAGATCTTAGATTGAACAAGCAGCTGAAGAATTATAAGTAGTTTCTAAAGTTTTCAGAAAAACTGATTTGTATCTGAGTATACTATAGCAAAAACCATAAAAATGTCAGGGAGTCATTTTACTAAGTGCTTCTTTTTTGGTTTATTTTCATTTTATCTGAAGAGCAGAGAGACAGACACAGGTCTCCTGTTGGCCAGTTCTCTTCCACAAATGTCTGCAACAGCCACAACCAAGCCAGGCTGAAGCCAGGAACTGGGAACCCAGTCTGAGTCTTTCACATGGGTGACAAGGACCCAAGTATTTGAGCTATCATCTGCTGTCTCCCAGGGTACACATAAGCAGGCAGCTAGAATCAGAAGTGGAGCCAGGAATTGAACCTGGGGACTCCGATTTGGGATGTGGGTGTCCCAACTACTGCACCAAACACCTGTACCTCACCAAGTACTTTTACTTCATCTATATTACAGTATACCATTTACAAACCAGAAATAGCACACTGGGATGTGTGCAGCATTGTCGCTCCCCCTCTTCGTGGAGGAACGACACTAAACCCTGCCTAGGCTTCATATCCGAGTCACGGCACCATTATGTCGCTCTCCATCTTCGTGGAGGAACGACACAGGACCCTGCGCTGTTCTTTTGTCTGCTCGGCCCTCCCCGGGTTTGCTGCTGGTTCTTCCCGGGTTGGCTACCGTCCCTCCACCTCCGTGGAGGGGCGGTTCCCCCTGCCACATTCCCCACTTCCGCGGGGGAGCGGCACACCGCCAGCCGGCTCTCTCGGGGGCTGCACAGGTGTTCCCTTAGATGTTCCCCTTAGATGTTCCTGGTGCATGTTGTCTCTCTCCTCCTTTATAGTCCTCCTCTGCCAATCCCAACTCGGCTGCCCACACGCCGAGTACGCTGCTCTCCTCCAATCAGGAGCAGGATCAGCTCCTGGAGGTCAGCACTCAAGTTGGCAAGAGGCAGCTGCGTAGAAGCTGTTTTCTCCTCTCCCAGCGCCATATTGTGGGAGAGCAGATGCATAGAATAAGTCTTAATTCCAGTAACTCAGTCCAGTCCGGGTTGCTCCCCACACAGCATGGCCCAGCAAGTTAAGCCACCACACAGGAGACCCGTGTACAAACCCGAGTGCCTGGGATGGAGTCTTGCCTTTATCTCTGCTTCTGATCCAGCTTCCTGCTAATGCCCCTGGGAAGCAGCAGATGATGGCTCAAGTACTAAGTCCTTGCCACCCATGAGGGAGACCTGGATGGAGTTCCTAGACCCTGGCTGTTGCAGGCATTTGAGGAATGAACCAGCAGATGGAAGATCTCTGTCTGTTACTCTGCCTTTCAAATAATACAGATGACTAGACAAACATTAAAAAAACAAATAGCAAACTAATTCCCCAGATAAAGTAAGAATGAACAAACAAGTTTCTCTGTAGAGCTATTTTAAAAATTCTGAACTGTTTCCATAGCATAGTTCAAGAAGCTCATAAATACTTACAAAAATGCAAAATGGTATTTCTTATCCTCTGGGAATGTACCCAGTCAGCCATCACCTGAGTGTGGCCTCTAGTTCAGTTTCCCATTTCGTGTTATTGATCAGTGGATGTGTTGCTGTCCTTGAGGCTTTATTTCAGGCAGAGGGAACAGTAGTGGGGCAGACTGAGCCTCCCCGGTCACAACAGAGAGAACCAAGAGTGCTTCGCTTCTGCAGGGCAGCACACACAGCCAAGGGGAGCTGTTTCTTACCGTCCTTCGGATTGGTACTTTCCTCTTCAGGTTCCTACTGCCTGCTCTGTCCTGGGGCCTTTCCAGCCAGGAATATCTACCTGGAGTATGTTACAAATAAAAGCACACTATGAGAGGGGTCCTTTACCTGAGGAAACCTTTTTTTTTTAAGATTTTATTTGTTTATTTGATAGGTAGAGTCTCAGAGAGAGAGAGAGAGAGAGAGGTCTTCCATCCACCCAAATGGCTGCAACAGCCAGAGCTGCGCCAATCTGAAGCCAGGAGCTTCTTCTGGGTCTCTGACGTGGGTGCAGGGGGCGCAAGCATCTTCCACCGCTTTCCCAGGCCACAGCAGAGAGCTGGATCGGAAGAGGAGCAGCTGGGACTAGAACCAGTGCCCATATGGGATGCCGGTGCCACAAATGGAGGCTTAGCATGCTATGCCACGTGCCACCCCAAAATTTTTTGTTTTTGTTTTTAAGATTTATTATTTATTTGAAAGGAAGTATGACAGAGAGGGAGAGACAGAGAAAGATCTTCTGTCTGCTGGTTTATTCCTCCCAAATGGTTGCAAGAGCTGGGACTGCGGGACAGGATCCAGGAACTTTATCCAGGTCTCCTATGTGTGTACTAGGGCCATCTTCTGCCACTTTCCCACATTTCTGGATGGGAAGTGGAGCAGCTGGGACTCAAACTGGTATTGTAAGCAGAATCTTAACCCACTGCGCCATGCCAGACCTGAAATCAGAGGTCTTGTGTGCCATCGCTCACTAACTAGTCAACTGGCTCTTCATCTCACTGACACATTTGCGTTCTCTGTGCAAAACTGTGTGTCATGTACCCTTGGATGATACTATAATGTCTATCATATGTCATATTCATAAACACTAGTTATAAAAAGGACATTTGAAACCCATTCACTTTTTTTTAAAAAAATGGATTTATTTGGATTTATATACTTACTTATTTGAAACAGAGAGAGACAGACAAAGAGAAAGCGATCTTCCACCTGCTGCTGGTTCACTCCCCAAGTGCCCACAATAGCCAGGACTGGGCCAGGCTGAAGCCAGGATCCAGGAACTCCATCTGGGTCTCCCACATGGATAGCAAGGACCCAAGTATTTGGGCCATCATCTACTACCTTCCCAGGTACATTAGCAGGAAGCTGGATCCAAAGCTGAGTAGCCAGGACTCAAACCAGCACTCCAAAATGGGATATACATGTCCCAAGTAGTGTCTTTTCCTGCTACGCTGCAATGCCTAGCCTTCTTTTTACTTTTGAGGGATGTCTGTTATACATACTTACCTGCAGACAAATGATGTACCTACTTATCAAAGAGGACTAAACATTATGAAGGTAGTTCAAAAAGTTCATAGAAATGCATATAATGAAAAACTATGCATTGGTTTCAAAAATTTTTGCAGCAAAACAAATTCTCTTTTAATTACATTTGCCACAAACATTTTAAAGTTCTGAGTTTTATTTAATATGAAATGTATGTTCATCAGAGGCTGTATGGCAAAACATTTTGGTTCCTTTGCAGTTTGTTATTTCTACAAAGTTCTATTAAATGGCTCAGAGAAAAGAACCTAAACATAGAAGTTAATTTTAAAATAACATACTAAAAATTTTAATGGAAAGCAGTGTTTTGTTTAAATCAACAAGACAGCAGTGGAAGTATAAATTATGGGACGTGTTTTCTTAGCCACACTTCTGGAATTCAAATGAGCCAGGCAATACTTTTTAACTTCTGTTTCTTACACTTTACCAGTTCCTGGTTTATCTCTAAAAGGTTAAACCCTTTGCTCCACAATTCATTCTGTAATAACCCCTCTTGATATCAGAGTTCTTAAACTATTATTAACAAGTATTTGGCATATGTGTGAATGTGTACAATTCTAACCTCAATCAGTTCAGAAACAGTGGAAAATGTCGACTGCTCTGGTTTGTGAACACATAGTTGTTATACACACACACACACACACACACACACACACACACACGTAGGATCTACTCTTCATCCGTTAAACAGCAGCAGTTTGATTCTCAAACATTTTCCTGAGCGGGAACTTGCGAGACTGCAGTGAGTTTAATCTGAAGGCACCTGTCCAACATAAATAATAAAAGAACATTCTAAAAATACCCACTTAAGGAATTAGGTGTGTACTGGAAATACAGTGCTAGGAAGAAGGGCCAATTACCGTTTTTCATAGCACAAACAGCCGAACGAAAGCCGGTTCTCAGGAGTGGACTCTCGGTTTGCAGGTGATTTTTTCCTCGTGTGGGGATCTGGATCTGCTGGAGCACCAGACGAGCCTGGTGCCCTCCGAGGACGGCGCCCGGGAGCAGGAGAACATGGATGACACGAACAGCGAGCAGCAGTTCCGCGTCTTCAGGGACTTCGATTTCCTAGATGTGGAGCTGGAAGATGGAGAGGTACAGTGCGTTCTCTATCAAAATCAGCCCTCAGCCTTTGCCCTCTCTAACAAAGCAGCGTCTCTCTGACTTGCTGAAGAGGGAGGTTTTGCAACAAGGCCTTCTTTAATTGGAAAGCTGTAAACTTTATTTGGAATCAACTTATTCCAAGTACAGCCACTTCACTGTGGCAACAGTCACCACACCCTTCCTGTCTGAGCCCATGGCACAAGCTGCCAAGTTATTTCTAAATGGCAAAGACCCGAGTTTTAATGACCATACAGAGACTGTGTGTGTGTGTGTGTGTGTGTGTAGTCAAAATCAAAAGGTGAACTTAAAAAAAAATTACAAGAACATTTCAGTTCTGAGCCTGTTCACTGGTACCTGGGTGACATACGCTAAGCATCTTACCATGTGAAATTGTGAAGCTGCTCTAATTTAATAGCTTTAGGGCCAGTCAGCTGGAACACCAGCCCAGAGCCTGAGGGCCTCAACATTTGTGTGTGGTGTTTGATAAAATCATAGAACTTGAAACAGAATGTAACACACGGGAGAGAGCTCTTGGCTCTGCTTTAGATCTGTGGCTAGTGTTCCAGACACCTGGAGCGGCTGAATTCAAGTCTCAACAGGCAAATGCAGGTTCATTTATGTTGAAAGGTAATCATGGTAATAGATGCTTTCTGCTCTGAATCACGTTTGATAACAGGGGTTGGAAGGTGGAACATCTCCCTTTCGGTCCCCTTCATCTGATAGTCAAGGGACGTGCCAGCTGAGAGGCAGTCCTGCCTCCTGCAATGAAAACTCATTCCACTGAAGTGAGAGTGGCTTTTGTAAAGATGCCTAGTACAGAGCCTGCCTCACATTGAACTAAGTGCACTGTATTTCCTGGCAGCCTTTCTGCTCATCTTACAATCGAAGTGGGGGCCCGGATTCCAAGTGTGCCATGTCCTGTGGCAGGTGGGCGCCTTGTAGCTTCCCTAAAAGGATGTGGTTGCTCACCAACCCACTTAGGTCTGGTTGAGGCCATGAGCTATCTGGGTTTGTCCTCCCTGGCATGCTGGCTTCAGAATGAACAATGCTTTCTTCATTGATTCTCTCCCCTAAGAAAGGCATTTAGCAGACTCAACGCTTAAAGGGTATAAACTACTGACTCAAGGCACCATTAAATGAATTGCTTGTGTAACTGTCACCTAGAATTGTTTGAAAGCCAATAGAAAGTAGTACAGAGTCTTCTGTTGACCATAATGAGTTACAGAGAAAGCATCTCACTGAACACTGTCAGGATTGCTTTCAAAAATCTAACCCAAAATGTAGCTTTTGTGAATTCTTTTTAAATGTCTCTGAGCAGAGATCAGAGTTCAGCTAATGTCAAGATTAGCTTCCTGATCTAGCAACTGACTTGTGTTTGTTCTGAGGCTAGAATTCCAGCTTGGGCACCTTCTTCACTCTGGAAGTTAAATGAGGGGGCAAAATGGATGAATCCCAAGAGGCATCATTTTTCAGTCTTAGCCAGAGAAAAGTGCTGTGTGTGGCAGGAATGATGTGAAGTGGAGGAATCAGATGCAATTTCAGGACAACCTACAAATTTATTTTTGTATAATTTTGAGAAGCAGAGACAGAAAGCTCCAGTCCACTGACTTACCCCAAAAATGCCCACAATGGAAAGGCTGAACCAGGCTGAGGCCTGGAGCCTGTAGCTATTCAGTCCCCAATATGTATGGCAAGGACCCAACTACCTGAGCCATCATCCCCTGCTGTCTCCAGGGTGCCCAATAGAGGGAAGCTGGAAATGAGCAAAGCCAGGACTCAACCCAGGCACTCTGATAATGGGATGGAAGCATCCCAAGAGGCGTCTCAACTACTAGACAGAATACCTACCCCTAGCAAGTTTAATTTCTATCAAAATGAAGAAAATAACTGAGGTGCCTGTCACTTACAAATAAATATTACACCAGATGTCTTTCAAGGGCAACACTTAATGGATTTTATACCTTCCTTCTAGTCTTCTCCCTGTTGTGTTAGCCAACAACTAAAAAATCAGTGATTATTTTATCTGTCATGAATAAGATACTGTTAGAAACAGAAGAGTTTGAGAGTAGACATTTTATTCGAGTAAAACATTAAGGAGTTTTTTGCTACTTCTAGATCAATTTCTAACAAGGTATTCTAACATGCTTGCAGAGCAGTAGAAGGACAAGGCTTGGTCTTTGATGTCGAGCAGGTCCACACTGCAATTTCAACTCTGCCAGTGACCTAACTGTAAGACCACAAGCACATACTCAGTTCTCCTTGGTTCCTGCTTCCTCATCTATTCAGAGTATAATAATACCTACCTGGAGAGGTGGCGTGAGGCTTCAACCCCAGAACATATGTTCCACTTCTAGCAGCCTGTCAGGATCCCTTGTATTGTTGTTGGTGAATAATTGTAGTAACTCCTCACTTGACAAAGTTTGTCTTCCAGATCAAAATACAGTTGTCAAAAGAGAAAGACAAGTTGTTTTATTCTATTCCTTTTTATTAAATAGCCCCAGATATTTGCTGAATAATATCTATAAGGATTTGCCCCTGACTTATGAGAATCCTTTAAAAAGGTGCCGCATCTTAGCTATTAATTGTACTCTGCAGTGAACAGATCATGATCAGCAGCACTTTCAGCTTTGTGAGCGGGATCAGGTGATGCCACCTTTTTTTTTTTTTCCCAGTTGATGACTCTTATTCATTTTCCCATGACATTTAACAATTTTCTCACCAATAATTAGGCACCCTGAGAGAAGTGTTGAGGAAACCAAAGTTGTCACTGAAGGACAAAGCTATTTCAGAAATTGTACTTAGGATTTGTTGCCCCAGCTACATCACCATCACTAAGAAGTGGGGAATACTGATTTCTCTCTTTGGTACCTTCTTAAAGTTGCACCTGTGGAAGTATATATTGTTAGCACTGTTGAGACAAATGCGCTTGATTTTCTTTAATATAACCATTTTAAATAGACCTTTTATTTGTTTTTCTGTCCATTCAATCTGCTACCCAGGAACTTCAGGTAAGACGATGCTGTCTTTCATTTGGATATGTTGGTCAATGTTTTGCAGCATAGCAGATTTATAACAACATAATTGCTTTTTCCTCCCTTCCAGCATATGTATGCTTATTTGCGTGTATATTCAATTTAGGTGTGTGTGATATAAGAGCTATTTTTCATGGCAGCTGTAGTATGGAACTATCTTTCCAAAATATACCAGATTTTTCTAAAAACATTTCTATGCCTGGGTCTAAGAGTTGCATGATTATGTCTTGAGAGAAAGTGAATTTTTAGGTCTGATCCATAGAAACCTTATAATTTCTGCTTATAACAATTGGATGTGTTTTGTTAATATTTTATTAGAAGTGAAATCAATGATCTACATTGAACAATATAACATTTACCCTTCCAGTTGAATCTTTTTGTTTTCCAGGAATTAGAAGTTATTTCTGTGACTATATAAATTTTCATTCAAACCTTTTGCAAGTGTAAGGGGTTGCTAACAATAGGCAACTGCTGTAAACTAGGATCATGCTGGGCAAACTTGCCTTGATTACTCTGTGTCCTATCAGACATACTATAAATAGCTACATTTGGGGGAACATATTTGATCATAGTGCACCCAAGTTCCTTCAACAACAGTTCTTATTTGGCAGGGTTCCAATATGGAAAATGTATTTCAAAGAATATCATTTCCAACATTTGCAGAATGTTCTACCCGTAAACATTTCTACATTGTTTGATATTTTCCCATCTCCTTATAAATCCTCAGTGGCTCCTTTAAGTTTGATAACTGACACATACATTGTCCATTTGGAGTAGGTAGTGACTCTCGACATTTTCTCAGGCAAAAAAAGTCTGGTATCATCAAAAACACTGTTTTGACTTTTAATTTTGGATGTAACATAACACATAAACCTGATACTTGGGGGAGGGGCAGGATGGATGGTGACTCCCCTATTAGGGAAATTCTTTGGCCATGCTGAGCACAGCTGGGTGACATCTGATCATCATGGTTTTCAACTGAGGCTGAACTACAACACTGGTGTCAGCCCCTCAGCCACCACTAAGGAAACCATTTCAACACCTTTGCCTCTAGCAGAGCTGTTGCATCCTTTAGCAAGATGGTCTTGCCAGACTGTATTCTCCCAAGATCAGCCTTCTCTGCCTCCCTAGTCTCCTCCCTATTTGCCATAGGCTTTCACCAAGGCTGCCACCAAATCAACAGTAGCAGACACCAATGACTGACGCAGTGTTCTTCCTCCCTAGATATTTATATTGTTCAGCAAACTTGTGGTTCTGTGCCAGGTTCAATGTAGGAGACCCCTAGAATTGTGACAAGATCTTCATCCATAAAATCTATTCATTTGCTACAAGGGAATATGTTTCCTAAATGTTCCTCTCTCCCAGTATTTTTCCTGCCCTTCAGTTTCTCCTCTGCATGGGGCTCATTTTTATCTTTCCCCTTTCTTTACATCTTTACATATTGCATTTTCCTTTCCTTCCAGACCTCTTGCCTCCTCTATCATTGTTTTTCATTTTGTTAACTTTTTCACTCCAATAGCTATTTTAAAATCCAAGTTCCAGAATTAGTCTTTAATTATTTGGTGGTGATTTGTCACAGCAGACACATTTTTTAAAACACACACAGGCTGAGTCTCTCCTTTGTCCAAAATGCTTGGGACCAGAAGTATCTTGCATTTTGGAATATTTGCATATACATAATGACATATCTTAGGGATGGGACCCAAGTCTAAACAGATATTCATTTATGTTTCATACGTACCATACATATAACTTGAAGGTAATTTTATACAATCTTTTTAGCGCACCTGCATTTTGAATGTGACTTCTCACATTAAATCAATTGTGGTATCATTTTGATATTCAAAAAGCTTGCGATTCTTGGAGTATTTTGTATTTTCACATTAGCAGTGCTGAAACTGCAGCTAAAAGAGACAGATAAAACAGCAGATTCAGCTATTCTGAGGCTGCTTTTTTTTTTTTTTTTGGTACTCAAATGGCCCTAAGAGCAATCAGAAATATCATAAATGGAGCTGAGTAATGATAACAAGTTCCGTATCTTATCCAGTATGTGCTTAGGATTCCAACTTCTCATCTTCTACCATAAATAGCCACAACAGACTTTGGAAAAGGGAACCATTTATTATATGAGAGATCTGTGAGAATAGCAAACTTGTCTCATTAGGAGCCAGAAATGATAAGACACTAAAGCTAGAGGAAAATTAAATTTAACGCTAATTTCTACTTCTCGTATTATTACGCTGTTCACTGATCTCTCAAAGATAGTTACTTCGTGTCAATAAACCCTTAGGCAATGTTCCAGATTACAAATAAATGAAAGGATTCTATGCTAGGTTTTATTCAGACTACCTATTTGGGTTAAAATGGGCTGAGCAATATTTCTTTTCCTTTATTCCAGCCTTAACAGAGAGAAAAAAAATAAAACTCAAATTCATTTCTAGAAAAAAAATTTATGTTAGTCAAAAAAACATATTTGACACCTCATGGTTTGTAGAGCAAGTCTGAAATACAACTAGAAGCTTTCTTCGACACTTACATAGCTACCAAGACCGGTTCTCAGTAAATCAGTTCTCAGCATATCAGCAAGAATCTTTGGTTCCACATTAGTTGTTTCAGATCCAAGAAATGGAGTATTTATCAAGTTGGGACAGTGATCGAAAGATGAGCCTAAAGCACAGTTCAGCCATTACTGCTCAGGCCTCTGTAGTGCATGATCCGTCCAGCCTTGTCCAGCTGCTCTGATCGTCTTTAACTCTGCATTTTATCCGTGACAACTGCTGTGGCAGAACAAGCTGGAATGCCCACCTAATGCTCTTCTACTTAATGCCCAGAGGATTCTGGAATGTGCTACAGCATAGCTCCTACTCGTTTCTCCTTCCAAAAACAGTACTAAAAAGGGGCTGGCGGGATGGGAGGGCACACCTCTTCTGAAGTTGTTTTCCTGTTGATGTGTTGTTTCTTACAGATTTAAGGAAACACATCACTTTTAGGGTTTACTAAAATCAGCTTTTCAAGGAACACACTACCTCCCATGCCAAAAAAAAAAAAAAAGGGGTGCAGTCACTTCTTCCTAAGACTTTATGACACATATGAAAATAGTATGCTTTCATTACTTTTCACATCAGGTAAACAAATGGTTTGGTACCAACGCAGATAAGCACTAGAGAGTTGCTAATGCCTGTATTATTTGTCTCAAGGCTGTGACTTAGTGCGCGTGTGACGGGCAGTGTGCGTGCAGGAGGATGGCGGTGTAAAACCCGGGCTGATGGTGTGATTTCAGGGGGAGAGCATGGACAATTTCAACTGGGGAGTGCGCAGGCGTTCTCTGGACAGCCTGGACAAGTGTGATATGCAGATTCTGGAAGAGCGCCAACTCTCAGGAAGTACCCCTAGCCTGAATAAAATGAACCACGAGGATTCCGATGAGTCATCCGAGGAGGAGGACCTCACGGCCAGCCAGATCCTGGAGCACTCAGACCTCGTAAGTAGGAATTTGTCTCCTGGTCGGAAATGGGAGACTTGTTTTTCGTGAAGAGCGCGGGAGGGCCGTGTCCACTTGCCCCTACAGAAACTTTCCACAGCTGCTGGGCTCAACATCTGAACTCTCAGGTGGAGCCTGATTCTGCCTGGCTTGCAACTGGATGCAAGCACTGGGGTCCAGAGGACTTCACCAAGTGCATGGAAAGAAAAGGAATTACAAGATGAGTTTTAAGTCATGTGCATCTCCTGTGTACTTTTTGAGGATGCCTCTGTGCGTGAATTTTAAACTGTCTGACACCAAAACAGACTTTATCCTGGAATTCCATTTTTCACTAAGTTTTTGCAGTGCCCTCTTACACGGCAGACGTCAAATTTGTGAAGGCCTAGATTTTTCCAAAGTAACTTTTATGATGCTGGAATGTTTTTCAGAAATCTCTCAGCTATCTAAAGGTTTAAGAGGACAGATATTTTGATGCGATTGTCTAAAAGTACAGGGATTGGGGTTTCCGGGGCTGTGCCATAAGCCAGAGAGCCAGCTGCTATGTTTAAGGTCCAATAACGGGGAAGCATGGGAGTTAGAAAATTAATCCCTATCCACCCACAGCTAGGGAACAATGGCTTGCACTCGTAGACAAAGAATAATTAGAGCTGTTGAAGAATGGGAACTTGGTTCTACGTGTTATTTCCTTTGCTTTTCAAATAGATCATGACCCTCTCGCCCTCTGAGGAGACCAACCCCATGGAGCTGCTCAGCACCGCCTGTGACTCGACCCCCGCTGACCCTCGTTCCTTTAACACCAGAATGGCCAGCTTTGACGCATCTTTGCCTGATATGAACAATCTGCAGATTTCTGAGGGCTCAAAGGTGAAGAGATTTTGGCAATTATGATTGTAGTCTCCTTTTCTTAAAAAAAAAAAAAAAAAACTTCTTTTCTGAGAAATATTAGGGAAGGATGAAAAGTGGAAGGACTGTTCGCTAACTTTTTGTTCTGGGTGTTTTAAAATGGGTGAATTCTGTGCCCCTGAGCCTACGTTCTGAAGTTACTTTAAACTCTGACAGTCCTGATTTCAGGTCTCTTTTAAAGGAAACCTTTTGCTTGAAAACTGCTGATTGGTGTGTGAGATCACTGTGACTGGAGAACTGCTAAGTGAGGTGTGGGTGTGTGCATGCACTGGGGAAAATTTTTCCCTGTGTAGGAACCAACTGTACAATTTGTGCATTGATTCAACACTCGCCTTTGACATACTATTGGAATTTCTGATGTCAGTCATAGTATAATGCTCTTAGCAGGCTCCAAGGAGAAAAGTAAAGTGGATATAATTTCCTGATAGAATTTTAAAAGAAAAAATAAACTAGTAGTGTCTATTTCATTTTAAAACTTTATCAGGATTTCCAAGCAAGACCCTGTCCGTAAAACTATCCACTCACATGCTATGGCTATATATATGCCCATCAGTGTAGAATTTTATTTCCTTATGTTAGAAATACCAAAAAAAAATAATACCAAAATAATCTATTACTATTATCACAGAGCAAAAGTTTCTTTATCCTGAGTCTGATTATGATTGTATAAGCTTAAAAGAGAAAATAGAAAAAAACTTTTATGGAAGTGTATTCCTTGACAAATCTAATGGGAAAATATAAGACTGACCATTCTGTGTTGTTTCACAGTGGACAGAAAACAGGTCTGAGGTCTAGAGAAACTCTCTTCAAACTAAAGTCAACCAACAAATTGCAATGACCTAAAATAGTTAAAACTTGAATAAGACTAAGATTGCCATATTGCAAAGGGTCTATTATCAGCATTCTTGGAGTTAGCAGACTCCTTCTGTATCAACAACAAGAAAGAAAGAAAGAGAGAAAGAGAGAAAGAGAGAAAGAGAGAGAGAGAGAGAGAAAGAAAGAAGAGAGAGAGAGAGAAAGAAAGAAGGAAGGAAAGAAAGAAATTTCTCTAGTTTAAAATGCCAGAGCCTTAGATTAAGAAATTAAATTTCATGAGGGAAAAATACATGAAGTTTTTAGCTTTTGGTTTTTCTCAGTTGGTTTAGTAATTTTCTCCATTTTTCAATTGTGAATGCTAAATTATAAAGATTTCTCTTTGAAAACACAATCTATGTGGTAGACACCTACATCAAGGAAGAAGTGAATTTCATTTCTTCATTTCTGAAGAGCTATCCTGTTTTTCACAAGAGCTGGGTATCTGCGACATTTGATATATTTTGTGATGTTAGAGAAAATAGCTAAGAACGCAGCTCTCCTCTGAGATAATGTTTTCGAGCACTGATAACCTGGACCACTCCCCAGGGGTCAGCCTCACTGCCAATGCTGTAGTTTTGCTTTGCGGAACAAAGCAGGTCTGGATAGACCTCTGAAACTCAGTATTTACAAGCAATCCCTTCAAAGACACGAGACACCTTGTTTTCCTAGTATATAAATGTTTTCCTAGTATATAAATGTAGCATTCTTGTTCATTTGCCCTCTAATCCTATATTCAAGATACTGTAAACTAAGTGGGTAGCTAGCTGTTGGCTCATGATAAAGCTTTAGTTCATATACATTTCTAATTTTCCTTAGTTTGTTTTCAAGAAAGTGACTCACTGAGACATGTTTGCATCTTTTTCTTCCTCTCTTCTCCTGGTGTGTGATCCAGTTGCCTTCCTTCCTCTCATAGAGAACAGTCAGTTCTCCAGCTGATTTCCCCCTGGCCCGAGTTCAAGCCCAGCCTCTTTTTCCACTGGACTTGCTAAATCTCTTTCCTGTCTCTCCCTGATCTCAGTTCTGCCTGCCCTGGGGCTCTTGTATTTCACTGCTCATTCTGCATGTCAAAGCAAGATGAGCGCAGACGCTCACCCCTGTTCTAAGGAGCAAAGCACGTAGGTCCATACATGCATATGTATGGCTGGAAGCGGGTCTTAGAAGACTTTCGCTGTGGAAAAACCTGTCAACCAGCAGGCACAGTGAAGGACTCTGGACCACTTGTGTACACTACAGATGTTGCTTGGGTATCCACTGTGGCAGGCACTGAGGATTCCAAATTCTGGTTTCCCTTGGCAAAGGGATTCTGAATGGGGCAGTATTCTGAATAGGCTTGTTGCAGCAGGCTGCGGTGGTACAGTGGAAGGGGTTCTGACACAGAGATGGTGTTTCTCATCCTGGCTCTAACTCTGATTACACCCTGGTTTTAGGCAAGTCCCTTTCCCATACAGAACTTCATTTGCTCAGCTATAAAATGCGGAGGTTGGACCTGGGGAGATGTTATGGTCTTATCCACGGTTAGCATTTGCATCCTGTAAGCATAGGTCAGACATGCTCATCTGGCAGCCCCTTGGGGACTACTGAGGAAGAGACTGAACGGAAGATAAAGAATGAACAGTATGTGTTTCAGAGAATTCCTGAGTCCGTTTCTACAACTGCCTGTACTGTTACTAGAAAACAATCTCCATTTCTGTCACTCTCAGCATTTTGGTTCCTTCCTTAGTTGAATGGATTTTCCCATGGATATTTTTAGATATGGGGGCTTCTGCTCTGTCTTCTGCAGGCTGAGGCGGTCCAGGAGGAGGAGGACACCACCGTGCATGAGGATGATCTTTCCAGTTCCATCAACGAACTGCCAGCAGCTTTTGAATGCAGCGACAGCTTCAGCCTAGACATGACCGAGGCAGAGGAAAAAGGCAACCGAGCCCTGGACCAGTTTACTCTTGCAAGGTAATGAAGTGCTTGGTGGAAATACTGGAGTTCCATCAGACAAACTGAAGTTTAGCATCACACTTGCATTGCTGGGACTTCCTAATGAAGCAGTCTAAAGTGACATAGAACTTGTAAGCTCTCAACTGAGTTAGCTTCACCCAACCCCAGTGGAGGGTCTTATGTGCAACCAGGAAAGGATGCTCAGGTCATAATTCCTAAGGCCATAAAGCAACATGAAAAGCCAAAGAGAGGGCTGGGGACATGGTACAGGTCTTGTAAATGTTTATGTTTGTTTGGAAGGCCGACTTAGAGAATCTTCCATCCACTGGGTTTAATCCCCAAAAAGCCGCAATGGCTGGGCCTGAGCCAGGTGGAAACCAAGGACCTTGGACTCTATCCAGGGGCTCAACACTTGGGCCATCTTCTGCTGCTTTCCCAAGTGCATTAGCAGGGAGCTGGATCAGAAGTGAAGCAGCCAAGCCTCGAACTGGCACTCATATTTGTTGCTGGCATTGCAGGTAGTGGCTTAACCAGCTGTGCCACAACGCTGGCACCCAGACCTCATATGTTTTGAGGATAAGATTTGGCAAGCCTTGGAAATGAGCTTAAAGACCAAAATAAGAGGCTCTTGATACACTAAAGACCTCCTTTTCCTGGCAGCTGACTTCTGACACTAGTGAGATGTCTAAATAGAAAAAAATATGGAGAGGAAGGGGCTTTAAGAAAACAATAACACGGGCGCAGCATCTAGAATAAGTCGCTAATGACCATACTGCAGATGGAGTGTGGGAGAAGAAAACTAAGATCAGGTCACTCTTCTGAACGTGGAATGAAAGCTGCTAACGTGACCCGACAGAGGCCTCCGCCGTGGTGGCCGAATCTGTCCATGAAGGGGAAGGACGAGGGTAACACCTCGAGAGGAATATGACTCTTCTTTCTGTGCTCATCATCTATTTCTTCCTTCCTCTCATCCTGTTTTTGGCCCACTGATGCACATACATTCAGAAATACTCCATAAGGGAGAAACCAGAAGATTCTAATTTTTATAACAATTTTCATATTGAAAATTGGGGAGAAGTGAAAGTGCCAAAGCCTAGGAATGGATGTTTACTTTGTCTGGGACACAGCAACTCGGAAAGTGAGAAGCACACTCTTGCTGCAGGCCAGAAGCTGTACTGAATCTGTAGAAAGGAAATGAGAAATGGAGAAATTGCAGAAAATCTAAAGGTGAAAATTCTCCTAAAATTACACACACACAGTCAAGTCCCCAAAGCAAGCTCCAAGGGAATTCAGGGCCAAATGGGGACTCCCAGTTACGCCAGCCCTCAAGGTTGGGATGTGTGTGACCTGGTAGGGGAGGAGGAGGACATCTGTCCCTTACACGGCCTTTTTCCTTTTTTCCAGCTTCGGAGAAGGTGACCGGGGAGTGTCTCCCCCTCCTTCACCCTTCTTCTCAGCCATCCTTGCTGCCTTTCAGCCCACAGCCTGTGACGATGCCGAGGAGGCCTGGCGCAGCCACATCAACCAGCTCATGTGCGACTCGGACGGCTCTTGTGCCGTGTACACATTTCATGTGTTCTCCTCTTTGTTTAAGGTACAGCACTCACGCTCTGAGGACCTAGTCTTTTAGAGAACAAGTAGCTTCCCATTTAAGAAGTGATTTCTGTTTTACTCTGGGATTGGACTGTTTTCTCCTTCAGACCCTCCTCGATTTCCTCTGACTTTACATTTCTTCGGTTCAGCCTTCATCTCAACTTTGTCGGAGTGGGATTGTGAATATTTATTTTTTTTGTTTTAGATTTTTATTTGTTTGGAAGTCAGCAAGAGAGGGGTATTCTATCTTCTGGTTCACTCCCTATAAGGCCATAATAGCCAGGACTGGGCCAGGCTGAAGCCAGGAGCCAAGTGCTACTTCCAGGTCTCCCACGTGGGCGCAAGGGCCCAAGCACCTGGGCCATCTGCTGCTGCTTTCCCAGGCACATTAGCAGAGAGCTGGATCAAAAGTGGAGTAACCAGAACGTGAACCGGCACCCACATGGGATGTTGGTGATGGCTTTACCTGCTATGCCACAATACCAGCCCCCGGAATTGTGAAGATGCTGACCTTAAATGCTTCAGGGTGCCATGAAGTACCTTTCACTTCTACCATTCTGACCTACATTGGCACCATCGACCCTAGACAGCCCTGTACCTGGACCATGAAGGGGCGTCTCTGTCCGACCTAGTCTCCATCTCATCTTTCCTCTTAGTCACCTCTTTTCTCTTTTTTTTCTTCATAACTTGTATGTTTCTTACCTTGTCTTTTGTTCACTTCCCCCCACAACCAAGGCAATTAATTAATGTGGCAGCCACATCTATGAACACTTTTCTCCCTTCAGTTGCATTTAAACACATGAAAAGTCATTCTTTTGTTTTCTTCTGTGAACCACAGCCCTACAGTCAGCATATAGTGTCATTGTGCAGATTTCATGACTCCCACCTGTAAAGGGGTGCAGTACCAAACTTGGCCAGCAGAGTGCAGCTGTACTTCAACTCCCGTTCCAACCCTTCAGCCAGGAACCATTGGCAATTTGTACCCCCAACTTGTTGGAGTCTCCTGTGGACACCTTAAGATTTTACCTGTTGCCCATTAACCATGACTACTGAACTAAAGATACAGAGGGAACTCGACATGGTTGGTGATCGAAAGCTGAATTTTACTCCTGCCTGTCTGTTGGCTGTAAAAATTCCCATTAGTTCTTCTAATTAGCTTAGCTCGCTCTCTACATTTGCTTTCCAAATTTATCAACTGATTGGTAGGGTTTAGAGGCAGCAAAAGGAGAGAAAAACATGTCACAGGATGAAGAAACACTTAAGGTCTTCCAATATCACTGGCATTAACCAGACATGCATGTTGAGTTTGAAGCAGACACATTAACCATGAAAATGGAATTGTTGCAAAGAGTACTCAGCCGTGGAGGCGAGGCTATAGGTGAAGATTTGTTAACCTGGAAACACAGTTACTATACAATTTAAGAGAAAAATAAGAAAATTATAATAGTGATCTTTTTAAAAAAATCCCTAGAAAATAGTGAATATTATTAACCAGGATGGGCTGTGTTTTGTCTTCTCAGGGTGATGAAATTTGGATTGTTGTCACCTTCGTTCTTTCACTTTCATTCAGTTTCCTGTTTTCCTGTCATGAAAATGTTTTCCAGCACTTTTTGTTTAAGACATATTTATTTATTTGCAAGTCAGTGTTACAGAGAAGGAGAGCCAGAGGCAGACAAGAGAGAGCTTCCATGCGCCAGTTCACTCCCCAAATGGCTGCAATGGCCAGAGCTGGGCCAGGCCGAAGCCAGGAGCCTCTTCTGGGACTCCCACATGGGTGCAGGGGCCCAAGGACTTGGGCCACCTTCCACTCTTCCCAGGCACATCAGCTGGGAGCTGGATTGGGAGTGCAACAACAGGACTAGAACTGGTGTCCACATGGGATGCCGGCACTGCAGGTGGAGGCTTAACCTAGGATGCCATAGCGCCTGCCCCTCCAGCATTTTTCTTAATCCTAGAACTCACTGAATCGTCAATGACCCTATAAGGGTACTTCAGAAAACTGATGGAGAACTTGAATTAAAAGATAAGTTCATTTTGGTACCAAAAAATTTTCAGAATATGTATTTGCCATGAGCTTTTTGATGATCCCTACATACAAGGAAAAAATGAAACTACAACTTTGTAGTTCCAACTTGGATGATGGATGAATGAGGGGGCAGACCCATTAGCATCCTAGTTAATGCTGAGTTCTGTTGACTGTATTGTGAGACCCATAATCACCTGCTAAAGGAGCCACTGCAGAAGGAAAAGATGGAAAATAAGGAACTGTATCAAAAGTGCGAAATGAAAACTACAGCCTTCTTAAATGAGTTAAGTCTTAGATACCAGAAAGGTTAAGTTGTTTTAAAACATCATTTCAGTAGCCAGAGTCCCTTGACTTGGGGGTGTTCTGAGATGAATAGAGCTATAGCAGGATTGGGGTGCACTGTAGCTTTCTTTAATGATGTGGAAAAATGCCGCTACTTAGCTCCTAAGAAAATCAGACCAATCTAACAGCTCCTCCAAGGTTACTCATTAATCTTTTACTCCAGTGAATCTCTTATTCAAAAAACCAGATGAAACCGTAATCATCTCTTAAATAATTTTACTTTGAGGAAGATGTCTTTTTGTTAATATAAAGGTACATTATATTTTTAAGCCTGGGAGACCTTCATATAACCCATTTGTGAAGGACTGTAGGACCTTGTAACTGGCCACTGGCTCTTTTTTTTTTTTTTTGTCTTGGAGTCCTCTGATTTGTGCTGCTCTCTCTCTCAGCCTTTTCACTTTAAATGAAACCTGTTAGAAAGCTGAATGGACAAATTAAGGCCATGTCTGGAGGGGACCTTGGGCTAGAGGCAGAGAGTGATTGTCTTCCAGGAGATAAAATTCCAGAGACAGTGTAAACCAGATTGAAATTTTAAAACAAACTACCAGAAAGCTACTGTTTGAAGTGAATTTAATGTCAAAAGATTCAGAGGGAAAACCATTTGTTATACTGCCCTAAAATTCATCTTAAAATAATGTTTAATAATCCATATTATATGAGGGTCCCTGAAAAAGTTCATGGAAGTGCATATAATGAAAAAACTATGCATGGATTTCAGACGTTGTTGGCACCAAAATAAACATCTTTTAATTCCATTTGTACCCTCACATGTTAAGTAAAACATGAATATATTCATTGAAAATAGCATTTGTCTAATACAACTTACAAAGAACCAAAAGCCTGATCTTATTTGGTGGACATGCTGATTTCCCCATAGAAGGGTGGATATGGATTAGGTTTTACAACTCAAAGGGGGTACAGACTCTTTGGGATAAGCCAGTGCCAAGGAATGGAATGGTTTTCAGTTTGTTAAGACACTGTGTGCTAGAAGTTCAGCCTACCAACCAGCAGGGACTCCTAGCAGATAGAAAGGCAGTGCTGCTTACTGAAAAGATTCTGTGAGCATCCACAGGTTGGGAAATGGCATTTTGGGAGAAACTTTCCACAGTGGATAATGATGTAGCTTACTGAGGTGAACATTTACTCCCTTCTCCTGTGGCCATCGTCCTTGAGGTTCCATGCTCATTTCATATTTGTATAAAGGTCAAAATTTTTTCTGTTAATAAGAATGTATTGTATTCTTAAAACTGCCAAGAGTATATTTTAAGTGCTCTCTCGAGGAAAAAAATAAGCATATGAGGTAATATATTAATTTGTTCAATTTAGCTATTTCACAATATGTACAGAATTCAAAATATGTTGTACATGATAAATATTTTGTCAAGTAAAAAAATTTTTTTAAATGCTCTCAACAAGCAAACTTTGTTTTACTATGCAAGTTAAACTTGGCATTTACGAACGGTCACTGTTGTGCCTTGCAGAATATTCAGAAAAGGTTCTGCTTCCTAACCTGCGATGCAGCCAGTTACCTTGGGGATAACCTCCGGGGAATTGGGTCCAAATTTGTCAGCTCTTCCCAGATGCTCACCTCCTGCTCCGAGTGCCCTACACTTTTTGTGGACGCTGAGACTGTGAGTATGCCAGGCCTGCACAGCTCAGATGTGGAACTCTGGGTTAGCATGTTGCTGTTGTGAGATAACTCCCGCGGCCTCCGGGTCTACAGAGTAATAACTCTATATCATCATTCCAGGCCACGGCAAGGCCACTTCAGAGAGTCAGGAGAGAAGTCCACCTCTCTCTCAGGACTCTGACTTGACCAGCTGTGCATATGGCCAGATAATCACCCTCCCCTGAGAGCTGAGCTGGCCAGGGACCCTGGGTCCTTCACTTTTTCCACCCCAAGTCTCATAGACTTGTGGCCCCCTGGAACCACCTGCCAAAATGCAAGTAATGCGATTAAGGATGATTATACCAGTCTCTGGCTGACTGCTGAATTGTGACTTTATGACTTTGCATCCCCATTACAGCACAGAATCATCACATTGGCTGAATAATGACCAAAGTTTAGAACCTAGGAGGATGTGCTTTAGTTTTAAAAGTCCCTGAAAAGTCAGTCTTTTTGAGAACTTGGTAGGTGGTTAGTTGTGACACAACAAGGAATACAAGAGAAATCATTCTATCATAAATTATTTTAATCCTGATTAAATATAAAATCAGTTTCCAAATTCTCTTTAGAGGTGTTCTTCACACTCCTTGGAGTATTACTGGATGATGATGGTGGAGCTCATGCAGAAACCAGTTATCATAGCTTACCAAGGGGCCTCTTTGGAACAACTGGCAAAGCTTGTCTACCTATAGCAATACAGGAAAAAATAGGTATTTCATAGGCATGGATTGGCAAGCTAGTGTTCAATCATAACTAATAGTGGAGCAAAATGGCAGATTTCATAGCTTATAAAAATTACTTCTAAATATACTATGCTTTTGTGTTGGTATCTAGTTATTTTAATATAAATTATTTTCCTGTCTTTAGCTCCTTTCTTGTGGACTTCTGGACAAGCTCAAGTTTAGTGTTTTAGAACTGCAAGAATATTTGGATACCTACAACAACAGAAAAGAAGCCACTCTCTCAGTAAGCTTTTTTGTTTCTGTTCAATGCTTTCAGTTAAAACCAAATGAATCCAAACCACTGTGAGTTCTTGGGGAAGTGTTATGATTAACCTGAGCTAGACTCTTTGGAGAGTAGAAGACAGGCTTCATCTTTTCCTCTAATCTATCATTTCCAATAATTCCAATTTAATGGTGGTAGAACTGTATATAAAAAAGAATATCTACAAAAGGACCATTTTCAACTTTCACTTTTAGACCTATGGATATCCTTGTCAAGAAACAGAAAAGTGTGTGTTTGCTTGATACGTCACCTTAATAATGTTGTACGTTTCTTTTTCCATTTCTTGATCATTTCCTTCCAGTCATGGTAGGTCTCTCTCCTCCTCTCAATCACTACTGATAGCTGTTTCTCCCTGTCCCTAAGGTTTCTCTTGGCATTTACTCCTGCTCTTTACCATCTATTTCTGGAAGGAAGAAAAAAAGTAAAATGTTATACACAGAATGTTCTAGAAACCATCCATGCAAGCTGCCTGTTTTCCGACTGCTGCAAGCAGAATTCAGTGGTCCAGTGATCTGAATAATACTGTGTACTGTCCAGTGATACCTACAGCTTCCTGTGATATGCCAGATAGAGCCTGGATTTCAAAGTCAAATGGACTTGGGCTCAAATCACAGTTCAGTTACTTAAAGGTTATGACTTTAGATAAGTGATTTACCTTCTCACCTCAGGTTCACCATCTGAAAGCCAGTAATAATAATAACCAAACTGAAGAATCATTTTAAGGGTATACCAGTTATATTTCCTGAGTCTTTTCTAAGAGACAGAGCTCTTAAATTAACTCATTTATTGCTGGCAATTTTATCATTACCCTTGTCAGCTTAGGAAGTGGGAGGGAGAGTAGGATTGAAGCTGTGATCTGAGGGATTCAAAGAGTAAGCCACAACATGATACTACCCTGAAAGAGAAATAACTTCTATAAACTGTTCAGCAAAGAACCGCCTACTTGGGAGATGTTCATTGTGAGATTACTAGTCTGGAGTTGTTTACTGATAGTGTTATCAGTGTTAGACTGGCTATTATCAAAATGACAAAAATAGAGATGTTCAGCTTTCATCTCCACTGGAACCCACTCAACCCCATAAGACACAGAGACCAAAGAGAGTGGTGTGAAGAGACGAATAAAGCACACTGGAAACATGACCCAGCCCTAGCATCAATGCCAATCCAGATATCTATGAAAGCAACACAGTCTAGATAGTCTAGATCCCTACAGATGAAAATGTCAGCTTTGTGGTCCTATAAGCCCTGGACAAGGACTATAATTCAGTGGGCAGCTGGCCACACACAGATGAGCACTGCAATGACAGTGTCCTGTATTACATGAGACGCTAGGATGACATGCTGTTTGACGCAGAGTGGACAGCTCCTGCTTCTGACAACTTAACTGAAGTAGAGCTATAAGCCGCCTTCTCTGAAATGGGAAAGAGAGGTGATGACTACAACCTTCACCTTGACCTCCATGATTTTCAAGAACAATACAACAACAATCCCAAGCTTGGTCAATAGAACCCTCTGCAACCCCATCACAGGGCCATTCACAGCCTGCTCATTTTTCTCATCAGCCAACTTGTCTTCTAAAGGAACCTATGGGAATAATTGTTCCAGCCTCCACCACATACTCCTATGATCAGTTCCAAGCTGTGAGAATGAAGGCTTTACAAAGGTACAACGCTACTGCCTCTGCTTTGGACCAAAATGGAGACCTGGACATACCCATGAGTGGGCTTGGGTCACACAGATGTTCAACTGGATCTTTCAGGACATAAATTATGCTTTTTGTAAACCCTTAGATCTGGCCTGAGTATAACATAGGGTTCTGTCTCTCAGTTTAACTTGCTGATAGCCAATTCCACAGCCTACCTACATTTTTGTTCCTTGCCAAATGATTCTACCATACCCCCAAGTTTCTGTGAGACAAATCCTTCCCTGCTTTAAAGAAGATCTCAGATTTCTGACCAAACCCATTCAGGTCACAGAATTTGTGATTCATGGAGCTCAATGATGAGGACAGGAAAGAGAAAAAATAGCCCCGAGGCTACTGGCAGTGTCTTATTTTATCCACACAATAGGATTTGAAGGCCAAGATAATAAGATTGAACACTGACTGAGCAGTCATTGATAGGAAAAATTAGTCTATACAGGAATTTTTCTTAAACCATACCATCTGAATTATACTTCAAATAAGAATGACTATGTTAATTCAAATGTTTTTAACAAGTGATTAACAATTTAGAGACATAATTTTATTGTTATGTGGGTATTAAAAATTAAAGAATGATGAAAACTAAAGGTACTAGAGACAACTGATATATCTGATGTGCAGATATCAACACAGGGATAGAAGAACTATGAAAAAGCAAGGCAATATGACACCTCAGGAGGAACACTAATATCAGACTCCAGAGAAAGAGAGGTTGACAAAATGAGTAAAAGAATTCAAAGAATGATTACAAAGATATTAAAAAAGATAAGTGAAATTAAGAAATCAATATGGGCTATGAATGGGAAATTCAGCAGAATGTTGAAAAAGAATCAAACAGAAATTTTAGAAATGAAGAACTCAGTAAGTCGGCTTTCAAAAACACAGTTACAAGCCTCCATAAGAGACTAGATCAATCAGAAGAAAGAATATCTGTACTTGAAGACAAGTCTTTTAAAATATCCCAGTTTTTTAAAAAAAGAAAAAGAATTATAGACAGCTTCTGAGACTTGGAGGACATCATGAAATGAACAATATTCAAGTTTTGGGAATCCCTGAAGGAGGAGAAAGAAGTAGCAGCACCAATTGTATTCAATGAAATAGTAACTGGAGGAATATATAGATGTCCAAGGAGGCCCATAGGATCCCAACAGACATGACTACAAAAGATCCTCAAGGCAAGCAGTGGGTTAAGCCACCATTTGCAATGCCAGCACCCATATAACATCCCGTGTAACAGTGCTGGTTTGAATCCTAACTATTCCTCTTCCAATGTAGCTTCTTGTAGGGAGGCAGAGAATCATGGATCAAGTTCTCTCTCTGTAACTCTTTAAAATAAATAAATCAATCTAAAAGAAAATACAACATGGACAGACATTGTAGCACAGGAGGTTAACCTGCATCCATATCAGAGTGACTGGTTCAAGTCCTGGCTCTCTGCATTACTAATCCAGCTTCCTCCTAGTACACCTGAGAGACAGCAGATGATAGCCCCAATACTTAGTTTCCTGCCACACATGTGGGCGACCCATATCAAATTCCTTGCTCCTGGCTTCAGCTTAGCCCATTCCCCACTATTGCAAGCATCTATATAACTCTCGTTCTGTCTCTCCCCTGCTCTGTTTTTCAAATAAATAAATAAAGTCTTTTTATAAAGTACAACCCGAAGAGAGAAGTTTGGGGATGATATAACTGGCACATGGTTATAATGCCACTGTGTCCCATATCAGAGTGCCTGGATCCAAGTCTCACCTCTGCTTTCAATTCAACTTTCTGCTAATGTGTACCCTTGGAGGCAGCAAATGACCACTCCAAGTACTTGAATCCCTGTCACTGATATGGGACATTTAGATTGAGTTCCTGGCTCCTGATTTTACCCTGGCACAGCCCAGATGTTGTGGGCATTTAGAAAGTGACAGGGGGATGGAGGAACAGTCGAAATTCAAACCAGCACTCTGATAAATTTATCCTTTGCTCCTCTGTCAATTCAGATTTCTGATAATGGGACTGGGAAAAATACATATCTTATTAATAATTTTTACATTTTCAAGAATTACTTTTAAGGGAGCATTGATTAGATTTACAGATTTCAACAGAAACTTTATAGGTCAAGAGGAAATAATAAATTCCACATTCTGAAAGAAAAAAAAAAGCTACTAACAAAGAATACTTTATGTCGCTCCCCCTCTTCGTGGAGGAACGACACAGGACCCTGCGCTGTTCTTTTGTCCGCTCGGCCCTCCCCGGGTTTGCTGCTGGTTCTTCCCGGGTTGGCTACTATCCCTTCCACCTCCGTGGAAGGGCAGTTCCCCCTGGCCGCATTCCCCACTTCCGCAGGGGAGCGGCACACCGCCGGCCGGCTCTCTCGGGGGCTGCACGGGTTCCCTTAGATGTTCCCCATAGATGTTCCTGGTGCATGCCGTCTCTCTCCTCCTTTATAGTCATCCTCCGCCAATCCTAACTCGGCTGCCCACACGCCAAGTACGCTGCTCTCCTCCAATCAGGAGCAAGTCCTACAGTTAATTGGTTGAACTGGAGGCAGCTGCGCGGAAGCTGTTTACTTCTCTCCCAGCGCCATATTGTAGGAGAGCAGATGCATAGAATAAGTCTTAATTCCAGTAACTTAGTCTAGTCCAAGCTGCTCCCCACAACTTTACCCACTGAAGGCTATCTTTGATAAATGAAGGAGAAATAAGGACTTTTCCAAGACAAGCAAAATATAAAGGAATCTATCACCACCAGACTAGCCTTATAAAAAATACTTAAGGGAATCCAACATCCAGAAGCAAAGAAAAATAACCAAGAAAAGACATGTGAAAGTATAAAATTCAGTAAAAAAGTATAAGACATTCAGAATATATAAAATATTTTATTAATGACCTAACTAAATCATTACTTACCAATAATAGCTTTGAGTGTTAACAGACCAAATGACAATTAAAGATATAGAATGGCTGAATGATTAAAAATTATAAGACCCAATGATATTATTTCTACAAGAAACTCACCTCACCAGTAAGACACATAGACTAAAAGTGAAAAGATAGATATTCCATGCCAACATACTTCAAGACAAAATTTGTAAAAAGAAATAAAGAGGATCATTATATAATGATCAAGAGCTCAATAAGATATAATGATTGTAAATGCACCTAATGTTGCAGCACCCGATTTTATAAAACAAACATTAGATATAAAAGGAGAAAGGTGCTCCAATACAATAATAGTCAGGGACTGTAACATCCCATTTTCATAAGTGAACAGATCATCTGGCCAAAAAATAAAATCAACTACATATATATAAATATTTATAAAATATTTACATTTTTATATATAATATTTATATATGTATAGTTTATATAATATAGACAAAACAAACCTAACTGACATTTACAAGACATTCCATGCAAGAGCTAGATTACATATTCTTTTGATCAGCATAGGGAGCATTCTTGAAGGTAGACTATATATTAAGCCACAAAAGAAATCTCAAAAAAATTTTTAAAAATTGAAGTAATATCATGTAAGAAGCTATATCAAACACACAGACAGCAAATGAACAATGCATCTCAAGAACTTAGAATAAAACCTTTTAAAAAAACCAAAGTCCGTAAAAAAGAAATAATAAAGATCAAACCAGAAATAAAATAGAAACTAAAATAAGCAACAATATCAAAGATTGATGAAATCAATATCATACTGGAAGTTTTAGTCAGAGCCAATAGGCAAGAAAAAAAAAACATTTATATAGGAAAGAAGGAAATCAAATTATTCCTGTTTGCAGATAGCATGATTCTATAGATAGAAAAACCCAAGGGCTTCACCAAAGACTGTTAGAACCAAGAAACATTCAGTAAACTTGTGGGATAAAAAAATCAGTAATAAGTATTATATTCCAGTAACAAACTCATTGAGAAATTATAGGAGCAATCCCATTCACAGTAGCCACACTAACAGTAAAATACCATATAATAAATTCAACCAAGAATGTGAAAGACCCTACAATGAAAACTATAAGACAGAAAAATGAAAGACAACCCATGCTTGGAACTGGAAAAATTAATGTTATTAAGATGTCCACAGTATCCAAAGCAATTTACAGATTCAATGTGATCTCCATCAAAATATAAATAGCATTTGTCACCAAACTAGTAAACAATACTAAAATTCACATGGAAGCACAAAAGCCCCCAAATAGCCAAAGTTATCTTGAACAAACAAAAAGCTGCCCACATCACATTTCTAGATGTCAGGATATACTACAGAGCTATTTTATCCAAACCATATGTTACTGGCCTGAAAACACATAAATAAATAAGACATAAACCAATAGAACAGAATAGAGCTCCCAGAAATTAATCCATTCATCTACAGCCAGCTGGTTTTTTGTTTTGTTTTTTAAGATTTATTTCATTTGAAAGCCAGAGTTAGAAGAAGAGAGAGAAGGAGAGCCCCTCCATCTGCTGGTTCACTCCCCAAATGTTCACTGTGGCTGGGGCTGGGCCAGGATGAAACCAGGAGTCTCCCACAAGGGTGCCAGGGTGCTAAGCACTTGGGCCATCCTCCACTGCTTTCTCAGGCATGTTAGCAGGAAACTGGATAGAAAGTGGAACAGCCAGGACTTGAACCTGTGCCTATATGGGATGCTAGTATTGCACGCTGCAGCTTAACCCACCCCTCCACAATACCAGCCCCAAGCCAGCTGCGTTTTGACAAAGGCAGCAAAACACACTGGAGAAAGAACATTCTCTTCAAAAAATAGTGCTGAGAAAACTGTATATCCACATGCAGAAGACTGAAACTTGACATCCTCCCCCGACCTCTCATTATGAGTGGATTTCACTTTTAAAAATCAACTTAAACAGAGCCAGTGCTGTGGTGTAGTGGCCTAAGCCTCTGCCTGCAGCCCTGGCATCCCAAATGGGCCCCAGTTGATGTCCCGCTGCCCCTCTTCTGATCCAGCTCTCTGCTTATAGCCTGGGAAAGCAGTGGAAGATGGCTCAAGTGCTTGGGCCCCTGCACCTACATGGGAGACCTAGAGGAAGTTTCTGGCTCCTGGCTTCAGATCAACCCAGCTTCGGTGACTGCAGCCATTTGGGGAGTAAACCAATGAATGGAAGATCGTTCTCTATGTCTCTCTGTCTGTAATTCTGCCTCTCAAGTGAATAAATAAAATCTTTAAAATAAACCAACAAAAAAAAATCCAAAGAAATAACACCTGAAACTATGAAACTACTAGAAAAAAATACATGGGAAACATTTCAAGATGTTTGTATAGGTAATGATTTTTTGGATAAGATTCCAAGAGTGCAGGCAATAAAAGCAAAAACAAAGGGGATTTTATCAAAGTAAGGCATTTCTGCACAGCAAAGGAAACAGTAAACAATGAAGAGACAGTTAACAAAATGTGAGAAAATACCTGCAAACTACTCATGTGAGAAGGGGTTAATATCCAGACTGTATTAGGACCTAAAAAAAATCCAACAACAAAAAAGCAAATCCAGTTAAGAAAATGGGCAAAGGATTTGAATAGATATTTCTCAAAAGAAGGAATGCAAATGGACAGTGAATACATGAAAATATTCTATCACTAACCACCAGGCAAATGCAAATCAAATCCATAATATCATCTCACCCTAGCTAAAGTGGCTAATTGCAAGAAGACAAAAAAAATGCTGACAAGGATGCAGAAAAACAAGAACATTAATATACTACTGGTGGGAATGTAAATTAATACAGCCATTATGGAGAACAGTATGGAGGTTCCTCACATCACTAAAAATAGATCTACTATAAGACCCAGCTGTCCCACTTCTCGGTACATATCTGATGGAAATAGAATTAGTATACCTGCACTCCCATGTTCATTGCAGCACTGTTCACAATATCCAAGAGATGGAACCAACATAGATGTCCATCTATGGATGAACTGATAAAGAAAATGTGATATACATATACAATGGAATGGTATTTTGCAATAAAGAATAAAGCAATATGGATGGGACTACAGATTATGTTAATGAAATAAGCCAGACGCAGAAAGACAAATCCCACATATTGTCTCTCGTATGTGGAAGTTAAAAAAAAAATGTAGTTTATCTGAACGAAGAATAATTACTGGAGGCTAGGAAAGTGAGGGCAGAGAGAGAAAAAAGGGATTTTGGAAAACGGGTACCCAAACACCGAAAGAATAGGTTCTGGTGTTCCACAGCATATTAGTGGGCTATAGTTCACAATAATGTATTATACGCTGTGTAAAGAACTGGAAGGCAGAAGCTGGGAGGCTCCAAACAGAAAGAAAAGGCAAGGAAATGGAAAGGCTAACTGCCTGCCTGATCAGTTTGCAGTGAGTGTATATGCTGAAATACTGCAACTGCATCCCGTGAATAAGTACAAATATTACATGCTTATCAACATTTTGAATAATTTTTAAAAGACAAAGATAAATGCTGGCAACAACATGGAGAAAAGGGAATTCTTGCATGCTGTTGGTGGGAATGTATGTTAGTATAGCCATTGTGGAAACCAGTATGCAGTTTCCTAAAAATGAAGCATAAAACTACCTGTGTGATCCAGCAATCCCACTATTTGGTATATATCCAAGAGAAATGAAATCAGTCTGTCAAAGAGACAGCTAAACTGCTGTATTTACTGTAGAACTAACTATTCACATCAGCAAAGAAGTGACAAGACCCAGTCTACCCACTGATGAATAGATGAAGAAAATGTGGTATATACAGAATGGAATAATATTCAACCATAAAAAGATTTAAATCTTGTGATTTGCAACAACAGCATGGATGGAATTGAGGTCAGACTAGTATTGCATGATCTCACTTATATGAAATCTTAAAAAATTGATATCATTGGCCAGCGCCACGGCTCACTTGGCTAATCCCTCCACCTGCAGCGCCAGCACCCCGGGTTCTAGTCCCGGTTGGGGCACTGGATTCTGTCCCAGTTGCTCCTCCAGTCCAGCTCTCTGCTGTGGCCCAGGAGGGCAGTGGAGGATGGCCCAAGTGCTTGGGCCCTGCACCCACACGCGAGACCAGGAGGAAGCACCTGGCTCCTGGCTTCGGATCAGCGTGTGCTGGCCATAGCAGCCATTTGGTGGTGAACCAACAGAAAAGGAAGACCTCTGTCTCTCTCTAACTCTGCCTGTCGAAAGGAAGGAAGGAAGGAAGGAAGGAAGGAAGGAAGGAAGGAAGGAAGGAAAGAAGGAAGGAAGGAGGAAGGAAGGAAGGAAGGAAGGAAGAAGGGAGGGAGGGAGGGAGGGAGGGAGGGAGGGAGGGAGAGGGAGGGGGGGAGGGAGGAAGGAAATCATAAAAGTTGAGAGTATAATAGTAGTTACCAGGGCCTGGGAGAGTGGTGGTGGGAAAAAGAGATAGTGAAAGATTGATTACCAAGTTAATAAGTTATAGTTTATAGGAATAAGATGTTCTTATATTCTACTGCACAATAGGATGACTATAGAGAATGATAATATGCTGTATTATGTGTGTGTTTACAATGATCTGAGCATTGCACAATGTATACATGTATCAAAACATCTCAATACTCTCTGTAAATATGTACAATTTTAAAACATCCTCAGGATATTGCTGAATTTACCTATGAATCTCTTTTTTCCTGACTACAGTGGCTTGCAAATTGTAAGGCAACATTTGCAGGAGGATCAAGAGATGGAGTAATTACATGTCAACCAGGGGACTCAGAGGAAAAGGTAATTAAGTCTATCAGAATGTATCTCTCTGTGCTCTGACATTGTGTGTTGGTTCTGATCTGCCTAAGAAGCATGGAACTTATGAAAGAGGTGGAACCAGTCCTCTCATGCATTCACACGAAACTCAGAGTAAGACAGAATGACTTTCAAGTCATGCATGACTGTGTTGATGGGATCTGGGATGCTTTCATTCTTTTTGGAAAAGTTGAGATATAAAAATAACCCTTTTTTTCTGGATACTACCTAACTATACTAATCATTTCCCAATAAATCTGTTATTAATTCAAAAAAAAGAAACAAAATTTCATTAGTTCTCCACTGAACCACTTAGTTCCTTCAACAAAGGAAATTTCTGTTGACTTTTCAGCAATCACTCAGATTTGCTCATTTAGAAAAGCTTCATGTACACACCTCAAACCAGCTGGTTGGTAAATGTATGCCATACTGTAAAAGAAAATGGGCAGAAGAATATAAATGAATTAAAATTACTCATTCTGTGGTTTGGTATTCAATTCTTCCTGTAGAGCCCACATGGCAGATACCATTGTTGAGCTTCTGATCTTATCAGAGAGCCAAAATTAATCAAAAATCATACAGGTATAAATTATAATGTTTCATTAAGGACAGTGAAAAACAGTGAACTATGAAAGCAAAGGCAACCTGATCAAATGAGAGAGTTCCTCTGTGAGTTTGTCATCTAGGGAAAAATATAAAATATGAGCCAAAGTTAGCCAGCTGATGAGGAGTAGAAGTGGCTGTGTCAAGACTTGGGGTAGAAAGGAACCTGGTCATGGCAAGAGCTGGTGGCTGGAAGTTCAGGAAGCAACATGGAGCACTTTGGGAGCTGTGCAGGACTTGGCTGTGTAACAACAGTGGTATGCAATTAGAAAGTTCTAACCACGGAGAAGAATAGATTAAGGCTGTCTTGCTCTGTCTACTGTGGAAACAGACTGAAATGGGCAAGCGTGGATTAGGGAAGACAAAATGGGAGGCTGTTGCTTAGGCTAGGTGGAGAAGGTGTTACCTTGGCACTACATCATCTCTACAGGGAAAATATTTTACATTACTTACCTCCCAGAGGATCAGAAACCATCTCTATGATAGAAACGGTATTTTAGTAAAAAGAAATCAAGTTTGGGGTAAAAATTTTAAGCCAAATACCAATGATTCAGTTCCAGTTTTGGAATTGTTACTGAACAAGTTTGCTCATGTGTACACCCACTGTTAAATTTTAGTGAAGAGAGCAGAGATTGAACAAGCAAACTGCAAAGCTGAGAAATATCTAGAAAGGGCACTGAAGTTTGGTTTGCATTTCTACATCACTGCCCTGCTAGAAGACAAACCTTTACATCTCTCTTTATTGTATACAGAGAATTTTCATATCTTTGAAGTCACTTAATCCTTCCTGGGTAGGAAAGTAGCAAAGTAACATTGGCCCAATCTATAGTTAAAGAAACCAGAGCTTGACTCAGTGTTATCTAAACAGTTTCCTTCAATCACCAGATCCTATTTTCTATAATAAAACTTGCATTAACACAATGCTGATATTTAGGATATTTAGAAACAAAGATTGAAACTAAATCTGTGACTTATTTTTGTTAATGCCTTCCTACTTAGCCCTAAGAATAACCAGGCAATCTAGTTATTCTGTTTCCCAAGCATTCAAATTTAAAATACATGTTTCTGTTGTGTTTATGTGTTATTTTATTTTCTTTAGTTGCTCCCTTTTTTATTCCCTGGTTCTTCTCCTTCAAACAAAGATTTCCCTTGTATTTGCTTATTTTTCATTCCCTCCGCATCCACTCTTCTTTGCTTCTATTTTGTAGTACTTCCCCCTTCCATATTGCTGTGTTTTGTTAAACCCAAAGGTTTAGAAAATAGAGTTCATGTATTTATCCACTCATTTATATGAAGATCTTCAAACAGCTCATGGAAAAAATCTCATTATGAAAAAATTATGCATGGATTTCCAAATTTTTGCACCAAAATAAATTTATCTCTTAATTCCATTTCCATAAAGTTTTTGAAGTACCCTTATGTGTTGCAACTCTGTTATCATTACAATAATGGCTTGAGAATTCAAAAGTAGAAAGAAGAAATTAAGTTTTGCTAGTACTACAGATGTATACAGCTCATTTGATCCCAACAGTCCTTTCAAAATTAGGGTTTTTCTAATTTTGCAGATAGAAAAACTGGAGAGACTAACTTTAAAGGCCATATTCTCTCCATTTGTCCATATTTTCTGTTGATGTTTGAAGCAAAACATTCACACAGGAAAAAGCTAGAGAATAATTTCTAGCATATAGAATATATCTAATCATGAGTGTGTGTGTGTGTGTGTGTGTGTAGAGAGAACAATGTCTAATATGATTCTGGGGCCTGCATAAGTAGTGAGCATGCATAGAACACCTAGAAGAAATTAAAGAGAATTTGTTAGGAAAAGAATTACAGATGGGCAAATTCTGAGTGTGGTGTCTTCAGTGTTATTGCAAAACCAACCAGGCTTTGATCCCATTGTTGGTATTAGCTCAGTATTTCAGAACTTTCCCAGGTGGCTCAGGGACACCCTGGAAACCACAAAACTCAGGCAATGACCAAGTGCCCAAGGAAGATGCTTCAGTACCATGTATGTGACAATTCTAGAGTCTGAGGCTAGTGTCAAAGGTGAAATGCATGCCACCTAAAGAGGATTTGTTAGTAAACCCTGTAAGTAATCTGGCCACTGGCCATGCAGTGCCACTCACACTGTCTCTAACTCCACCAGCCTTGCTGAACCACTGCTGGGCATTCTATCATTATATAACAATGAGGAACTCTTGTTCCCATCACAAGTAACACTCAGACAAAGCCAAAAAAGGATTATGAGAGCAAATGGAGGGGAATTCCTCACGTACCGGAGGTAAACTTTAGGAAGAAATGATGGTGTCACTCCATTTAAATACTGAGATATTAAATCCAGAGATGCTGGAGACATTATTTTGCTGACTAGAGCTACCACTTGGCTTCCATTCCAAAGCCAAACCTAAGAAACGCTTGGCCTCAAGGTACTACTTACCTTCAAGTGAATCTCTCCAACTCTTCTTTATAGGTAGGTTCTTTGTCTTCCAGAATAATTTGATGTTGTCAGTTATTCTGAGCACCTTTTATATGGAAACAAATAAAATGAGGATAAGTGAACTTATGGACGGGGTCTTTAGAAAGCTTATGGAAAATGGCATTATGATAAAACTATGCGTGAATTTCAATTTCAAATTTTTTTGCACCAAAATAAACATCTTTTAATTTTTCCACAAACTTTTTAAAGTTCCCTCATCTCTTGAAGAATCCCTGGATGCAAATTGCAAAGTGAACACACTGATAATTATTATGCATTTATATTCTTTTAAAAAAAATGTGTGCTTTATGAAACATTAGTATTTACCTGAGTAAATCCAGCAAAATAAATTCTTGAACCATTACAGAGATCAGTCTGTCAGAGATGGTAATGGGATTGGCACATAAAGTCTTCTCATTTGTCATACCCAACCTGGTCTGGTCTCTGCCAGTTGCCTGATTTTAGAATGCTGTGGAATTTTTTGTGGAAAAGAATATAACTCCTTGCTGGGTGCTGGATAACTTTTTTCCAATTTCTCTTCTCACCATGAAGTTGTAGACATCCAAAAAATGAAGAAAGGCTAGTGGCCTGTGACCTATAACCAATTCAGAGACATGTTATATTAAACTTGCACAATGCTTTAACTGCTTTAAAGTGTTTCAATTGACCCTGAATTTTAAAATTAAAAATTGTCACACATAAATAATCCCAAAACAGGAATTCTAGTGTCTCTAAATAAGATCTAGCAACACTGGGCCTGCCTTCCTCAGTGGCAAGGACTAGTGAGCTAGGACTGTTTAGCTAGTGCTAAGTAGCTGTCTTATTTGGACTATTTCCCCCAAACCTCCCTGCCCATTGAGTTCTTAGCACTGACAACAAGAGGCAGGTACCAATCATGCTGGTGCTTGAAATGTTTGCTTATAATAGGAAAATATTTCTGTGTATCTGAGTACGCAAAATAGGGAGTGAAAGCTAGAGAGGGCTTCAATACAGGAAATATTCTTTGCAAATGTGAGAAACATCTGTTATATAATGTGCAGCACCTGTCCGCTGAGCTCACTTATATTAGAGGAATATTCTCAGTGCCTGTTCAAAATAAATCATGTTTCTAAGGGAAGTCTTTCTGTTTTTTAGGAAGTATATTTTGGAAAAGTCTTTTAAAATTTTCTTAAAAAGATAAACATGGTTTTAAAGATTTCAGCTTCTTGGTAATAGGCCAATTCTCCTAGATTAATGTACAGAATACACTAAATGGAATATAAAACAAGGAGTATCATTTGAATAAGTCTCGAGGTTATTTTCAGTCATTTGTAGATCCCATTTACTGCCATCTTCCCAGCCATGCATATCAAAAGGAGAAACCAGTATCTGCATAACTTAAAAAGCAGTATTTCTAATTGAGGAGTTTGGTTGCCTTTGGCCTTCGCATCTCTTGTGGCATTCGTTCTGCAATGGCTACTATTTGGTGCTTTAAGTTAACATAAATGTAGGTCAACAGCATTCCTCAGTTGGTAGGCACTTCTTAACATCTTGGTTTCCTAATATTTTTTTCCCTCATTCTGAGAAAACATGTTTCTAAATCCAGTGTATAAATCAAGGCATTTCAGGAAAACCATATTTGAAGAGAATCCTTATGACCAAAGAAAACAATGATGATTCAGACATGTCCAAAGCAAGCTTAAGTCACTGAAACATCAACAAGTCTATAAAGATTCTAAAGGGAGTATTTTTAAACCTGGATACAGGAAAACATTAGCTCATGAGGAAAAGAAGTTTTAACATTTTCTATAAAATGGTTTCCTAGAAAAGCATTTTGCCCTCTTTCTGGAACTCTAACTGCGAACAAGATAGGTCCCAGCCAGTGGCCTAGGAAAGGATTCTAAGACAATAAATATGGAATCTTGAACCAGCCTACCTAAAAAGGAGAGTTTAGGAAGCACACTGAAAAGTATTCCTCCTAATTGGACATCTCCCAAGAAACACAATTTTATGCCCTAAGAACTAAATGGGAGAAATTCATTGAAAAGGACATTCCATAGCTCTAATCTGCAATTGAAAAGTTTCATATTGCTTTTATTGAACACCAAAGATTTTACTTTAAGTACTTTGATAACCTCCTTGTATCATAGCCTTGGTTTGGGAAAACAGTAAAAAGATGAAGCAGTTTTCTTTACACAAGACCATGTCACTTAGACAGTATTGGCTTCATTGCATACTACTGGAAACTAAATTCCATGGCAGAAGCAGTTACTCACTAAAGTGCATACTGAGCATTTCAATCATACTTGATGTTTTATAAAACATCTTCACTGTGGAGATTTTATGCATATATGGACTTAAGACTGGTCCTGTATGGCCACTGGATATGATACCATACAGAAAATCTTCAAAACACTCACAGAAAACATCTATTATACAAAAACTATATACAGATTTCAAAAAAAATTTGCACTAAAATAAAATTTTAATTCCATTTTTCTTCATATTTCAGTGCAAACAATTTGGTTACAGAAACCTCTAAAGCTTTCTTGAAGATAGCAAAAATCATGGACTGTATAATTTAATCACAGGTTAGAGGTATTTATCTTCCAAAGCTTTGAAAGATATTCAGTCAACACCATACAATAGTCATTAATATGCCAGTGCCACATGATATTTGCAAGAGGGTGAGGGAAGAAGAGACCCTTAGATGATGGGTGGGGGTTGATGGTTATCCTTTAATTATGTTTGTAAGTGCTGATAAATAAATTGACAGTTCTGTTTCTATTCACTGATCCTTATGTTAAAGTACAATACATTAAACTAATGATAACTTAGATTTTTTTAAAGGTGTTTAAAATAAGGGATTTTTATTGTCAAAGATTAGAAAACTGAGTTAGATAGGTCCTTAAATGTTTTGGCAATTCAGAACCAGTTATACTGACCCTTAGTTAGGAATGACAAAATCAATTTTGTTTAAATATCACATTTGTGGTTCTCACCTATCTTTGCAAACTTTTCTTAAACCAAGTCTGTGGTCATAATACAGTGATATTTAAAACATAGTACTCATAGTTGAACAAGGCCCAGTAACAAATTTATGTTTTTATAGTAACCATCAGTTCTAGGTTACTTTCAGAAATAATCCACTGGAGGAAAAAACTATTATAAAAGTTAAGTGTGAAAAAATGACCTAATTGCACACCTTGTTTGAGAGTATACAGTATATAGTCTTTGAAATTACAATATCTAGCATTGTTTCAAATATTCTCAATGTGGAAGGCAATAGAACTAAATAAAATGCCACTTAGATTGTTAATCATATCCAGTGTTAATTGGGTGGTCATATTTGGTAGTTATGAATCTGGACAAATTAAAAACCCTGCCTTCATTAACGTAAAGCAATAGTGTAATTTGGGGCTATAGTTAAATCACCGGCTATCCTCCTCACAATTTTACTATGTTCATGTACAGTTCACATCTCTGCACTAAAATCTTTAATCAATAAAACTTTTCACTTCTGGACTTCAAGACTGACAAAATCCGAACTAATCAGAGAGCCTAAAAGATTAAAAATTATGTTTTTTCAACAATGCGTTTCCCACTAGAGCTTGTTTTTAACAGAAGCGCTGTGCATGTGTGGGCACAACATTTCACAGCCGTTGATCAAGTCTGGTCAAGCACTAATACTGCTGCCAGTTCTGCACTGGAGGAGGGCCGTGCTTTCTGGTGCATGCGTACACTGACCCTGTACTTTCTTTCCTTTCCTTTGTTTCCTGTGCCATGCTTGCTGTGTAGCAAATGGAATCTCTTGCAGTAAGTTAACTTTCTTTCATACTCTTAGTCCTTGTAGGCATGGACCCATAACAAACCTTATTTTTACTGTTACTGTTATATCTCTTAGCATGTTTCCCCTTTTTCATTTAATTTTATTTTATTTGGTAGATTGAGACATCGCAGTTTCTCAGTAGCATTCTGGGATGTTTTTGTCCCAAAGTAGAAACCTACATTGCTATGAATTCTCATACTATCAGAGGATATTTTGAGTACTAACTACCATTATTTGGCACTTAGGAAAATCAGAGTTTTCATAGCTAGGTTTCACCTTAAATTGTGAAGGCAACATTGTTTTTAAACATTCCATTTTTGTTTGCAAGTCCCTGACAGTTCTTTTATTCCAGATTTTTCCATAGAGAAGTTTAAATAACAATAAAATAAATGTTTCATTAATACAGCCAAACACTCAGATTGGGATAGAGAGTGTAGCAAATTCTTTAAATTCAAGCTGGTTATCAGTATTGAGAGATCAAATGAATCCAAGCAGAAATGTTTTTCTCCTAGCAACAAGGAAGTGGTGGGAGGAGAAAGAAATTTCATTCAGCATAATCTTGAATAAATTTTAGTGACTTTAAAAAATCAGGATCAAAATTCAGTTAATAATATCAATAGGATATTCTTCCTAAAATCTAAGTCACCCTGGATGCGCTGAATTCTGAGTTCCTTCTAGTCTGTTAGTATAAGAAAGGCCTTGTTGGGCCGGCGCCATGGCTCACTAGGCTAATCCTCCGCCTGCGGCGCCAGCACTCCAGGTTCTAGTCCTGGTTGGGGCACCGGATTCTGTCCCGGTTGCTCCTCTTCCAGTCTAGCTCTCTGCTGTGGCCCGGGAAGGCAGTGGAGGATGGCCCAAGTGCCTGGGCCCTGAACCCACATGGGAGACCAGGAGGAAGCACCTGGCTCCTGGCTTCCCAGCCGCAGTGCACCAGCTGGCCATGGCGGCCATTTGGGGGGTGAACCAACAGAAAAAGGAAGACCTTTCTGTCTCTCCCTCTCTGTCTGCCTGAAAAAAAAAAAAAAAAAAAAAAAAGGGCTTTGTTTATCCCTACTTAACCCCATGAGAACAGTGAAGGGTTTAAACAACATATGTAACCCACTTTTACTGCTGACTGTTGAGCCATGAAAGTCAATCTAGTGAAGTCTTTTGTTTGTTTGTTTTGAGATTTATTTTATTTATTTGAAAGAGTTACAGAGAGAGGTAGAGACAGAGACAGAGACAGAAACAGTCTTCTATCCACTGGTTCATTCCCCAAATGGCCGCGAAGGCCAGGGCTGAGCCAATCCAAAGCCAGGAGCCAGGAGTTTCTTCCAGGTCTCCCACATGGGTGCAGGGGGGCCATCTTCTACTGCTTTCCCAGGCACATTAGCAGGGAGCTGGATTTGGAAGTAGAGCAACTGGGTCTCCAACTGGTGCTCATATGGGACACCACTGCTGCAGGCCAGGGCTTTAACCCGCTGCACCACAGTGCCAGCCCCGCCTGCTCTTCTCACAGAATCCCATCTGCTGCCTTGGAGCTAACCCATTCTTGGAATTAAAGTGGGCTAAGTATAGAGGATAGAGCTCAAAGAGTAATGTATTCATTGGTGTTGGGTATTAGGATCATTTTTTGTTATAATACACATAAGCCATAAAGCAAAAATATCTGGCTCAAGGATCATTTTGAAGGATTTTTTAATGTTCTTCCATACATTTCATTTTTTTAATTTCTTTTTTGACCATATCTGGTCCCTTTTTATTTCTCTTTAATTTGATGAATGTTTAATGCACTGCTGGGTTTCAATGGTAGAAATGAGAACTATATGCCTATGGTGTTTACATAGGTACAACTGTCTTTACCCTACATGGCAGCCAGAGCTGTAACACAGTAATTACCCAAGCATTGACTGAATTTATAAACTGAATACCTAGAACTGCCGAGTGTTTTGACTTTAATATACTTTTAATTTTTAGTTAAAAATAATTTCTTAAAAAAAGACAACCACTCAATCACTGTGATTTGTATATAATTAAGTGGCAAACAGAATGGAAATTAAGAGGTTCACTCAGTCTTTTTATAGCTGCTGCTTCTCTAAATAGTTATTTTCCATTATTTAGAATATAATATTCTATATTAAACAGAATTTCTTGCTGGTATTTGTGGACTGGATTTTTTTTACTTGGAATGATTATAGCTAGTGAGGTTTCCTTAATTTTAAGAAAAGTGTGTTTGCCTCTACTGAGATGTTACTAATGATACAACAATGATTCTAATCCTTAACAACTGTTTCTTCCCATGCAAATTTTTTCTTTAGCAACTAGAACTGTGCCAGAGATTATATAAGCTACACTTCCAGCTGCTGTTGCTTTTTCAATCCTACTGTAAGCTCATCGGCCAGGTGCATGAAGTTAGCTCCATGCCAGAGGTAAGTCTGTGTATGTCCCGATTCTGCATCATGCTGCTAAAACTGTTACTGGTTTTTGTTTGTATTGTTGCTCTTCTCCACTCCACACACCATTTACAGCTTCCACATGATTTTATTCCCACAAAATTACTTTGCTGAAGAACAAATCTGAAGTATATGCCTTATATTTACTTCTTATTTTACTTTTTGGAACAAGGCCTGGGCTAGGGTGAAGAAAGGGAGAGGCCTGCAAATTTAAGCTGAGAGTGACTGTGTCTTCCAACATGTTACACTGTAGGCACTCGCTTGAATCACATTGATCCTGAAAATGGGACTGGGCATCCTTATTTTTAAAATGCCTTGTGGTTTTGCTTCTTTACATTTAGCCTTCTCAAGGGACCAGGTAGCCTGGTCCAGCAGAGAAGGTGCACTCAAGTTGGCAGAGCAGCCTTGCCACTTGAACCCCAGGGAATCTGAACTTGGGAATAGCTGCAATCCTGATGTTTGAGCCAGTGCAGCACCTAGCCCCTAGGAAGATACAGCCTTTTTTTTTTTAAGATTTATTTATTTATTTGAAAGTTAAGAGTTACAGAGAGGCAAAGGAAAAATGAGAGGTCTTCCATCTGCAGGTTCACTCCCCAGATGGCCCCAACGGCCAGAGCTATGCTGATCCAAAGCCAGGAGCCAGGGACTTCTTCCAGGTCTCCCACATAGGTGCAGGGGCCCAATGACTTGGGCCATCCTCTGCTGCTTTCCCAGGCCATAGCAGAGAGCTGGATCAGAAGTGCAGCAGCCAAGACTCGAACCAGCGCCCATATGGGATGCTGGCACTACAGATGGCAGCTTTACCTGCTGCACCACAGAACCAGCTCTGAAGATGTAGCCTTGACTGATCGATATCTCCCTGCCCTCTGGGTCCAACAGCCACAGCACACCACCTCTCGGGATGTGGACCAGCCTTCCAGCATATGAGCTGCTGAAGCACTCCACCTCCCTGGAAGGTACAGCCAACATTGCACAGTTGCTTGCTGCCTGGACCCCAAGCCATTTGGTCACCCACCATTCCTGGGTCTTTTTGGCACCTGGCCTCATTGAACCTGGACCATTACTATGTCCTTACACTCCAGAGTCCATAGTCTACTATGTAATACCTTTTCTCCTGGTGCTGAAGTTGCCACTGTGCACTCTTGGCTCTAGAACCCAAGTTGCAACTGTGCCCTGCTCCCTGGGACATGAGAGCCTCTGGGAATATCCCTTCCTCCTCAAAGCCATGGTGTGCTGTGCCCTAACTCCCGGGATCAGAGTAGAGTCATAGCTACATTCCTGCCCCCTAGGCCTGAGCCACTAGGAAGTGACTCAGAGTCACAGTCCTCAGCTTTGTGGCAGAACTCTGTCTACTCATACCTGAGAGTGAAATTGTACCCACTTCACCAGTGCCATGGTAGTTCAACAGGGCACTGAGTCTTTGACATCAGCTCCACAGCCACCCCAAGCTACAGTGCCCTGGAACACAGAACCTCTGTGGCTGCCTGTGGCCCATGTCAGACCCAACACCAAGAGGCATCCCCTCAGCTAAATCTCCCTAATGTGGGGAAGGTGATAGCAGAAGGGTCCATAAAGCCCTTTTTACAGAGCAACCTAACAATTTACCTTCCCATCATCATGGCCACAAACTCTGGCAGGCTAGAACACTGATCACCTATAGTCACTGCTATTGTTGATTACAATTGAAAAAGCAGCATGAAATTAATACAGTTATTCTTAAGTGTTGAAATTTAACTGAAAAGTGATCACTGTTAAATATAAGAGTGGGAATAAGAGAGGGAAGAGATGTGCAATTCGGGACATGCTCAAGCTGACTTGCCCCAAACGGTAGAGTTAGAAACATACCAGGGGATTCCAATTCAATCCCATCAAGGTGGCATGTACCTATGCCATCTCACTAGTCCAAGTGATCAATTTCTGTTCACAATTGATCATAATGAAAGGACTAAGAGTCAAAGGGATCACATAAACAAGACTAGTGTCCGCTAATACTAACCGATAGAATAAATAAAGGGGAGTGATCCAACATGGGAAGTGGGATACACAGCAGACTCATAGAATGGCGGATGTCCTAAACAGCACTCTGGCCTCAGAATCGGCCCTAAAGGCATTCGGATCCAGCTAAAAAGCCCATGAGAGTATTTCAGGCATGGAAAGCCAAGACACTCTGCCATAAAAAAAAAAACATAATAAAAAAAAAAAAAAAAACACAAACACCTAAATGAAAGATCTCTGTGAGTGAGATCCCAGTGGAAAGAACAGGTCTTCAAAGAAGGAGGTACCTTTCTCTGAAGGGAGGAGAGAACTTCCACTTTGACTATGACCTTGTCTAAACAAGATAAGAGTCAGTGAACTCAAAAGGCTTCCATAGCTTTGGAAACTCATGACTGGAGCATAGGGAGATTACTGATGCCATAAACAGGAGTGTCAATTTGTAAAGTCAACAACAGGAGTCACTGTGCACTTACTCCTCATGTAGGATCTCTGTCCTTAATGTGCTATACATTGTGATTTAATGCTATAATGAGTACTCAAAACAGTATATTTCACTTTGTGTTTCTATGTGGGTGCAAACTGTTGAAATCTTTACTTAATGTATACTAAACTGATCTTCTGTATATATAGAAAATTGAAAATGAATCTTGATATGAATGGAAGGGGAGAGAGAGTGGGAAAGGGGAGGGTTGCGGGTGGAAGGGAAGTCATTGTGGGGGGGAAGTCATTGTAATCGATAAGCTATACTTTGGAAATTTATATTCATTAAATAAAAATTAAAAAAAATAAAAAATTTTAAAAAAGAAAAAGCAACATGAAGATGGAGGAGATGGTGAGGAGGAATAGAAGAAGGAAGGAAAGAGTTAACAAAATGGCAGAAGTAAGTCCTTACCTATCAATAGTAATCTTGAATGTAAATAGGTTAAACTCTTAAAAAAAATAATTCAACTATATGCTGCCAGTCAGATGCTGACTTTGTCTTTCAGAACACACATGGGCTTAAAAATGAAGGGATGGAAGAAGATAATCCATGAAAATAGGAACAAGAAAGAGCAAGGATAGCTACACTCAGATAAATAGGCATCAAGTCAAAAATTGTTAGAAGAGACAAGGTCACTATTTGATTAATTACAAATGCCAACTTATCAAAGGGGTGTGATAATTATATAATGTAGCCAGCATTAGCTTAACCACATAGGTAAAACAAATATTGATGAACATCGTGAAAGAAATAGAGAGCAATACAATAGCAAGGCAATTCTATAACCACACCTTAGAGTAGTAAACTATGTGTTGTGTACCATGTGTTTATATGTGTATTTATGTATTATGTATGTAATCATTTTAAATCTAGTAAATTTAAGTTCTCCTTAATTAAGTCTAGGTAAGTTTTAAGTACTTACTGTGTGTAAATGTACATATACAGTATTTGAATTCTAATATATATATTTTAAAATAATGTATATATATATACATAAACATATGCATGGATTTCAAAAAAAAATTAAACTTAATTCCATCTTAATATATCAGTGTTATCTTGTTTATTTTATATATATAAACACATACACACACATACACACATATATATAAAACACACACATATTTAAAACTTACTGAAGTTTAAAATAATTAGGGAAAAATTCACTCCCAAACTTAAAATTATATTCACAAGGAACTCTAATATCTTATTTTCAAGATTATCTCAGTACATTTAAACCTAGTTCTAGAGGCAGGCAGGTGTATTTAACAAGCATTAAAGTGAAGAAAATCTTCAGGGCTTCAGTTTTATAGTGTGTACAATGAGTAAGTTAGGAATGCAGAAGAAAGGTGAAAATGTTGGATATAGGACATTCCAAAGGAATGTTATTTTCACCTGTATTTAACAGAAAAAAACATTCTTATCAATTTGTAGTGCTCTTTAAATCAAACAACAAAATAGTGATCTTCCATAGTGTAATTTGTGGGTCCTTAGAAGTGACATTGGTTCTCTCTTCTGATTTACCTTTTTAACACTCTAGGTCATTTGGTTCCAGTAATTTTGAGGGAAAATGTTTTTCACCCCTGTAGCATTAATACTAACATTACTTTAAGATTTTTCCTCCTATTACTTGAAATTGTATCTTCAGTATCTTCTCATATTATAGAACAGAGAGAAATTTATTAGAATGGGTCCATGTTCAATTACAATTGCATTTATTGTGCATTTACCTAGCAAATTATACTAATCACTACTTATTTAATCTTTAACCCTTTAAGGCTGTTGTATCTCCGTCTCACCAATGAGAAAACTGAGACACATGACAGTCCAGAATACAATAGTCCTCCATTATCTGTAGTTTTACTTTCCAGCTTCAGTGACTGGTCAACCACAGCCCAGTATTAAATAGGAAATTCCAGAGATAAGGTTATTTATATGTTATGGATACGTTATTATATTGTTGCAACTGTTCTATTTCATTATAGGTTATTGATCATCTCTTACTGTGCCTAATTTATCAATTAAACATCATTTGGGGTACATTACCATCTGTGTTGCCAGGCATTCACTGAGAATCTTGGGACACATCCCCTAAGGATGGTGTGGAAGAGATACTGTTCTGCAGTAGGCATTTGAACCCAAGTCTACCCAACTCTTGAGCTTGTCCTCCTGTGCATTTTATATCTGCATTAATGCCCTTTCTGCTTAAATTGAAAATAATTTAAATGATGACTTCATATGTTATATAAGGAGAGCATCCCAGCTGTTAAGACAAAGTTCTTCAATGCATACAACATACCGTGTAGCACAGTCTCATCTGTCCTATTTTAATTTACCAAGATATTAACCTTGGGCTTTACCAGACCCTTATGAATAAAGTTCTTCCCTTTTGTGATATAAAATACAGCCTGTGTCTAAATACAATAAAAAGTAATAACAATATATTTTTTTCTTCAACAGCTGCTGAACATGTCCAGGGAACTGAGTGATCTAAAGAGAAACCTGAAGGAGGCCACTGCAGCCATTGCTGCTGACCCTCTCTACATAGAGGGAGCCTGGTCTGAGCCAACCTTCACGTCCACTGAAGCAGCCATCCAGTCCATGCTGGAGTGCCTGAAGAATAATGAACTTGGCAAAGCTTTACGGCAAATCAGGGAATGCAGGTCACTCTACTGTTTCTTTTAGAGACAGTTACAGGAGATGCACATCTAATCATGAGTTTTCTATGGTTGGGGACTAACCAGAGAAGGAATGTCCATATATTTTACATTCCTCTTCTCAGGTCTTTACTATTGCCATGCCAAAAACACTTGGCATTCAGCATTTTCATGTTTAAAATACTGTGGTTGGTTCTGGTCATTTGTCATCCCTAAAATGTTGAAGCACTTCAAAGTACATCACTATATAAATTGTCTCTATTTATTTGAAAGAGAGAGAGAGAGAGAGAGAGAGAGAGAGAGAAATATCTTCCATCCTCTAGTTCACCTCCAAATGGCCACAACGGCCAGAGCTGAGCCAACCCTAAGCCAGGAGGCAGGAACTTCCTCCAGGTTCTCCACATGTGTGCAGGGGCCCAAGGACCTGGGCCATCCTCTGCTGCTTTCCCAGGCGCATCAGCAGGGAGCTGGATTGAAAGTGGAGCAGCCAGGACTTGAACCAGCACCCACATGGGATCCTGGTGCTGTGCGCTGGGGATTTAACCTGCTGCACCACAGTGTGGACTCCCATATCCCTATATAATTTTAAATGAATATTTGAATGTATCCTTTTGGAGCGTTCCCTCCTACATTTTTATATTGTTTTCACATTCACTGGAACCAGAATGCTATAAGAAAATAAGGTTAATGTTTTGAAAATATTAGATTCCTTGCTGGTATTTTTATACTTCTGATTTTTTAATCAAAATCAATAATATCCAATATTCTAAAACTTACTGTGAGAATGTTTGAACACTTCTATAATATCTAAATAAAGCTTTGATTTTTTTCAAAAAAAACCTGAATACACGTATGCTAATGAAGACTCATAACCTTCCAGTTGTGTGACCAACAGTGTCTCTAATGTATGCTCTTCTTTTTTGACTGCAGAAGTCTGTGGCCCAACGACATCTTTGGAAGCAGTTCTGATGACGAGGTCCAGACACTACTGAATATTTATTTCCGTCACCAAACTCTAGGACAAACGGGTACTTATGCACTGGTGGGGTCTAACCAGAGCCTGACTGAAATCTGCACCAAGCTGATGGAACTGAACATGGAGATCCGGGACATGATTCGCAGGGCCCAGAGTTACCGAGTCCTCACTACTTTTCTTCCAGACTCCAGCGTTTCTGGCACTAGTCTCTGACAGGAGCCTCCCGTCCCCCATGGGTTCCAAGCTGGCGGTGCTGCCATGCTGGGGTGACGTCATTCAGTGTCTTCTCAGTCTTCACAAGGCTTGGACAGACTGTTCTCCCTCTTGTTACCTGTAGGACTTTTTCTAAAGAGGATGGCAGAACTTCCAACGTGTAGCAATACTCCAGGAACCAAGTAACTATAAAATATCCTGGGACAGACTCCATCCATCATGCTGTGTGGCACAAATGTGTTATTTTACTGAGCAAATACAACTCACTACTGAAGAAGTGACTTCCATTGCATACCAAAGCCGACTACACTGAACAATACCTTCCTTTCTAGAAAAAATTTTAGATTGGCAAAAGTGCAATGTTTTCTTCACTAAAAAAATTTTATATTCTGAAACTTGTACAGTGTTTGTTTTTTCCCTTTCCTCTTTTTTTTAATTTCCTTTTTTCTTTTTCCTTTTCTTAGTGGACTGAGAAAGGGGCAGGCAGAATGAAGCTGGCCACTGAAAACATATAAGATGGTCTAAAGCTGACAGCCTGTGTATTTGAAAAGGGAACTGTAAATGAACTACAATTTAATGTACACTGTTATTTGAATACATTACTGTATCTAAATGGAGCTGCTATGAAGTACCTTTTCTTATGTTGCTAGGCTACTGTTTCTGAAGGCCCTGGATCTCTTTGCACCAAAAATGATCCAGAAAGACTCTTTTTAAGGATCTTGGCTGCTTTTTACTAGAAGGTTGCTTTTATGAGCATATTTATACTACAGAAGGATGAGTGTTAATTTTAATTAACTTTACCATTTTGTAGAGAAAATTAATCAATTATAATTTCTAAGTCTTTTCACCTGTCACGCATGCATATTTTAATATCCACTTGGATAGCCAGACTAGAATCCTAAAGATAAAATATAAGTTTTCACTTTGTTTCTTAAGAATAATGTCATATTTTATTTGTAATTTATGTAAAGGGCCATTCTTAAGTTTTCTCCTTAAACCTAATGCTGTCAAGTGTTAGATGTGTGCATGTGAACCTGTTACACATCCAAAACATAGTCAAAGTTTATCTATGTAACTTATTCACTCTGTAAATACATTTAAAGTTTTTGTGATGTAATCTTGGTTGATATTCTGTTCAGAACTTTCTTTAGACTAAAAAAAAGGTGACAAAATACATGTTGACCATGGATTTTATTTCTGATTGACATATATTCACATTTTTGCATGTGGGCTGCCACAGTGGCAACCCCAAAGGGCACTTCCATGTGTATTCTGTGAATGGTACCCATTGGACTTGTACAGTATGTGGCCCTGTGAAGCCTGAAATAAGTTTAATCTCTCTGGACATGGGCAACAAGAACCATGACCTTCAATCAATTCACTCTGTAATCATCCAAATTAGAAAAATCAGAAGAGTGAGGGCTCCAATAGTTCATAATCTATCACTAGATTATCAGCCTTAAGATTTTGACATTGACTCTATAATGAGCAAGTAAAAGTAGGACTTTTAATTCTGTTACTAACACCTATCTATTCTCCACCCCACTAGAAAAATAGGGCCACAAATACATTACCTAATTTTTACTGTCTTCCTACTCATGTTTTACTTGGGCTAACAAATATCTCTTGCTTTACTAACATAAAATTATCAAATATTAGTAATTTTCCAGGAGTATCATGCAGTACAGTATCTAATCTGGGATTTATGTTGCCATAGAGACAACTGATAGATTTTAATAACTTTCTGGAGTGCTGTGAACATCCTTCTGATTTTTTTTCAACTTTTCAGAAAGATGCTTCACTATGTTGCAGACAACTGAATCACAATCTCTGAAAAACACCTCAAAGCTAGGTTTCTGTGGGTAACCACTATCCCCAACTCTCAAAAGAGTTTTGTGGAAACCACAGCAGAATGAAGCAACCAATCATGACTCTGAACTTTTATATTGTGCCCTCTTACCTAGCAAAGAACCATGGTGATAGCTTAGTATTTAAAAAAAGAAGAGGGAGGGTGGTTTCAGTGGTACACTGTAATCAGATATATTAAAATGTAGTGGCAGGTAATAGAAGGGTTTGTCTTTTTCCTTAGTTTTATTTTTAAAAGGAGATATGTGGAGTGGATGTTAGGCACAGTGGCTAAGATGCTGTTAGGGATACTTGCATCCCATCTCAGAACGCCTGGGTTCAAATTCCAGCTCTGCTTCTATTCCAGCTTCCACTAACGTGAACCCTGGAAGGAGTAGGTGATGGCTCCAGTACTGGGGTCCTTAATACCCATGTGGGAGACCTAGACTAATTTCCCAGCTCCTCCTGGCTTCAGCCTGGTGCAACCCTGGCAGTTGCCAGCATTTGGAGAGTAAATCAGTTAATAGATCTCTTGATATCCATCTGTCTATCTTTTCTCACTCTACTTTAAAAAAAATTTTTTTTTACTTATTTGAAAAGCAGAGTTACAAAGAGAGAGAGACAGAGGCAGAGCGAAGTCTTCCATCCACTGGTTCACTCCCCAAATGGCCACAATGGCCAGGGCTGGATCAGGCCAAAGCCAGGAGTACTGGGTCATCCTCCACTGCTTTCTCAGACACATTAGCAGAGAGCTGAATTGAATTGGAGCAGCTGAGACTCAAACTGGCACCCATATGGGATGCCAGTGCTGCAAACTGTGGCTTAATCCACTATGCCACAGTGTGGCCCCTCTCTCTGCCTTTCAAATAATAAACTTTTTTTTTAAAAAAAAAGATAATTTATTTAAGAGGCAGAGTTACATAGAGAGGGAGAAACAGAAAAGTCTTCCTTTTGCTGATTCACTTCCCAAGGGCCACAATGGTTGGAGCTGAGCCAATCTTAAGCTAGAAGCCAGGAGCTTCTTCCAGGACTCCAAGGCGGGTACAGAGGCCCAAGTAGTTGGATCAGCTTCCAATGCTTTCCCAAGTCATCTCCGAAAGCTGGATCAGAAGCAGAGCAGGCCGGCGCCACAGCTCAATAGGCTAATCCTCCACCTGCAGCGCAGGCACACCGGGTTCTAGTCCCGGTCGGGGTGCCGGATTCTGTCCCGGTTGCTCCTCTTCCAGTCCAGCTCTCTGCTGTGGCCAGGGAGTGCAGTGGAGGATGGCCCAGGTGCTTGGGCCCTGCACCCACATGGGAGACCAAGAGAAGCACCTGGCTCCTGCCATCGGATCAGCGCAGTGCGTCGGCCACAGCATGCCGGCCACGGTGGCCATTGGAGGGTGAACCAATGGCAAAGGAAGACCTTTCTCTCTGTCTCTCTCACTGTCCACTCTGCCTGTCAAAAATAAAAAAAAAAAAAAAAAGAAGAAGTGGAGCAGCCAGGATATCAACTGGCACCCATATGGGATGCCAGCACTGTAGGCAGATGCTTAGCCCACTATACCACAGCACTAGCCCAATAAAGATTTTTAAAAAGGACACTTGTAATATGAAAGGCTTCTAGTATTCCTCTCTTTCTTCACATCACTCTTGAGTCTATATGGGAAAATTGTATAGGAAAGCAGCCCCACCCCAGCAGATCCCAGCACGAACTTTAGATCCACCAATCTCCTTGGCTGTTTTGCAGTGCCTGTTACTGAAGCATTCATTTTCACTGCCTTCCCCACATGGATACAGAAAAGCAAAGGAACCAAATGAGAGAACAGACACACAACAGAGGCTTCAGAAAAAAAGAGAAACGTCACTCTGTCTCAGTGCTATCACCAGGACATGATACATTCCTCATTCACGGGCATGGTAAAATGATCCAGAAAGGTGCTTTGTAACTTACACATAACTTGATGACGATTACAATCTCCAAATAGTGTTTTAGAAAAGTCAACCCTCCCCGCCCCCCCCCCCCAAAAAAAAGATGGGGCCAGGGCAGTGGGTTAGCCTGCAGTGCCATCATCCCATATGGGCACCGGTTCTAGTTCTGGCTACTCCACTTCCAATCCAGCTCTCTGCTATGGCCTGGGAAAGCAGAAGATGGCCCAAGTCCTTTTACCCCTGCACCCACGTGGGAGACCTGGAAGAAGTTCCTGGCATTTGGCTTCAGATCAGCGCAGCTCTGGCCATTGCAGCCAATTGAGGAGTGAACCAGCAGATGGAAGACCTCTCTTTCTAGCTCTACCTCTCTGTAATTCTGTCTTTCAAATAAATAAAATAATTCTTTAAAAAAAAAGCCACCCAATTTTAGAGGCGTGTAAATATTTCACTCCCACTCATGAGTGAGAATGTTAAGAAAACTGTTAGTACAACTGTGAAATAACTGCTTATTAGCGTTGTGCACAGCCACACACAGCAGAGTCAAGTCTTAAGGTATCTCAGGTTCTAAATCCAAACTAATATTGATCTTTTCAGTGAATTGTAGAAAGACTAAGAGTACCTTCAAAGGCTGCATATATCAGTAACTTCCACCTGCTTCCAAACACTTGCCTGAACGACATAAAAAAAATGAGTGTCCACAGGTGAATTTTATGGTATGTTGATTATATCTATTTCAATAAAGCTCGTTTTTTAAATTTCTAATGCATTTACTTTGGATCAATTAATACTGGCATACATGTGATGAGCTGATCACACCGGCCTACTCTGGGCTAGGCACTGTTTTAGAGACTGCAGTTCTCCAGATGTGGCCCTTGTTCTCCTGGAGCTCACATCTGAGTGGTGGGAGATAGAACTCCATGTCAAGTGGGAATGATTGTGATGAAGATCAACAAACAGGTGTAGAGAATAGCTGGGGTGGGTTGCTACAAGAGGTCTTCAAAAAGATTTTGGAAAATGAGTATTATAAACATGCATGAACTTCAAACTTTTCATATCCAAACACATCTTTTAATTCTATTTTTCAATGAATTCTCAGTACCTTTGTATTTCAGAAACGGAGGTGGAGAAAGTCTTTCATAAGGTGATCTCTGAGCAAAAACAAAGAGAAGACAGAGATCCTGCAATGGGAGAAGGATCACTTTGTGGGAAAGACAGCAAGGAAGCCAAGGGCCACAGTGAATTGAGTGAAGCGCAGAGTGTTCACAGATGACTGCCCAAAGGGCTCTGTGGGCCACAGGGAGGACTTGGTCTTTCCTAGGTACAACTAAGGCAAAGGATATTTGGGGGAAGAGTAATGACTTTTATTTTGACTTATCCATGGGCCAGGGTTTCAGCGCAGCAGTCATGACGTTGCTTGGGACACCTGCATCCCAGGACTGTGTTTCGAGTCCTGGCTCTGCTCCCGATTTGACATTCCTGCTAATGAGAACCCTGGGAGGCAGGAGGTGTTCACTCAGGTGGTTAGGTCCCTGTCATCCATGTGGGAGACTTATCTGGGGATTCTGGCTCCTGTCTTCAGTCTGGCTCAGCCCTGGCTATTGCAGGCAGCTGGGGATTGAATCAATGGATGGAAGATCTATCTCTGCCTCTTTCAAATAAAATAAAAATCACAGGAAAATGAGAAATATGGACACAGACACATACTGGGATGACATCATGTGAAGATAAAGGCCATGATTTGAATGAAACATCTAAACCAAGGAATGGCAGAAATGTCAGTAAATCATCAGAAGCTAGGCAAACAACATTGAACAGATTGTCTCTCACATGTCTCAAAGAAGTAAATAAACCTTCCTCCATTTCAAATCCAGCTTCCTGCTATTGTGAACCCTTGGAGGTAGTAGGTAAGGGCTCAAGTACTTGGGTCCCTGCCACCTACACAGGAGACTGGGATTATGACCTGAGCTCCTGGCTTTGACTTGCAGTTATGGGTACCTGGGGAGTGAATTACAAGATGAAGGGTTGTTTCTGTCTCTCATTTCTCAAATAAATAAAAAATTTCCCAAAAAAGGGAGAATTTTGCAATTAATAAAAGATTCTAAAAATAGGGGTAGGCATTGTGATGCAGTGGATTAAGCCACCACTTGGAATATCTGCATCCCACATCAGAGTGCCAGTTTAAGTCCTGGCTACTCCACTTCCAATTCAGCTTCCTGCTAATGCACCTGAGAAGGCAGCTGATAGTGGCCCAAGGATGTGGGTCCTTGCCACCCATGTGGAAGACATGAATGGAGTTCTAGGCCCCTGGCACAGGCCTGGCCCAGCCCTGGCTATTGGAGTCATTTGGGGAGTGAACCAGAAGATGGAACCAGTAGATCTAAACTCGCAAATTGATCTCATTCTCTCACTTTCAAATAAATGAATCATTTTTAAAAGATTTGCTTATTATTTGAAAGGCAGAAATACAGAAAGAGGGAGAGACAGAGAAAGAGGTATCTTTCACTTACTAGTTCACTCCTCCAAATGCCTTCAACAGGCAGTGCTAGGCCAGGCCAAAGCCACTACCCCAGAACTCCCTCCAGGTCTTACACATGGGTGTCAGGGACTCAAGCACTTGGAACATCATCTGCTGCCATCCAGGCACATTAGCATGGAGCTAATAGTTGAACTCTTTATTTAACACAGAATTATTCTTAGGTGTTTAAATACAATTGAAAAATGATCCCTGTTAAAAATAAGAGTGGGACTTGCCCCAAACAGTAGAGTTAGTAATGTGCCAGGGGATTCCAATTCAATCCCATCAAGGTGGCATGTACCAATGCCATCTCACTAGGCCAAGTGATCAATTTCTGTTCACAATTGATCACACAAACAAGACTAGTGTCTGCTAATACTAGCTGATAGAATCAAAAAGGGAGAGAACGATCCAACATGGGAAGCGGGATACACAGCAGACTCACAGAATGGCAGATGTCCTAAACAGCACTCTGGCCTCCGAATCAGCCCTTAAGGCACTCGGATCTGGCTGAAGAGCCCATAAGAGTATTTTAGGCATGGAAACCCAAGACACTGTGGCAAACAAACAAACAAACAAACAAACCTAAATGAAAGATCTCTGTGAGTGAGATCCCAGTGGAAAGAACAGGTCATCAAAGAAGGAGGTACCTTTCTCTGAAGGGAGAACTTCCACTTTGACTATGTCTGAATAAGATCAAAGTCGGCAAACTCAAAAGGCTTCCATAGCCTTGGCAACTCATGACAAGAGCCTAGGGTGATTACTAATGCCATGAACAAGAGTGTCAATTGTTAAGTCAACAACAGGAGTCACTGTGCACTACTCCCCATGTAGGATCTCTGTCCTTAATGTGTTGTACAATGTAAATTAATGCTATAACTAGTACTTCAACACCTGACCCTCATCAAAGGACAGGTCACTCAGACAAAAAATCAGTACAGATACATTAGAGTTGAAACATATTATTGAACAAATGGACCTAACAGACATTTATAAGATATTTCACTCAACAGCTACAGAAAACACATTCTTCTCATTCACACATGGAACATTTTCTAGGATAGATCACATATTAGGCCACAAATCAAGTCTTGGAAAATTTAAAAAGACTGAAATCATACCATGTATATTCTCAGATCACAATGGAATAAAACTAAGAAATAAAGAAGAACAATGGAACACTCAAATACTTGGAAATTAAACAACATGTTACTGAATGATCAATGGGTCACTGAAGAAGCTAAAAACAAAATTTAAAAAATTTTCTTGCAATTAACAAAAATGAAAACACAACATATCAAAATCTGTGGGATACAGTAAAAGCATTAAAATGGATATTAATAGCATCACGTGCTTATATTTCAAAAGAGAAATGTCTGAAATTAAAGATCTAATGATGCCTCTTGAAGACTAAGAACAAGGAAAAAAAAACAAGAAGTAATAAGGCTCAGCGCAGAAATAAATGAAATTGAACCTAAAAAAAAATACAAAAGATCAAAACAAAAAGTTGGTTTCCTGAAAAGATAAACAAAATAGATAAATCTCTAGCCAGACTAACAGAAAGAAAAACTGAAATAAGAAATGAAAAAGGAGACAGTAAAACCAATACCACTGAAATACAAAGTATCATAACAAACTTATGAAGTACTTTGTAATATTACATGGTAATAATATGGTATATATTTGTAATATGTATATAGTAATAAACTGGAAAACTGTGAGAAATGGCTAAGTTCCTGGGTTCATATAAGCTGCCAAGATTAAATCAAGAAGATATAGATGACCTAAACAGACCCACAACGAGCAATGAGATTGAAGCAGCAATCAAAAGTCTTTCATCAAGGAAAAATCTGGGACCTGATTGCTTTACTACTGAATTCTACAAAAACATTCAAAGAGGATTTAACTCCAATACTCTTGGAACTATTCCAAAAATCTTTTTGAGGACAGCATTACCTTGATACCAAAACCAAAGACATGACAAAGAACTACAGACCTATATTATTAATGAAATAGACGCAAACATTCTCAACAAAATACAAGTAAACAGAATCCAAAACCACACCAAAAAGATCACACAACATGATCAAGTAGGATCTAACACAGAGATGGAAGTGTGGTTCTACATTTATAAATCAATAAACATTATAAATCATGTGAACAGAATGAAGAACAAAAAACATACAGACTTCTCAAAAGATGCAAAGAAAGTATTTCATGATTCAACATCTCTTCATGATTAAAAAAGACTCTACAAATTAGGTATAGAAGGAACAGTCTTCAAAATTATAAAGGCTATATATGACTAACCAACAGCCAATATCATGCTGAATGTGGAAAATCTGAAATCATTTCCTCTCAGATCTGAAACAAGACAAGGATATTCATTTCTGTCAGTTTTATTCAATATAGTACTGGAAGTTTTAGCAAGAACAATTAGGGAGGAGAAAGAAAGGGCACTAAAATTGGAAAAGAGGAAGTCAAATTATCCATGTTCACAGATGACAGGATGATGTACATGGGAAAATCTACACACTCCACCGAAAAAGCTTTTAGAATTGATAAATCAACTCAAT